ACCGCCCCCCCTTGCTCGGTTCTTTCGATGCCGACGGACTTTCTCCCCAAGGAATTCTGCGACGACAGATCGCAACTAAAACACTTTTTCTTTTCTTTTAGCTTGTTATATCAGGGTTCGAGTCTCGAATGGATGCTATCCCCGAAAGTATCATCGGTAGTCATGCCGCATACATATGTGCAATGCATAATCGCTTCATTCCAGTCGACTCGCATCACCACCACCGATTTCAAAAATGGTCCGCCTACCGATCTTCGACCGCCTTCGAGATCTCCATCTACGCCGTAACAAAGTCACTAATCCAACAGCTACATACGAACCCAAGCTATACCTTCCCAGCATAGCCTTTCTTACAATACTAACCAGGATGTCTAGCCGCACACAAAGAAAAAACTACCTCCACCATCCCCCCCCCCAGCCAAGCAATTTTCGCCAACGGAAAAATATCCCTCTTGTTGAACTTCGGAAGACCTAGCTGATAGTGGGAGAAGGGAGGGGCTAGATCTAGCCTAACCCTTCCCTTACTGTTCTTTTTTCCCCCATGACCCTCAGAAGCAAAAAGAGGGGATCCTCCATTCTGCCTTGCCTGATGAAGGTCTTGTCTTGTCCTCCTCGTAAGACGAAACATGGTTCCCACCGACGACATCCCAAGCGGAAAAACATCCGCTATCGTCCGGAATGGATACAAAAGGACTAAAAAAGTAAAAGTATAAATGACCTGATTACAACTTGAATCTGCGCTGAGAATAACCAAAAAAAGGTGGAGATACCGTTCACCGAAAGAGAGGGATGTAAGAAAGCACAAGGTCGAAACGTATTGGCATGCAGCGGCATTGTCTGATCCCACTATCAATTCATGATACTTTTTTTCCCGCTTCCTCCTCCCTATTTCGATTCGGACCTCAAAAGGGCGTCGAGACGATAACGTTCCTGGGTTGCCTTTTTGTAGTTTACTGCTTGAGTTTAGTGTGATCCGATAGACCTTCACCTAGTTGGGGGGGTTTTTTTTATAGACACCGTAGAAATGCCCCATTTTTGCCGCTGGAAATTTACTACTGTCGGTATACAACTTGCCGTTGAAGGCTTAGATATATATTTTTTTACTATCATATGATGTGAGATGGCTTAGTTAGGCTAAATCTTTTCGATCGCAACCTATTCGAACCGGCGGCGTCAGATGTTGCAAAATGTTGTTGTTTTCGCACACAAGTCGTCGACGACCGCCGTAACGTAACGTTCTTTGAACCTTTTTTTCTTTCCCTTTTCCCCACACACTATGCACCCACCACACGGCTCGCAAGGATTCCCGGGATAGACGACGGCAGGGCCAACTCACCTACAAGGTAAACATTTGAAAGTGAGGGGTGGGAAAGATTGTGTATACGAAGAAGAGGTTCCAAAAAGGACGAATATCTGAAACGTATGTATTCCTTTAACGTATATTTGTTTTTTTTCTCTCTCTTTCTTCTCACTCTTCTCTTTGATTTCACTCGACTTTTAATCTTTCCTTGCATCGAACCGCTTTTTTTCTTTCTTTTCTTTTCTTTTATTTTCTTTTCTTTGCCTTTTTATTTATTTTTTATTTATTTTTTTTACTTTTCACACGACAAGGGTATGGAGCATATGTATGCAGAATAATGCACAGCGAGAGAGGGAAAGAAGTAGGGGGATTGTTACTCAAGTTTTTGATGTATCTTTTATGTGTATTGATGGTCTTAAAAGTACATTTTTATATTGAAGTTCTTGTTAGAGGAACTCTGTTTATTCTTATTATTCTTATTCTTTTTCTTTTCTTTTCTCCCGTTGGCCTCTTTTCTTTTCTTTTTTTTTTTTTTGTATGATGTTTTCGCCTCGTCTCGCCGGTCCAATAAATCAGGTTCATCGGCGCTGCATGCATCCAGTGTAATGCAATAACAGCGAGGCTACATCTCCTTTTGCTTTTCTGTCGTCGTTAACCTTTTTTTTTTTTTTTTTTTTTTTGTAGTGACAGATATAATTTCTATTTTTTTTAAAAAAAAAAAAAAAAAAAAAAAGGTTATTACACAGATATTAATATTTACTTGTCAGCGAGTTCTAACTGGGAGCCAACAAAAAATACCGGCAGTAGGAGGTATGTAGCTGGGGTGATACATGTATACATATGTGTAGATACATAAGTACCTACTTACTTACTGACTTACTTACTTACATACTTAAGTCCATGTTGTGAAAGAGAGAGAAAAAGCGAATGAAAGAAAGAAAGGACTTCCCTGTTCGATATGTTTGTGTCAACTTTTTTTTTTGTTTTTTGGCATGGTTCGGCGGTGCGTGGCAGACGTTTCAGAATGAGATCTCTTCGGCGGCGAAGCAAGGGAGGAGTAGTTAGACGGAGTGTGAACGGCCTCCAAGAAAATCCAATCAACGAATGATAATTGAGAGAAAAAAAAGAAATAGAAAAGATCTAAAAAAGATGTCTCGCGAAAAGGAGAACCTTTACATGGTGAGAAGAAGAAGAGGAGGAGGGGTGGTGGTGGTGGAAGAAACGGACGGGCTGAGGAAAGGTCTGAGAGTCATGGTTTCTTACCCGCTTTGCTGAGGTATTGATTGACATATCCAAGCTACTTACTTACTTACTCACCTATATTATCGATTACGATACCGCTAGCTCTGCCGATGAGGGGGAGGTTTCCACTTTCTTTTCTTTTCTTTTCTTTTCTTTGGGAGGTGTTTTTACTGTTTCCGGCAATGTTATTGTTTTCCTTTTCCAATCCAATGACACAAAGTGGGCACGGACTTATTATGGGGTATAGCTAAGCTAAGCCGATAGGTGTAAGTCAGAGGTATACGATACATAGACAGGAGAGAGGAGAGGGAGGGGTTGCTTTTGGTTCAGCCCTGGACGATAAGCTTTTTCCGGACCGTCGTAATCGTCTGGAAGTGGAAATTCCGATTGTTGTTTACTTAATGATCGCACACTTCCTACTTCGTCGGCATACATACATTGGATTACATACTTACTTAAGTACATGAAGGAAGATGAGGGGTAGTCGACATGGGGCGCATGTGATGCTCACCGTTCTGTGTCATTCGCTGTTTATAATTACATACTCCAAAGTATCATATCACATTACATTACATCGCCTTCATAGGATCGTTTTTTTTAGAAAGAAAGAAAAAAAAAAGGCGCAATTTTCGCTGTCATATTTCCCCTCCCTCCTCGCCTTCTCTTCTGTCATGGGAAGAAATAAATATTACCCACTGACTTAGTATGTATAAGTAGGTACTTACTTTAGTATAGAATTGTTGGAAAAGTTTCGAAGGGCCGCTGCGCTGGACTGCACTGGCGTCGTCGGTAGGTCTGGAACCCTTCGGTCGAAAAACCACCAAAAAAACAGGGAACTTCCCACAGAAAGTGGATCATGTGACTCCGCGATCCCACTAAAATTGTCAAACCACGCGCACTCTGAGTTTTTGGTGCTGGGAAGACGCGACGGGCTGCCAAAACATTTTTTTTTTGGAGAGTTGTGTTGTTGACGTCATGGAATGTGTTGCTTGGCATCTCATGCAAGGGGGGCCTTTTGCTTCTGGGGGAGGTCTGCGCACGTGAGGGAAAGGCGATCGGGTCGGGTGCTGCCATCCCTCCTTCCTTCCTTCCGACCCATCCGGCATCCCGATGAAGTCAGGTTGACGGGATGGAATGCAATGTTAGTATTTACTTAAGTAGTTACTGGCTACGCTGTGTTTATTTATATATTTCTGGGGAATGCAGCGGATGCGAGAATAAATTGTTCCGGATGCTGCTTGGGTTAGTAACTAAGTACTTACCTGGTTGGACCGCTTGCAATGACCTTTAAGATTACTGCCTGAATTATTCGTAGGCTGGGCTGGATCCGACCAGGACGGGTAAAGATGCTTGTTTCTGGTGTTTTTCTGATGCGGTGAACCGTCAAGCCGCGGGTGAGACTGTGTATGTACTGCAATGCCATGAGAACAATTGGGAAGTGGTTGGTTTTGTGGCTGATTTTAATTGGAGTTGCTGTGGGAACACCAGACACTAGCCACATTGGCGGAAGTGCGGCGTGGCTTGAATCGTTTGGCCCGATAACTGGTGAATCGTCGGACAACACGTGACGACAGCAGCTTTTGTGTTGCTTCGCTTAAGGGTTGATTGTCCCGCAGCTTGGCCATTTCTGGTAACATATTTTGATTTGTTTTGCGATTGGGCAACGGACCTCAACACCACGTCGCTTTCTCTCTGTCACACACACAATTTGCATTCCAGCGGCTGTTCCGGTCTGTCTAGAAAACCTGCTGTCTTCCCAATCCTCTTCCTCTTTCCTCACTATTACTTCTCCACCCACCCATCCACCCATCCATCCCACAACACCTTCCGACAGTAAAAACTAAAAATATTGAGAGTGACAAACCCGTTGCAAAGGTCCCATTGCAACCAAAACATTTCTCTGTCTCTGTCTCTGTCTCTCTCGCTCATCTTCCATCCTCTCTCATCAACCTTCATCTTCACTTGTCACTGTCACCTCCAGTCACATCACCAACCACTAACCATCAAATCCATTGCAGCTTCCCTTTCCCATTGCATCGAACTTTCAGGTTTGCTTCAAGACTGCTTGTTATCATCATTCTTCTCTCTGCTAGCGATCTCGTCGTCAATCTGCTCTCGGGTAGCTGAAGACAAGATAAGAAAATCCGTCACGAACTTTTTTTCGTTGCTGAACATTTCACGTTGCTTGCTGTTTCAGTGCTTTCTTGCTCTGTTCTATATCAAACCATCTCTCACCTCCCACCTCCCATCTTCTTCTTCTCTCATCAATTGGTCTTCTCCACAACCTCTTGACACTTCTTCCATCATCAATTGGACTTTCTCACACACCCGATTGATTCCTCCGGTTTGAAATTCTTCCTTCTCATTCTTCCATTCCGATCAATTGGTCCCCTCCACCACCTCTTGATATTCTCCATCCTTCTTCGGTGTTTCGTTTTGCACCAAATAGTTTCACATCATGGAATCTCAGGTATGTCGTCATCCCGTCCTTCCCGCCCTTCCCGTGCTGAAACAACCCGGGGTCATCTAATGTACCTACCCGGTTGGCTTCTCTTCTTTGTAACGAGGGAGCAAACGGCCAAGAGAAGGATGAAAAAGCTAACGACACCTTAGACACAGCGTAAGACGCGTATCTTCGATGAGAACGACCCAGCTGTTATAGCTGCAGGTGGCCGTCATAGGAAAGGAGCCTCTACTGCTAGTATCAAGTCTACTGCCAGTACCCGGCAACGAACAAGTCAAACTGCTAAGCGCGTTGCACTTGTCGATTCCACAAGGCATGAGGCACCCGTCACTAGCAATGCTCCCAGCCGTACTTCAAAGGGAAGTGTGAGCCAGCCAGCTGCTCGTGGCAGGCATGTCGCTACTAAGAGTAACGCTTCGCTTGCAACCGGTGCTAAGTCCACCAAGCAACCCGGCAGCCAACAATCAGGCAGTCAGCAATTTGCAACGACTTCCATCAAGTCGACAATCTATCGTGATCCGCAACAGATCAAGGCTAAGGGCTCCGTTAGGAGCGGTCAATCCCACACTAGCATTGGTGCCGAGTCCCGTACTCAAGTTTCACGTCAAAAGACCACCGTTTTCAGAGATGAACCAGCTACTCGTTCAGCTACGAGCAGTGTTTCTTTTGCCCCTGAGGACCGTGCTCGAGCCGGACCACTCTCCAGCAAGTCATCTAATAGAACCGTTAAGACGGAGTCTTCGAAGGAAAAGAAATCAACTATTAAGGTTAAAGAGACGAGTGTTGCCATAGAACGACAAGGACGTGTTGATGTCATCGAGGAGACCGAATCGTACGAAACCGAGAACCGAGGGACCGGTTGGGATGACGATGACGATGTTATCTTTCGCTCTCATAGAGTTGCCCTCGGTTTCGCAGACAAGCCATGTCTCACCAATTTTTTCGCAGAAGAAGAGGAAGAGCAAGAGGATGAATATGATGAAGAAAAGCCAGTCTATAACCCGATGAGGCAACTTATTAAGTCGGACGGCAAGTTGGTGTGCTTTCCTGCTAGCGGCTGGAGTTCTCATGAGAAAGACACCCGACCTTTTGGTTTTAACATTAAAGAGGATAAGGAGTCTCAGGAGTATATTGCACTCGTTGAGAACTATCTCTTCCAGGAACTTGAGGAAGAGTATTTGACGAAGGCTCGAAAGAATGGAGAAGGTGACCGTAACAGAGTCTACCCTCGTTATACTGCTGCCACCGATTTAGAGGTCGTTCAAGGCGTTAATGCTTTTGCCAAGAACCCTAGTTGCCTCAACATGAAGGAATTCAAAAGCCCCAACTTCGCCCAGGAGTATACCCCCGATATTGTCAGGCATATGTGGGCTGTCGATACTAAGCTCCAACCGGATCCTCATTACATGGACACTCAGCCGTATCTGGGTTGGCACATGCGAGGTATTTTGGTTGACTGGTTGATCGAAGTTCACGACCGATTCCAGATGAGCATTGACTCGATGTTCAACACCGTCAACATTATTGACCGTTTCCTTTCCGTCAAGGTTGTCCCCGTGCACCAATTGCAATTGGTTGGCCTCGCTGCGTTATTGGTCGCCGCTAAGTACGACGAAATCACGCCTCCCGGGATCGACATGCTGGTCTATATGGCAGACCACGCATACACCGGTCGGGAAATACGCAGCTGCGAGTACGAGATCTTGGTCGCCTTGGAGTGGAAGATTTCTGCGCCAGGCCCGACGACCTTTCTCAATTGTCTGTCTCCGGCAGACGCTTGGGATGCGGACGTCAGGGACCTGGCGCAGTACTTCCTGGAGGCTGCGCTGACCGAGCTGCGCTTCGTTGGGACTCCGTGGTCGTTCATTGCAGCGGCCTCTTACTATCTGTCCATGATTATTCTGGACACCGGGCGTGGGGAGTGGTCCCCAGCTCATATTTATCTCAGCGGGCATTGCGCATCCCAGCTGGCACCAGGGGTTCAAGTCCTCATCGAGATGATGGACACCCCAGAAGAACACCATAAGGCGGTGTTCACCAAATACAACAGGAGGAACTACCGCAGGATTGCGGGGTTCGTTGAACGATGGATGGTGGCGCAGTTCGCCCATTCCGAAGAGCCCGCCGAGGGAAAGGGGGCTGCATATGCTGAGGGGAGGGAGCGGGAGCGGGAGGTCCTGATCCAGAGGGGGGTGGATCGGGATCGCAGAAGGAGGATGAGGGACGAGGCTGACCGATAGGATCGGCAGCTGACTTCTTCGTCCTCTGCCTGCGGTCCCGATGGGGATCTGACGGCGGAGGAAGAGGAGGAGATTGGGAGGGGGCTCGAGGAGCTCGACGACGAAGAGAGCGGCGTATCCACCACCATGGGGGAGGTGGATGGGCCGGTTGATGTGGCCACCTCGGGGCCGGCGATGCTCGCCGAGGACATGGGGCCAAAGCTTGCTCACCATGACGGTGAGCAATGCTTTTATTGCTCATGGGGGGTCCCGGAGGGGTTTGGTGGTTGAGAAACCGCCCTCTTCGTCGTCTTGCTCTCGCCCTCTCCTTTTCTCGGTTTGTTTTTTTTTGTTTTTTGTTTTTGTTTTTGTTTTACGTTTACTATATCTGCCACGGACGAAGAAGAACGGAGACAAGAATGCTCCAAACTTTGTCATCAATGGTCACGTTTACATATCACGACTATTTGATTTACGGTGTTTCGGGGGGGTGGGTCCATGGCGTTTACGGTGTTTTCTAGATTTTTTTTCTTTTCTTTCTGCTGCTGTCCTTTCTCCCTTTTTGTTCAAATGTTTCCGCGAATACCCTTTACACTTGCGTATCTTCGTTAGCGATAGATGCATATTTTAGCGGTTAACTCATGAATACGAACTCTAGGGTTTATTGACTAGTCTGATAATTCATCGTAATATTGTAGAGTGCAGCCGCGTAGATGTGTAAGTGTAACCTACCACAGGTTTACTTAGGTAATTGGGTTTGACGTTCCACCGTACAGGTACGAGGGTAGTCCAGACTAGTACAAGGGCATGTGTGCGCGAAAGGCTCAATGAGTTGTACTGCATTCTGCCAGCATGGTCAATTGCTATCCATGCATTCATCAGCTACACTGGGTTTTAGCTGGAGTTAACACTTTTGGAATCCAATGGGTCGACAGATGGGCATTCACTGCCGAAAAAAGGTTGGATTTGGTAGTAGGTGACTTTGTATGGGTAAAATTTGATGGAGGTCTTCACGATGGTTCATCCACCAGCTATCAGGTTACCTATACTACAGCTGTATACCACCATGGTCGACCTTCACCATCGCAACGAACAGCCACCACCACTATAATCCCAATCCATCGACCTTTATGTCAATACTGGTTGCTCCAAAGTACCGATCCATTCTACTAGCTTACCACTCTAGAAGTTACTCTCTGCCAATGGTCTTTAATTCAATTTCTTAATTACAGCTGAGGGATTATCAGGTAAGTTCCTTTCCTCAATCCGGCTCCTGCATGATATAAGTTCCAGAAACTATATACTGCAGCTGCTTGTAATTAGCTATTAGGGTCCTGATGCCCTCGTATGATGCATTTGATGACAATTCACCCAGCTCACTATGCAGCCATGTGGTATTTCAACAAAGCATCGGCGTTAGATCGCTGAAAGATGGGACAGTTCGCTGATAAAAAGGTTTATATAAATGCTTTCTAGGGACGACGTAGGTCGAAATACGGCATCCAATCTCTCGTCAAGCTGTCAAGTCGAAGTTTGGTTCACGGCCTTGACTTTTTTTTTTTTTTTTTGAATATAACAAAAAAAAGAAAGGAATAAAGGGAAGAAAATGGCTTCGTTGTCCTGGGGGTATATGTATTGGGTCTTCCTTCTTCTCTCGCTACTTCGGCTTGCTTCTCGAGTGAACGGTAGGTTTACACACTTTCTTCTATATTCTTACTACAGAATTCTGGCTGTGAGATTGTATACTATATATGTACTAACATCTGAACTAAAACAAGCTGCTTGCGAATGTGGCTACTCTGTGAATTCAACCTCGGACCCCGAATATGCCGTCTTCACGGATTTGCTCGAGTCAGACTTCACCAAGATCAAAAACTTCCAAGATGACACCGATTGGCAGCCACAAGTCTGGGAACTGGTACCGACTCTTACCTACATACCTTTCACATTGCATAACATATCACCTTCATTTTACTAAAAACCCAAATAATCTACCTATTTAGGATCCCAAAAAAGCTCTAGGTCCATACGGCCGAGCAACCCGTCTCGAAGCCATCGTCCCGAATCCAGCTGTCAACATTAGTATCAATTCTAAGGGAATATACGGAGGACACGCTGGATTGAATCTCCTGGTTCCGAAGAATTACACCGTCATTGGGGGCGAGAAGTACCTCATCGGCGCCGAATTAGATTCTGCAAGGAACGACATGTTTTACGGGACGTTTAGGATCGGGTATCGGACCACGAAGTGGGCGGGTACATGTTTTGGATTCTATTGGTATATAAACACCCCTTTCCTTTATTTTTCCCTCATTTCTTTTCCCGTGCTTATCCGGCCGGTTTCGTCGATTCCATAAGTTGGCGCTATACGAGATTTTATCTTTGTCTAAGATCTCGATCTGATATATTACATACTACCTAATATATATCTATATAAACAAAGAACAATTTCTAACTTGTGAATAAAAATATTTTTTTTGAAGGTACCACGACGATAACCAAGAAATCGACATCGAACTCCTCTCCCGCGAGATAAACATGACACACACCCTCCTAAACCTCGTCTTACACACAAAAGTCGGTGGCAGCAATCTAAAAGCCTTACCCGGAACCTTCGAAGTGGCCGCAATCCCCTACAACTCTAGCGCGGAAATCCACGAACTCCGTTTCGATTGGACACCTCGGGCTATTACCTGGTATCACGACGGTGAACAAGTATGGACCGTCTCGAATGAGACTTTGTTCCCGCAGGAAGCAGGGCATTTGGTTATTACGCATTGGTCGAATGGAGACCCTCTTTGGAGTGGAGGTCCTCCCGAGGGGAATGCGGCGTTGTTGTTGACTTATGTTAAGGCTTATTTTAATTCTTCGGATTTTAGAAGAAAGGGGGATTATGGAGTTAGATGTGGGGCTGTAAGTGGTGGTGGTGGTGGTGGTGGTGGTGGTATTGGGGAAGATAGTATTTGTGAGATTCCTACGCAGGATGGACCACCGAGGTATGATGGCGTTTCTGCTAGGGATTTACCATATTTTTTCAGTAATGATCGTTCGCGGAATGCAACGTTCAATCAGACGGTTTATGAAGATGTGAAGAAGAGTGAAGGGGAGAAATTGGGTGGTGGTGGTAGCGGGCCTGGAGGTTCCGGAAGCGTTTGGGGACCTGCGGCTCAGTGTTCTGTTGTTCTGTGGATGGTGTTTTTGGTATTGATGCCTATGGTGGGCGGGAGTAGCTATGGTGGGAGGTTTGTTTAGTAGGGGGGACGTTCCTCCTCCTCCTCCTCCTCCTCCTCCTCCTCCTCCCCCTCTCTCTTTTTTAAATTCTCCTCTCCTGGCTTGCTCAGTGAGGCTTAGATTGTTTATTCTTATGGTCTCTTTTATGAGCGTTGTAGAGACTTTAGCTAGTATGGGTTTTCTTTTATAGGTGTTACTAGGCGGAATTTACGGGATAGCGGTGGTTTTTTCATTGTTATTATGAGACTGTTCCTAGATAATAGATAGAGGGAATACATATAATAGATATTGCCATTCTTGACTCCGTAAACGAACTCTATTAGCTAGTCTTTTGATAGTTCCTGATCATGATGGTGGACTACAATGAGAGGGTACTACCAAGGTGCTGGATCTCTACCTAGATATCAGTGTAATCTTTGTACTCCGATTCCAAACGAGCATAATTTCATCAAATAACCCTCTAGATCCTCTTCATTTTCGTTATCTTAACAAAAAAAAAAAAAAAAAGAATCTCCAATCTAATCCACCATTCCTATCCAACGCAAAACATCCCTCTAAAATACCACACTTGCCTCTATCTTCGACTAGATCCTCACATACTTACTTAAGTATATTAAATGGCATCTACGCCGGATCCATCCCATCGAATTCAATCAACCTCCTAACCAACGCCACAGCTTCACTCCCCGCAACCTCCAACCCCGGATTCTCCACTTTCCTCTGCAACTCTCTATCCAACAAAACCCTCAAACACTTCACCAAAACCCCGATCCTCAACCAACATTTCACCCTAACCCACCCATCGACCTTCACCCCTCTCCCGCTCATATCCAACTCCACATTCCCACCCAACAATAAGATACCATAAGCACTGACAGGTGTAACATCTCTCAGGAAAATCTTCGACGTAGAAACTTTACTCGCGTAGGCCATGAACGCTGCGTTTCCCTTGAAACCCTGGGCGTCGAATAATGTACTCGAAGGGTGTAAGAATGCTCTTTCGTCCTCTGTGAAGTATTTGATGGTCCTGGCTTCCGGATCTAACTCTTTGGCTCCGCTCATTGTTGCGGCGTATTTCTTCTCCGGTAGTTGGACTCGTGCGATTTGTGGACTGAACGAAGAGGCGACGATGGCGCGGACTAGTGCGTCGTTCCCATTTTGTGAGTTTAGAGAACGGGTGGAACCGGCGTCTTTGTGGTAGGATAATGGGAGGAAACCGATTTCTTGGAGGGAAGAGATGTATTGTGATTTATTGGATCGGATGTCGTTGAGTGTGGGGAGGGATAGCATGTTCTGGTCACACCAGTTGCGAAGCTCGGAGTGTGAGAGGGTTGGCGAGATATTCGACCATTCTTCGAAAGCCTGGTAGTCGGCGAATAAATCTCCACCACCTGCGCCGAAGGAAGAGCGGGCTCTATGGTTATACATATATGTTAGTAAAGTTGCATTTCCAGGCTTTTCTTTTTATGAAAAGAAAATACGTACTCTCTCGATTCGTCCCGCTTGTCTCGAGGAACAACAAATGGTGACTTGACCGCCAATATAGATGCAATCGTCAAAGCTGCATCTACACAGCCGAATATGGATCCGTATATCATCAATTTCGCACTCCTCACATCCGCCGGGATCGTACTCAGATGTTTTCCAAGACCTGTCAAATCATCATCTCTGAGAGCTCCCATTCGAGTCAACGTCGTTAGCGCCGCATCCACAGTACGGGTATCCGGTGGTGTCAACGCTGATCTCAAGAATGTTCCAACATCTTTAACTCCCATAGCTTTAATCGTAAGACCTGTCAAACCATAACCATTGTTAGCCAATCCCTAATAGTTCATGGGAAGGTATCCTAACTCTTACATATATTCTCCAAAGGCACTCTCAAAATCTCTGGTGTTGTAGCTTCCTTCATCTTTTCCATCTCTGCGTTTCTCGTGTACAATTTATAACAGTTACCCTCCCTAACTCTACCAGCTCTACCCCTACGCTGCTTGCAAGACGCCCTCGATGCCCATGTCTCCGCGAGCCGTATCATGCGGGTTTCGGGATCGAATAAGGTCTCTTTCACACGGCCGGTATCAATTACCGCCACAACATCCTCAATAGTGATTGAAGTCTCGGCGACGTTTGTCGCACAAATAATTTTCCTTTGTCCCTTTGGTGCACGTAGAAAGACCTTTCGTTGTTCGGCGGGAATGAGTGAAGCGTGGAGCGGGTATGCGAGGTATCGGTATGATTCCGGAATATCGTTAATGGCCTTTATCGCCCGATGAATTTCCAAGGTACCCGAGAGGAAAATTAAAATAGAACCGTCTTTATCGCCAAGTTCTTCATCAATCGTTTGGACGGTGGCGGCGATTAATTCATAGTTGACACCTTGTCCAAGGGCTCTCATTTGCATGCCAATGGCAGGATCCACATCCGCTGTATCGGCATCCACTGGTCTTAACTTTTCTCCGCGAGCCAAGGCGTTGAAGTTCGTAAACCGAAGGACATCGTCGAGATAGCTTTGGGTATTGTTAGTCAAAGATACAAGAGGCAGATGGGAACCGTCTTACAAATCGTTAACGGGGAATGTCCGCCCTTCAATATTGACGATTTGGACGTTGCCAAAGTAGTCAGCAAAGACCTTTGCATTTAAGGTCGCACTAAATATCGTTAGTCTTGCTGTCATAAATAATCAAAATTCACAGCTAGCCTACCTCATCAAAACCAACTTCAAATCCTTCCGTTTCTCTAACAACCTCTTCATTAGAACCAACAAGAAGTCACTATCCAGGGATCGTTCGTGAACTTCGTCAATTACGACATGAGAAACATCCGATAGCCCATCACCATCGTGCAAACGTCGCAAGAGGACACCGGTTGTCATAAAAGTGATACTGGTATTAGGTCCTAGTTTTGACTCTCCTCTAATCGCGTATCCAACCTCCGTTCCCACTGCGACGCATCTCTCCGCAGCAACTCTCTCAGCCAAACCAATGGCCGAAATACGTCTGGGTTGCGTGCAAAGAATCTTTGCCGCAGTCCCAAGGTTCCGGCGGATCAAATCGTCCAAGACAAATTGGACACACTGTGTTGCTGTGGTATTCTGTTAGCTACACCCTCACAGCTTCGATAGCTATGAGAACACTTACATTTTCCAGAACCGGTTTCACCAGAAATGACGGTAACTGAGTTACTATCAATGCACTCAGTAATATGTGCTCTAAGGTTCCAAGCTGGTAGTGATCTTCTAATAGCCATCATCTTTCTTCCTTCCATAGAATCCATTCTCTCTTCTGCAAGTTTTAACATTTGCAAAGCCTCAGGAAGGCCCGGGGTCCAATCAATCGGGTTGGATCTATGCTTCGGATTTTTCTTCTTCTGTGCTATATGTTTATGTGCACTCCTGATAGCAGCTGCGCCAGCAACCACGCTAGATACTTCTTTCAGCTTGCCAGGTCGATCTACCATCTCTTCAATTGAAGTTTCTAGCCAATCGACAACTGCAAATATCATAGCTTCGCCCTTTAAAGGCTCTGCATAATCAGCAATCCGTCTAATCAAGCTCAACCGCACATGTGAAGGTAATAGTGGCTCGCTGGTTACAGCCCATATCGGAATCTCATCGGGATAAGAGCCTGAACATGGCTTCCTGACTTCCAGAAACAGCTTCGTCGGAAGCTTTTTGCTGTTAACTTCCAACTTGATGTGACAAGTGTCTTCGGAGACTCGGGTGAATTTTTCGCCGTAGATAGCTTCGAGGGAGTCTTGTTCTTCTTTCCAATGTTCATCTGAAAATTCCGGTTCATCGTCGAAGATTATGAGATCGTCCTCGTTGTTGAATGCTCGTCGCTTGGGCTCGCCGTAGACTAGCGTTTGCATGAGAATCTCTGCAGCACGGGTTTCATTATCGCTACATGCCGCAAGTGCTTCACGCGCGGCTTCAATGGGGTACCCCGCCGTCGAAAGCCCTAAATACCACATTAGCTAGTTTTCTTTTAAGATAACGAAAGGACTCCAAATTATTCTAGGAGAACCTCTAACGTACTTTTGGCAGCGTACTCTCTCGCCAAAGAATCTGTAACAAAAGCCACTGCTCCAACCGTATAATTATCTGGCAGATACTTTGCTGGCATATCGTCCTCGGGAACATGAATAAGCAACCATTCTACAACCGACACCCCCACACAATCAGCCGACCATTCTTGATATCCTAGTAACTTGCGACCAACCTCGAACCTAATGCGTCCTCCAGATTTGTAGCCCACTCGCACGCTTCCTCTGCATGGCTGATTCTGAACCCAGCGGTAGTCAATTGACTAACAATCGAATATCTTGTCGTATTGTCGAGAGTATTGTCATATTTCCAGTCTTTGTTCAATCGAATGAACTTCTCGAGAAGGCCTCTCGAGCCCTTTCCCATGTTGACAAGGACCGAGCCAGCCCAGCCCCTGGGTACCTGCTTGGAGGATATTGCATGTGCACCGGTAGTCGCAACGGTTCCCACCAAAGCAGCCTTTTCCCTCGCTGCAGCTTTCTCAGCATCTGCAGCTATCCTTTCACGCTGTACCAGAAAAGGGTCTTCGCTGTACTTCGATTCTAGTCCTTGTTTAACATCTTCCTTCTTAACCGTTTCGAATGCCTGCCAGTAAGGCCTGTGAGTCGGTGGGAGCGCATATTGAAGGTTTCGACCGGAGTAAACCCTGTGTAACGCATATGTAGCCGCGAAATGTCGAGCTTCGAGTGCTGTTGGATGGAATGTAGGGACGGTCTTGAGGGTTGAAGGAGGATCGAAACGGATTGTTTCCGTCTCGTGGGTTTTGGGGTTCTTGTAACGGATTATGACGGAAGACTGGTGACCTTCTTTGAATTGTCTCTATTGGCGCTGTTAGCCACTCCATCTGGGGGAGAGAAGCACGGAAAGATAAGCAATGCTATGATAACAGGGAAAGAGATTCATGAAATCGCATACATTAGTGTACTCCGGCTTATCCCAATGATTCTTGACCGTCAATTCATAAAAGATGGTCACAGGGAGCTTTCCGGTCCAGCCTTTCCCGCCAATTATCTCGTTCAAGCTCGGTCTTGGAGGTTCCTGGGGTTCGACGGCGGCGGCAGCAGCGCCTTTGCCTTTAGCGCTGCTAGTGGTGGATTGTGTTTTGCCCTTCCCTTTGCTGGAGCTGGCGACAGCAGGTTCAGCTTTGGATTTCTCTGGGGCAGCCTTTGCAGGCTTTTTGGGCGGCATTTACGGCGGGCCTTTTTTTTTTTTTTTTCTTTCGTTTTTGGCTGGTATGTCTGGTTTGGAGGTGTTATAAGCTGCAGGGTATTTGTTTTTGGCGTGGTGGTGTTCGTTCGTTCTTGTTCGCCAACACGATGATAGCTGTTTGGCTAGTAGATGGTTGAGAAGGACAGAGGGAGAACTAGTACGTATTGTGGAGAAAAGAAAGAGAGAAATACAGGTGTACACCGCGAGATATTCAATCTTGAATCGAAGATAAGTATAACATAAGTCAATCTATCAAACATCATTTATCCTGCTTCCCCTTGTATCAGCCACAAAAGCGATCTCAATGGTACCGGTCATCACAAGGCTTAAAAGGGTTTGATGTCATCGGTCTAGATCCGATCGTCTGTATGAAAACCAAGCCATCATGATACTAATTTTACTTGGACTTAATGTTTCTTTCTTATTTCTATTCGTTCTGTTCGCTCTTGTTATTATTCTTCATCTTCGCCATCATCGCTTACATAAAAACATCACTGTTTGTTTGTTACAAGAGGTGTAATACAAATGTCTCGTGGACATCGTCGGCTAAACGTTAATGGGTGCATACAGCAAGGAGTGTAGTATAGTAATGGCGGTATAGTGTGGTGGGTGGTAGTATGGAATGGGAGTAGAAGAGGAGGGGCTTCCATGGGGGTTTCGGTCTTTCCATTGCGCAAAAGGGGTCTTTCTCATAGATAGGGAACTACATAAAAGGGCTTTCCTGTGTCCCCAACTTTTATTCGGGGTGTAGGAGGGACCAGGATATACAAAAAAAACGCCGGCAACTGTGAACCTGTCCGAAGAATCATGCTGAGAGGAACGATAAAAAACAAAAATCCGAAAGCAATAAAGGAGGCTTTGGGGCATTTGTCGCAAAGAAGAAAGAAGGGAGGGAGGAAAGAAAAGGAAAGGGGACAGTCGCAGACAGTTTATTTTACGGGAAAATATATTGAAAGGGAAAAGGGACATACAGGAAGGAAATATTGGTTTACAGGAGAAATCTGGTATCAGGACGTGAACGTGGGTTTAAATATTACAAAAAGAGGGGGCCGTACAGGATATCATCACTAGAACACGGTGTGAAAGAAGAGGGGTTAGGGTGACATGATTGGGTGAATACATTTCAAATATGGGGGTAGGTGCGAGGGTAGACGTAGGAACCAACAAAGCGAATTGTTGAAAGCACTAACAAAAACCATTAAATCCCGATATTTGAAGAAAAGGAACAGCTTTGTAATCGAGTCGAATGAAAAGGAGGACGTAGCTGCATCGTGTGCTTTTTTTCCGATTCTACTAGTCCTCTTGTAATTCAATCGATTGAAAAGTCCGGTAGGTGTGCATGCTATGTTAGGTAAGCGAGACAGCTTACATGTCCATAGTATCACCCTGGTTGGCGAAGCTGAATCCTCCCTGGGCGGGCTGGGCGCCGAAGCTGAAAGTATTGCCCTCGGTAGTCTGCTGGGGAGCAAGTCCTTGAACATCTCCTTCGTCTTCCTCGTCGCCAAAGTACTTCTCAATGATGTTATATGCCTTCATGTAGATTTCCTCGTTGGCGTTGTTTTGGGCGTTATGAATCTTCTCCATTCCACCGGCTTCTTCAATAAACAAGGCGTACTTGTTGATGCCTTCGCCGCTAGTCTCCTTGTCCATCTCGCCAACCTTCAAGATATTCTCAAGGCCATCGAGGGCAACCTGAATGATCTTATTGTCCATGCAAGAGAGAAGGTCACACAATGGACGGATAGCGCCCTGGGCGACCAAGTAACGAATCTGATCAGGCTTCTGCAGACCGCCACTAGTAGCATTGGAGATAGCCCAGCAAGCTTCCTTTCTTGTCTTGAAATCGCCGTTGCTGAGCAGGTTGATCAGTGGGGGGATCAAGTTTCCATCAATGACTGCTTGGATCTGTGAAGAGTTGCCAGCAGTAATGTTCGAGATAGTCCAACAAGCTTCCTTACGAATGCCATCCTTTGTACTGCTAAGCAGGGATAGGAGTGCCGGGAGAGCCCCGCAGTTTATTATAACTTGGGTCTGAACGTCATCTCCTGTGACGATGTTTCCGACAGATCGAAGAGCTGGTGTCTGAACGCTAGTAGAGTTGTGCATGAGAAGCTCAACGAGACGACGTGGGATACCCGCTTCGATCACGGCCTGGATCTTATCATTGGAGCCGTCGGATAAATAACTGATAGCCCAGCAGGCATCAATCAAGACCTCATCATCTAAGCTGTAAACCAATTTGGCCAATACTGGGAGGGCAGGAAGTATCTGATGTCAAGCGTTAGCCAAAAGGGGTCGCACTGCTAGCGGAAAGCTTCGATAGGGATATACATACGGTTTGCCAATCAGGTTGTGGAGTCTTTCCACGGCAGAAGTTGCTAAGAGTCCAAGTAGCATTACGGAGCATGCTCAACTTGCGGCTGTCCCCAAGAAGTTGGAGAAGCGGGCGGAGGGCACCAGCACTCAAGACATAGTCTCGGCATTGAGGGCTATCACCAGCAATGTTACCAAGAGCCCAAACAGCTTGTTCTCTAACATCGGGTTCGTGGCTGCTCAAAAGCTCAACAAATATAGGCACGGCACCGGCGTTGATAACTACTTGAGTTTGAGCGGCGGAACCAGAGGCGATATTAGTAAGAGCCCAGGCGGCTTCGAATTGAACCAAAGTATGAGGAGATCGAAGGAATTCAACGAAGCGAACAACGACACCACACTCGATAACTTTTTCGATTGGTGGGTTTCTTTCCTTGGAGAGCAGCTTTCGGAATTTGGTGGTGGCTAGGATTTGTTGGTCGATAGAGTCGGAAAAGACACCTTGGATCATGGAAGGGAGATCCTCGGTAAGCTAAAGGAAGGGGTGTCCATGAAGGTTAGCAAAAATTCCAAAAGTACACGTAGAGAAGGATAAGACATAAAAGAACGTATATATATATCAACAAGACGCGACCAAAGGCACAATATATACTTTCTGGAAGGGATACTGGGATTTATCAGGCGAGATAATAGGACAGGGTCCGATAAGGATTTTACGATAAAGCCCCACCAACACTTAGAAACAAGCGAAGACCACCAGGAACCCCAGAACAGAGGGAGAGGGGTGGTAGATATGAGGATATATAGGAATAAAAGGCTTACTTGAGATTCGGTATTAGCGCTCTCATCATCACTATCGACACCAGCAAGGCCAGAGTGTGGTGTAGGGCTTGTGATCTGGAGATTTCGTCTCTTGGCAAGGTTCTCCTCGCGTTTTTGCTTGCGGATCTCGACTTGCTGCTCTTCACGACGACGACGAAGCTCCTCAGGCTTGAAAGTGCCCTTGGCCTTGAAGTTTGTTCGTCTATGTTCTGGGATGAAGCGGTCGGCCATGTTGACGGGATATTGTTGATGGTTGTGGTTTTGGTGGTGTGGTGGTGGAGATGACTAGATTAGGAGGGAGGAAGAAGAGAGGATAAATTTTTCGAGTTGATAAAATATTTCCGCCCGCTGCGTTTGGTTTGCGTGATCCTGCACAAACAAGCTTCTCGAAGAGCACAAAAAAAGGAGAGGGAGATAAAAGTTAGCTCGATGAACAGACAACAAGACACGTTGGTGCTAATGAAGCTATGAGAGATGGTGATGGGAGAGTTTGAAGAGGTTTGGTGAGGAGGGGTATTTTGATGTGAGGGAGGGGGGGATGGATGGCTACCTAATGTTCTGCGCACGAGCCGGAGCTTTAAATGACTGGTGAAGGTTAGAAAATAGAAAGAAGAAAAAAATGAAATTAAGTAGCCCCGAGCAACAGCAAAAGCGAAGAGCAGAAGGATCTGAGCAAACCAACCTCGAAAAAGTATCAACGATGACTTTAAGACGACGAACCGTAGACGTCGGATGGTTTGAAGTCCAGCTGGTGATGGTGATGAAGGTGTGGATAAAGAGCAATGCAGATGAATTGGTTGTTTGTCTGATTGTTTGATTCGACTAAGGTAAGAAAGAAGAAGAAGGGACTTAAGTACTGGGAGTGGTGGTTCCTTAGGGGAAAGGGTAAGGGAAGGGAGGGTCGATTACTTCCTAGTTACTGGGTGGGGACCAGAAGGGAAGAAAGAAAAGAAACAAAGGAAGAAGAAACAAAGCTAGTACCCAGTAACTAAGTAGGACTTACTTACTAAGTAACTATACCCAATACACTCCGTCTAGAATCAATCAATCAATCAATACTCATGCACAGCTCCTCTTCTATATCTTCTTCGTCTTAGTAGTGGTAGTAAAGTCTCAAGGCCTTCTATGTTTCATGTTCAAAGAAGGCAAACTTCAGCTGCAACCCCTCAAGCTAAGTAGTTAACTAAGTAAGTATCTCGTTCGGTGGCAATAGCTACTAACTAGGATACAATGCACACGTAGAAGGTCTTTCATAGGTAATGCAGATAAGTATATGTATGTCGATTATTGCAGCAAATCTACGGAAGCTCTAGAGCTAGCTCCTAAGGTGTCCTTCACCTAAGTACCTAAGTACTTAAGTATCTACTTCTCCTAATACAATACATGATATACCCACGCCTTATAGTAGCCTCGAAGGTCTAAGTACTTAAACGCATGGAACTTCGAACGCAAGCTGGCCCGACCTGCAGGTGCAGCTATGTCTGAGCTCTAACCGCCCGAGCACCCTGAAGCTAATACCATTAATTTACCCCTCCTCGTCCACCGAGTCCGTTCGGTGGCGTATGAACTTGATAGGTATCCAAGTCATCGGGATAGTCGGTATCCCCTCGTCTTTTCAGCGAACGGGTCTCGCCAGCCTTCGCTTGGCGACCACTGTTCCCTCAACCAGGCTGCTAAAATTTAGAAATTTCCTACTGGCTAGGTAAGTAAGTACCTTGTACTGTGCTGCACCACCTATAGCTTCAACTGATATTGTCCCACATGGCCGTGTTGCTTATTGTTCTTGGAGGTTTGCCCTTTCGCATTTTTTCCGTTTATGGAACAGGGCAGGACTAACCCCAAAGAATGCAACAGGCAACACAGATAGTGTGATTCCAAGTCGCCTATGACAGGCATTATTAATGGGGGAAGCCAATACCTGGTAGTAGTTGCTAATAAGCACCGCGGTACTGTACTTGTACCACTATAAAAGTCCCATAAGATTAAAAATATGACGATCTCGAAGCGGATAAGTAAAAACGAATAAAGCACCAATTGCCGAGACTTACCATATGCACTATTTCATCAGTGTGATTTCATCTGCTTACCTCGCAGCCCGTATCTAGGTGGTATGGGACACTCCAGGAATGAGACTACCAGGACTTTAGAGAGAACCGAGAGCAGTTTAATTATATGTATTACTAGAGTGTTTGTCATGGTTTCTAGACTGTCAAAAAATCCTACACGAGATTCGATTCATCTACTACTAGTTACCCGCAAAACCATAACTCTACAAAAACATCATCACTCGCTAATTGATCGCCGTGTTACAAGCGAAAGAATTAGAAGGGGGAAAAAAATACACAGATTACGAAAGCTACTAAGTATACTAACTACTAGCCCAGCCTATGTAGGGGCAGGGTTGGTGCGGACCTGTAGTTATACCAACTTTCGCCGTCTGATCTTAATTAAGGTTGCACACCTAGGTACCTTTAAAACAAAAGAAAGCTTAAAGTATCTTTGCCAACCTCCACCCGATTGGGACTTCAATTGGCCCATCGGTTCCAATTCTCCTTCCCACTGTAGTGTATTCTTACCACCCCCATGAACTTTCCACAGTATCCTAACCTGGTGCTCCATTAAGCCACATCAAGGGCATCCGGCCTGTAATTGCTTGTTTTTATGTACCAGTTTCCATATAAACACCTCAGGAGTCTGTATGTCGACTTCGGACCATTTCAGTCCGCTTCTTCTTTGATCATTTCTACTCATAACCTCTTACGGAAAATCGTTTACGATATATATAAATATATGCTTCCTGAAGCTTGACTGTTGCACAGCAGGTATCCCGCTATAGACGATAGAACACCCGTACGGCTTCTCTGGACAATACATAGCATTGATTTTAGTAACGGATGAATCTCGATTTCCTGATGCTATAACCCCATAGCCTCTCTTTCTCTTCCTCCCTTTCCCTCCCTCTCTTTTTGTTAAAAAAAAAATAGAAGAACAATATACTAGAAAAAATGCACAAGCCTATGCCCATACGGAGGGTAAGCCCCTTGACCTGGGTCATCGTAGCAATCTTTTCCCTCGCTGGCGTCATTTCAATATACCACGGTTTGGCATCCTCGCAGAAGGATACGAGCTTCTTCGATCGCATCAATATTATCAAACCTTCAGAAGCGGATACAACCCAATCGGTACAACCGGTACGATACCACGATGTCAATTGCTATCCCCAGTTATATCGATATATCTTGTCGCTAACTTTTTTCGTTTCTTGGGCGATATTAAGAACCAGAATGTGACAGTACACGATGAGCCAGAAGAAGAGGAAGACCGCCCGCTGGTCCTCTATGCATACCACGAAACCGATAACGCCCGTGAAAACCTTCTTTTCTTTATCAGGCACGGCCTTCATGCTGAAGCGGATTTCATCTTCATCCTTAACGGTCCCACCACCATTAAATCTTCGATCCCGATAAATAAGCCAAATATCAGAATTACTGAAAGGAATAACACCTGCTTCGACCTTGGCGCGCATGCAGAGGTGCTGAACAAGGAGAATAAATTTCTCATCCAAAAATATAAGAAATTCATCTTGATGAATGCATCGGTTCGAGGGCCTTTCTTGCCGACATGGAGCAGAGAATGTTGGACGGATACTTTACTCGCCAAAGTCACGGATAAAAACAAAGTAAGTGATATACGTAAGCATACCCCCCTCTGGGTTTTCAAGCGACTTTCTAGTGGCCGGGGGCGAAAGTAAGCAAAACGGGTGGGGCGAGTATACGTACCTCCTGGTCTACCACTAGCCGGGTCAATCCCACGATTCGGTTTTCCGGTCTAAGCAAAAAAGAAAACCCTTCAATTCTCAGCACACTGTGTCACCACACCCATATCATGCTTGTCGCTGGCCCACCTGTTTTATTTATCCTTTATGCACCACAGCAGTTGCAATTGCTGGGTGTTGGATAGATCTGTCTCCTATGCGTTGATATCCCTCATATATGCATATTTTGAAGCACGCACGGGGTAATGCACCAACTTCAATTGATTCTAACTGTTGTAAAGTTAGTAGGAATAAGTTACAACTGCAATGAACCCCGCCACGTCCAATCCATGGTTCTCACCACTGACAGTATCGGTCTCTCCCTTCTCTTTCCCAAAATAAACCGCTGCTTTAATACCCTTGGAAATGCCGTTACCGGCGAAACTTCGATTACAGGCGCCATAACCCAGGGCGGATACAATGTCACCGCGCTCATGACTGCTTTTAGGTCATCTGAGGACTATGCGAATACCTGCACACACGGAGACATATATTGGAATAAATCGTACTACGGAATAACAGTACACCCGTATGAAGTAATGTTTCAGAAAGCGAACAGAGATAACGACCCTGATGTGTTAGCCCGATTTACGGAGTGGACTGATGGAATGCAGTACAACAGTTGGACGGTTTGTAGGAGAGCAGCGAATGTTAGGAAGGCGGTAAGGGAGATGAAGAGGATGGGCAGCGAGCTAGATTTTGGGATGTGACTAGAATAGATACTTCGTGTTTGATCTGAGGTTGCATTGGTTTCGTAACGTTAACATTGTATGGTTTTTGTGTGGAGTTTTGGGGCGCAGTTATAGTTCATTGTATAGATAGTATAGATATTGTACATGTCATATGCATACCACATATAGGTATTAAGTACTATTGTATCGCTAGTATCATTTAATATTCAGGTACTTGGTAGGCAATGTTCTGGAATTGGGGAACTAATTGTCGGTGAGCCCGGTTTTCAATATTTACCGATGCAGATGCCAGCATCAAGTGCAAGCTTTCAGCTGTGCGTCTGTAGTCCGGCCCTGATTCTGGACCCGCTTTGGTCTGATGTACCCCCCCTGCCAGCGTGCAACGTTCTATTGGCTGGGTGTATGCCATGTCAATAGACCCATGAAATGGTGATGCCGAAGGTCCTATAGCGTGCAACACATGGGGGTTGGCGACAGTTAGACACCAAAACGCGACTTCAAAAAAACCCAACATATCAACACCTAAACGCCATCATAGCAACAACAAACTCCCTATCCGCCATCTGGACCATCGTACGCACATACAGCGCCTTACCATGTCACTAAAGGCCCAGTACGCTTCTGTCACGGAGGCTAAGGCTAAAATCGACCAATTCGTTGATTTAATTGGGATATCAGTCGGCTTCAAGGCCCCCAAGCAGTCCTATGGTACCGGTATGCTTATACCTAGCTACTATAGAATATACGAGGATATATTTGCTGATTTTTGTTATTTCTATTATAAGATTTTCAAGCTACGATTGAACTATGCGACAAGTCTGCTACGGTTTACGAGAATAGACTTACAGTTCGGATATTTCGACCAGATGCGGAATCTCTGCCTCAGGAGATGGACATTGGCGAAACTATCGTTGTATTTAAACATATCAAGGTGATTATAAAAGCCCAATACTATATAAGAATTACGCTGGCATAAGATGTAACATTGAATTTCTTATCTATAAAATATAGGTCGTAGCACTGAAAAATCAGGGAAATGCTCTCGTCGGCATGACAAATAAGACTCGGTCCTCCTGGGTCATCTGCAAAGCTGATATACCGAGCAAAAGGAAGTCCGCCGGCGGCCAAAATAAACGCAATGATAGAATTAGAATACGCATTGTTGACAACGGACCCTACCGTGTCCAAGACCCCGAGAAAAAGAAAGACTTGCTGTCAGAGGAAGAGTACGACGCTTGCAGGGATATTTTCGAGTTTTTTCATACACGCGGTGGCCTAGCCGGATGTCATGGTATGACGGAGCGGGATTATAACGAAGATGTCAAGCCTCAGCAAGAAGTACTCAAAAAAGCCGCGTTGATAAAAGAGATTCAACTTGATCATTTCTACGACCTGACGTGCTTTGTACAGCATGTCTGGTCGCATAATAGATTTGTTGAAATCACGGTTACCGATTTTACGGAAAACAAGAGTTTATGTCCGAGGGGTATCGATCCGTTTAGTGATGAAATGGAACCGACTGTTCGTAATGAAACCGAAAGCTATATGCTCGAAGGGGCCGGTGTTACGCGGAATCCGAAGAAATCAGCTAATAAAAAGTGGTTTGAGAAGCCATTTGGGTTTTACTCTTTAAAGATCGCATGCTGGGATAGCTGGGCACAGAAGGCAAATAGCGAAATAACAGAAGGATGCTACCTGGCGCTCACGAATGTTTTGATAAAGAGAGGGAAAAGTGGTCAATGGGAAGGATCGATCTCAGATGGCAAAAAAGCAAGAAGCTTCAGGGATGGATTCAAGGTTTTAAGGCCTGAGAACCCTGCTTTGAAGCCGCTCCACAATCGGAAAAAAGAGCTTTTGAGACTTGTCGCTCAGAACGAAAACGAAAGAAGTGTGAGGGAGCGAAAGCTGAAGGAGGAAAAGGCGCAAGCAAAGCTTGCGGCAGAGCTAAAAAAACGACAAGAAAACAACCCACAAGGTAAGGAGTAATCCTGCCCCGATTTAAGTCACTACTTCTAATCTTACGACATAGTGCACTGTGGCTATATCTCTGTCGAGACAACTACCCTTGGAAAGATACTCAGGATGCTTGATGGGGACGACGTGGATTTCTTCAACCGGAGATACCGTACCGAATGTCGGGTAGTTGATTTTCGACCCTCGGATATCCGCGACTTCGCTAGAAGAATCAACGGTGATACTGGAGCATGCGCCGTTGATCTGGAAGCTTCGATGGGTACCGAATCTGGGCATGCCAAGCATCCACCGGAGTGGTACTGGTGCTTTGAACTTGACGTCGTTGGGAAAGAGGATGATGCGATGATTACCATTCACGTTGATGACGCTGGTGGACGTTACTTATTAACTCCGGAGCCTTGCGAGTAAGTATAATATCGCTGCTCGCGCTAATATGTAAATTCTGTGCTAATGAAATTCTTCTAGCTTTCGTGCTGATGCAAACCGTTATAAATACGACGAACTGAAAAACGAACTCTTCCACCTTTGGGGGAATCTCGAAGAGGCCAAAACAAGACGCCGAGAACGAATCGAAGTTCTCGAAAACCATGTGAGGTCTCTAATAAACCAGTATAATAGCGGAAAACATGACCAAAGGTTTCTAGAGCAGCGATATCGTATCCTCGCTGCACAAAGGCAAGAAATACAGGGCAGGCCGATTATTATGGATCCGACGGTCTCAAATAAGTTTTTCTTTGCTATAATCAAGGAGTACGGCGAGGATGACGAGGATGGTGTCCCTGAAAGAAAGTTTATACTGGAAAATACTTCTGTTTCTCGAGGCCTTGTTACGAGAGAACGGCAAAAGGCTCTAGACAGAGCTCGAAAGAGAGCTCTGGCTGATAGCGACCAAGGAAGTATCCAAGTTCCAGAAGGGGTTGATCTGATGGTTTTGGATGAATGAGCATGATCATAAATATTGATGCTTGACGCTATGATGATGGCGAGCGAGCCTTTCTTCAGATCTTCTTTTTCATTTTTTAATTCATATATCTTGTAGTATAGAACTCTTTGCATAGCTTTTGGCGTCCCTCTTGTTTCCCTACCCTTTCCACCCTTGTTGACGTCCTTTTTTTCTTTTTTCGTGAAGGAATACCTTAGACTCCCACACCCTCCACGTTTATGAGATGCGCGCATTTTGGTCGTTTTTGTTGTAAATTTGGCGTTGTCGCAAAAACCCTTGTCCAAAATTTCGATATCGTCGCAGCAGCTTTCTCCAAAACCTCGACCTTATCCTAACATTAACATTCAACCCTTCACTAATCCACCTAATACTTAACAAATTTACCCTCACAACCACCACCAATCAACCCCCCCCACACACACCCCCAAAATGGCCCCTCCCACAAATCACGAAAGGAACAGTTCCTCATCTTCCAAACCCAAAAGAAAGAAATCCAAACGTTCAAAGAATGACAACGATGACACTCCAAAAGCATTCACCCGTCTCATGGCCTACGCTGCCACCGGTAAACGTCCCAACGGCCTCGATGAACCAAAAACAAAACCTACGTCTACTTCAAAGAAACGTAAACGCTCAGATCCAACGAGCGAATCAAACACCGTCGGTACTTCTAATACAGTCGATACATTACCCGAATCCGAACCCTCTACTACTACCGCTCCGGAACCTTCGAAACCGCTGACCCTGCTCCCCGGCGAAAAACTGTCCGACTTCTCCCGTCGAGTCGATGCAGCGATCCCCGTTTCTTTCAAGGGTCTCCAACGTGGAGAAGACAACCCTAAAAACCGGAAGCTAAAGAAAAAGAAAGCGGCCGAAGAAGCGGAAGCGGCAGAAGATATTACGGAAGACAACTACGATTTCGACGATAACGGCGATCTATTACCAAATCATCTAAAACCTCATAATCACAACCCGCATACTAAACAACAAGTCAACAAGACGACAAAGGGTAAAAGAAAGGATAGAAGTCCAAGTCCGTTTGCGGTATTACGAGAAAAGAGGGGAGCTGTACAAAGTAGCATCAATGACGTTGCGCAAGCCCCGCCGACTTTAACTGTACCGAAGGAGAAGCTGAGGGATAAGACTAAGGGTCGGGTGGGAGGTATTCAAGGTTTAGAGGTTCCAAAGGCCAGTGGAAGTTTGGCGAGGAGAGAGATGTTGCAGGAGGAGAGGAAGGGGGTTGTGGAGAGGTACAGAGCCTTGATGGCAGCGAGGAGTGGAGGCATGTAAAGTTTCCTTTTTATGCTAACTATGGCCTACGGGTGTACGATATATTTGGTTCTTTGTTTCTTTAGAAGCGTTTTCTACGGAAATATATATAGTTAATAAAGTCTATTTAGCACGTGCACTAGGAAATGAGATTATGAAATGTATAGTCGAGCGTGAATACAGAGACAGGGAGGCCCGTTTTGATCAGTGCAAAAGGGTATCATGTCGTTCGCGGCAACAGCGGCGGAGATAGGGGGCGTAGCAAAAGTATAGAACTATCATTGACAGGGGCATAAAGGGAAGGGAATGCGGCATACCGAGTTCACGAGGTGATAAAAGTACAATGAGTTCTAGACGTTTCGTGCTCTTTCCCGGCGTGCTCTATCCGTAGGATGGATGCAGAAGAGGCGTGGGCTAAAGGGAGTGATACATAATAGGGTTCGTTAGGTGTAGGTGTAGGTGTAGGTGTAGGTGTAGGGATGGAGGGAAGTGAAGATGAGGATGAGAAGGTTTCATCGGGGAGCCAGGCATATCAACAGAAATCAGGAAGCAGGAAAACCAAACAATCGCAATCCGCCCTTCACAAGCCACCATTAAAAAAAATATAAACCAAGATTATAAAAAAAAAGAAAAAAAAGAAAAAAAGAAAAGAAGAAAAAAAAAGGAAGAAGAAGATCGAGTAAAAGCAGAATAAAAGTACAAAAGGACAACAATCCTTTCTTTGAATCGAATCATTAATCGGCATCCACCATCTCCTGGTCTTCATCTTCAACGACACTTTCCTGCCTCTTCTGGTGCTCTTCTTCCTCTTCACGCTCCATCTCCTCATGTCGACGTATTTCTTCCTCGCGGGCTTCTTCTTCGTTATGTTCTTCATCACTATCTTCAATCGTTTCCTTACTCTTAAATGGTTTTCCGGAGGTAGTGGTAACAACAGGCTTAGCCTTTGGTTTTGCCCTTGAAGGCCTTGGCTTCGGTGGATCCAGGTGGTTCAAAATCTCGCGTAGGTTCTGACCAAGCTGTGATTTGTTCTTTAGCAACCTAGCCTTGAATATACTTCCATCAATAACTTCGCCGAGAACGGCAAGCGTAATCTTCCCCACAAACTCGCATAGCCGCTGCTCAAACAATAATGCAGCCTCCAGATCGGTGTTCTCTTCCGATTCTTCTCCTTCATCGTCACTACCAGAAGCCACCGTCTTGTTCGTAAGTTTTGCGAATTTCTTTTCAGCTGAAATGTAGACTTTGAGAATATCTTCCTGAATATCCTCGGGGACCTTGCGGGGGAACATTGAGAGCTTAGTAGTGGCAGAAAGAACAGCATTGAAAGTGTGGAAGTCGAGTAGAGCGCCGGCTGCTGCGATGCGGACTTCATCAAGGTCGCGAACGTTGATGATATCTTCTAGGCGAGCAGTGATTGCAGCCTCTGTTGTCCGTAGGGATTCAAGTTGTGGGAGATGTTCGTCGATTCTTTCATCGGAGGAAAGATCGAGTTTTGTGACTGATTCGACACTCCACATAAAGTAGTAGGTGAGAGTTTTGAGTGACGATAACCAAAGATCGTTTTCGGTCTCGTCAGCATTTTTGCCTCGCCCGAGAATGGAGGTAAGGACATCCGCGGGGGACTCTGCCCCGGGAGAGTCTTTAGCGACTTCCTTGCCTTTCTTGCTTTTACCCTTAGACTGCGAGGCTGAAACCTTTTCAAAAGACTCTTTGCAATTTGTCACACTAGCAAGATATTGTAATCTCTTCACACCAGTTTCGAGGTCTGAGAGCGTTTGGTCGCCAATATCACCCTTCTCAAGATTCTTCCCAGAAGCCAAGGAAACAAGGTAGTTCGTAACTTCATCCTGGAGTCCTGTAACCTTCTGTGAAGTAACTTCCTCTAGCTCGTCAAATGATGCCGCACGTAAAAGGAACCCGCTAGCTTCCTTGAGAACGGATTCGTCCAAATGAGTCATGAACTGGCGAATAACATCATCTAATAGAAGTGAATATGCGCTCATCTGTCGAAGTTCCTGGTAAATATCGAGTTTCATGAGTTGCGCAATTCGAAGGACAGTGGCGGCGGTCTCTGGTGGTGGCCCAAACTTGTTAAGGAGCAGTGGAACATAATGGGCTAGGCTTCGTGAGATATCTTCTTCATCTGGCGCCTCCGATTGCTTTCGCTTCGTTTTAGTAGTGACAGTGGTAGCGTCTGCAGCAGCGGCAAGAGCGGATGTAATAGAGGCGTGGAGGACATGGAGAAGGATGGTTTCTTCTTTGGTTTTCAGAGCGCAGTAGCCTTTGATCCAAGACAGGGTCTCGTCGTCTGAGTTATTCTTCTGGTTCCCAGTATGATCGTATAAAAGGTATTTGGTGAGGTCTTCCCAGTCCTATACAGCAGTTAAAAGTCAGTTATCCGTAACGGCACTTCGAAAAATAAATAAATAAATGAACTTACATGTAGCTCCGGTATTGCCTTGTATAAAGCCGAGCCAGCAAGCTGGAATCGAGATTGAAGGCCAAGAGCAGCCACTCCTCTCGTATTAGTTTCCCGAGCCTGGCTATCGGCCGAGTCATCGGGGTCATATGTAGATAGAGAGTTAACAAGGCTCTTGAACTTAATCCAACTTAGTTGATGGCCTTCAAAATCCTCGTCATCAAGATCGCCCGCCGTTTGGAGGGCATCCTTGACTGCATCCTCGCCACCGCAATCCTCAATCTGTTCGTCGTAGCTTTCCTGCACACTAGTTGCGAAGAAATCAGCAACAGCATTTCGGACTTTGGCATCTGCATCATAAAGAAGTTTCCCGATGTTAACAATATCATCAGCTTCTAAAAATCCAACTTGTCGGACTTCGTTGAGTAACAATATTGTTTCAGCTCGGACGCCGGAGTCTGCATCTTGAAGAGCCATTTCAACTAATCGTTCTCTGAAACGTTCCGTGAAACTTCGTAACCCTCCAACATTGGCGCGATCCTTGAATAGTTTTGTCAGGGCCTTAATGACCTCAGAACGGACCCCGACAGTAGTATCCGAGAGTACCCAACCAAAGTAACGAAGGTACGACGACTCGAAAAAGGTGCTCGGCAACTTGAGGATCCAAACACCAAGTTCATGGATACATTCTGCACGAATTTTCCCGTCAACATCCCGGTATCTGTGGACGAAGACCGACTCGTATATGTCGCTGATCTGGTCCGTAACGAATTCTTGGTTTTCCTGTGCTTCATTTATGGTGCTTTCAAGGGACTTGATCCTGCCTGCATTTTTTCTAGCTTTGGATTTTTCGGATTCAAGTTGTTTTGTGCTATTGTTGATAGACTTTTCGATATCCGCCATTGTGCCGCATAGGGCCGTCATGATAGAAAGATTGATAGCTGTGCTGGTGTGTCGGAAAGGTCGTAGAGGGGAGCTAGACATAGTAGTGATCCAAATTTGAAGATTTTCGATAAGTGCTGGGTCGCTGGTAAGAACACCCGACGTGGAAATGTGATTTATGAGTTCGTAGAAAAATGCAGTAAGGCAGAATCGGTAACGACGGTATTTCTGAGCTCTCGATGCTATCGGATACTCTACCGATGATTCCTATTCTGGGGTATTAGATCATTGCTAGCTCCGGATGGGTAATGAATGCTTACCTTCTGGAAAATTTCTTGAATGTCTTCGAGTTTGCTTGCTGCAGAGTCAGCGTCTTCTATATCATCGCTTGTTACAGACTGGTTGCAACCGCAACTCTAAACATCGAAACAATCAGTGATTATAACTTTGGCTACGACAAGGATTTTCATTACGTACTCGGAAGATGAAGTTGACCATTGCGACCATCGCCTCCGTGTTATTGAACTCATAGAAATCGACCCAATCTTGAACGATCTTCGAAGCGTCCTCGCCAGCAAGAACTCGGTCTAGAAGCATAAACCATTAGTAACACTGTCCTCGTACCGAAAATCTTTATCATCGATCAATATGACTGACTAAATAGATCGTCTCCATCCAGCTCGACAACGCCATTTGCAGCTCCAGACTTCTTTCGCGGGGTAGCTCTGCCCTTAACAGGGGGCCCAGCATCGGTCCTTGACTTCTTTGGAGCTGGCTTTTTAGCCGGTGTACTAGCTGGTCGGGTCCTGCTAGGAGGAGCAACTTTGCTTCGGCTTGTTGTTTTCTTTCTAGAAGAAGGGGCAACATGGATTGATTCGTTTTCAGAGGCTTCTTCCTGGTCGGTGGCGTCAGTCGCATCGGATTGCTCTTCATCATTTTCGTCGCTACCAGCAGCTTCCTCGTCGTCTGACGCGTTATTCCCAGCGCCTACGCGACTATCTCTTTTTCGCTTTCGTTGTGTGGTGGGAGGTGGGGAGTATGTTGTTGGAGGTTTTCTGACACGAGTCGAGCGTCTTTGGCTGGACTCGCCAGATGGTTCAGGAGTGGAGGAGTCCTCGCCGGCGGCAGCCATTCTTCCTATAATTGTGAGGCTTGTTTGTGTGGGGGTCTCTGTCGATGTGGTCGCGCTCATCGTTAGTAACTGTGGTGATGTTTGGGTGAATTTGACGTGGTGTTGAGGCGTCGAGCCCAAACATCAACAGATTGGAATCACATGACTAAGCGACTGTTGGACAACTCTGTGTTGCGATGCGATGGCTTTGTCTTGTTTGCTTTCTATGAAATTGCCTGATTTGGCCTATCTTATCGGGCAATTACTCAGAAATATTTTCCGAGTCACTTGGCTGCTCGACAGTTCGAACTCACTCCATCCCACCACACCGCAACCAACCAACCGTCGGTCTCGACGACATCATATCGCCAACTTGAGTTAGCTTACATCCCTGCACATCGCGCATTGCGGCTTCGTTTCGCGATTGTGGCGCACTGCATCCATCAGTTTTTTTTGTCGCCTGCGATATCATAGCTTTGTCGCACCCCCTCCACCGTACACCTACCCACTTTCAATTCTAGTCATCTATTGACTTGCAAGCTCGATACCAATCGATAAAAAGACGATCAATCTGGATTCACATTAAGATCCACGCCTAGCCCTCTACGGATTGCCTTTATCAATCCTAGATCAATCAATATTTCGACGATATCAAAATATGAAAAACTTGAACAATGGCAGATACCGGCGAATTGTTAGACATCATAAAGGATGAGTGTGCTCTTACAGTCACACAAGGTACATCATGAGAATGAGCTCTCTTTCTTTTGACTTCAATGTCTAATTCCTTCTATGCAGGTCTCCCAGTTACATCCGTCTGGAAACTGGTAACCGACTACCTCGAAAAAGACGAAACCGTCGTCGTTCCGATAGAAATCCTCGATCCAACTGTACCCAACCCTCCAATTACTTATCACCCTGCTCGTCCCCTCGATATATCTTTAAGGCAAATTATTTGGGAATTTATACAACAAGATTCAGAAATTAGCATCGGTGTCAATAATGAAGGGAAAGATTTGTCATTCGATGACGCTGAGGCGGGTGTCGGCGCGGAATGTCAGCCTAATGCGAAAGGAAAACTAGCTGAGTGGAGGCTTTATGCATCAGAAAGTCTTCAATGGAAACGTATTGCTGGCCATGACATCGACAAGATCCGCTTGTTTCCCACTTTATGGGAGTTACTTAAGATTATTGCAATGAATAGAGAGGACGGGATTCTACAACCAGCTTTGACATCGCAATCTGGCCAAGATGCCCGCTCCGTGGGTCCCCGAACGAAAGATTTGGCTGGCAAGGGTTACATTATGAAGATACCTGTCATAGCCCTCAAAGTGCGTACTTCGAAGCTTATCCTGAAACGATTCTATAAAGGGGCGGTTGAGAAGCGTAAAACTCAAAAGAAGAAGCGTATGGCCACAATAAAGGAACATGCAAAGGCCGGAAAGAAACCTCCTAGAGAAATGCAAGAAGAACCCTTGGATATTGAAGAAGTGATCAAAACTATAATGAAGTTGTTAAAGTCAGCCAAGAACAAGGTCATGCTTGTCGAAGATCTAAAGTTTAGGCTTGTGAGTACCTTTTCCCACCAAGAATAGGAGCCTACAACTAATAATATATTTTCTAGAATTGCACCTCTACCAGATCTCGCAGAAAGGCCTGTCGTAGGATCTTGGCGAAACTTGAATCTATGGGATGTCTCCAGAAAATCAGGGCGTTGGGTTCGCAGCACGCTCACGCCGACAAATTCAATTTTGGTCCTGTCGGCGAGGATGAGGTTGCAGACTTAAAAGGCGCTCGGTTTTCGAAATGCGTCAAATTTGTTCGTGACTTGCGGCCTCTCGAGTGGCCAGAAGCTGTCAAAGGAGTTCGGCCTGCGGTCGCACAAGATGAAGAAGAGGATGATCTTGATGAGATAGATTCGGACGATGAACAAGATGACGGCTACAGAGTTATTCGATCTGCGCCCATGGTAAGAATTATAGATGGGCGACGGGTCACTGTCCCATTATGGAGGAAAACGCATCTCATGCACATAATCTATGATCAAGTGCTAGCTGCAGGTATAGAGGGCATCCGAAGCGGGGTATGTTCCACCCATACTCATTGTCTTTGGGGATCCACGGTATAATTAACATGAATTGGATAGTTACTCTCTGGCGCAGTCTTTGGTCCATTCTACTACCGCCCGTTTGATCAGATCATGGGACGGTGGACGACAAATTCTCTTCTCAACCAGCCCGACCATCTCAAGTCTACATCGCTTGTTAGAGAAACTGATATATATAAAAGAACCGCTAATTACCGATACTGGACTACGGAACATTTCCAGGCCATGCTTGAAGAGAAGCAGATAGACTACGCGGCTGCAGACGCAGCGGCTAATCCTTTCAAAATAGGTCAAAAGAAAAAGAAGTTTATCACTAAAGTTGATCAAAATGACGATGACGGCGAGGAGCCCGGATCTATTGACCAAAATGGGTTCGGGAGGTTGAACACCACGAGTTTTGTTCACGGCGACGGCCGTGGAAGCTTCCAGGATTGCCAAAATGCGGCCCCAAAGAAAGGAAGTGGCTTGAAGCCTCCAGGAGTATCTCCGTTGAAAGGTCGCAAGAGGGTTAAACGTGAACCAGGCGATCTAGAAGGTCCACAGAAGTTACTGAAAAAACGGAAGGCTCCTAGAAAGAGTGATGCCACTGAGGCGCAGGAGGAAGATATGGAACCTCCAGTGGAGGATGAAGCGGTTGTTATTATCGGCCGGAAGAGGAAGTATCCTCCTGGCACGGAGCCATATCTGAAGGAAAAACCTCGGATTGAAGCGGTGAAGAAAGCACTGAGATTAGGCTCTATTAAAGAAGTCCTCGCGGATGGCACGCCAATCAATTCTGGCGAGCTTCCAGAAGGCTTCCAGCCTCTTTCTGCAATAGATGAGAATTCTTGGACGGTTGAAATGATCGCAGAGAGGACATTCTTCGACCTCGTGGGGCTAAAACCTTATCAGATACCTCTGGCTACAGCACGCTACCGGAGTGCGACTACCAAAAAAGGCCGCCCAAAGAAGTCGGAGATTGCCTCAGAACCACTGCATTCACCTTCACCAGTCCCGTCGCCTCCTCCGCCGCCTCCTCCACCTCCACCACCAACCCAGCAACAAACGTTCCAGTTAGGCCCAATTTTCCAACCTGGCCCTAAAGGCCTTGTGGAACTTGCAATCGAGACCAAGTCCCAACCCGAAACCCCGAGTAAACCGGCTAAAAGAGTCTATAAACGAAGAAAAACAGACGGTAATGATAGTATACCGATCAGCGAAGCGGCTGCGGGATCCGGGGTGGCGGGTACGGTCGAGCAGCCTGTTAGTTTAGAAGATACCACTCGACCTACTATTGAAGCATCGACCCCCCAAAAGCAATCCCGGGCTAAGAAGTTGAAGGAATCTGCTGCCTCTGGAGTTGGACTTAATGAAATTGCAACCAAGCCGACTCCTAAACGCAAGGCTAATAGCAATAGTACTCCTCTTAAAGCATCTCCCTCGAAGAAGGCTAAGATAGCTAGTCACGATCTCACTGTCGAACCGGCTAGTCAACATGAAGGGGTAGTAACTATGGGGGCCGACACCCCCCGCGGCATTATGGTTCAGACAAACATTCCACCGGCGGCACCTACCCAGACAAAATTTAGCAGAAACCACAGCTCGGCCCCAAACCTCGATGCTACATCTACAGATACAACCTTTTCAAAGAATCCTATAACTTTACCGGGTAAAACTACTTTTGGCCCAGATTCGACAGATTCCGCTTCTATTGTAGATGGAGACCAGGAACCAGATTCAGGTAACCCAAAACCTGATCGAGAACCAGCGCCAATGATATCACAAAAAACTCCTGGTGCTTCAAAGTCTCAGTTACAGGGCATAGAAAATCATGCTGAATCGTCAACTACCGAAAGACCAAATGATAGGATCAGAAAGGACGATGTGCCCCAGAGTGGAAATTCCCCCGTTGTCATTGACCTTGAGGCGGCTCAACCTGGCCCGAATAATGATATTTCCCAGGCCGGGGGGCGAGATTCATCCCCCGTCAAAGCCTTGCCAACTGCCCCGGAGCCTCCTAAACTCCAACCGTTTATAGGTGAGGATGGAATTCGCCTTGAGCTCGTTCCGGCCGCAGTCCGCAAAAATAGGAGCATTGGCGGTGTTCTCAAGGCCAACCGACGTCGACTTCTCATGGACCTCCTCGCATCCGCTGGGGGTGCAATCTCCGTCAATACTGGGTACCGCAGATTTGTCGAATACATCAGAGAACAGACCGACCAAACATCGAAAATGGATCGCAAAACCTTTAATAGTATTATTGAAGACACGAACCGCGATGGGAAACTATTTGCCATCGGAGTCTTCAAGGGTCCGAAGAGACTAGGAACCATAATTGCGACAACGGATACAACCTTTCAGGATGAAAAGGTTCAGCAAGCCAAGAAGACTATACTTGAAGAAATTGACAAACCTTTTGCTTGGAAACAAAATGTTTCTAAGGGGATAGTGCCCAAAACTGTTATCGTTCCGATTGAACGTATTGACTTTCAAAGGTATTCCTATGCCAGTAAGGCAGCTGCTCTCGGAAACAGCAGTACTAGGCGTCGGCTGGATGATGAGAAAATGTCTACGCTTGCACGACTTCAGGCTATCACCGAAAGCGAGAAGAAAGAGAAAGCGGCGAAAAAAGGTAAAAAGGGAGTCATCAAGAAGTCTCAGCCTATTACTACTAGGACACGTTCAAAAACCAACAACACTCATTTATCGCGACAACTTGATGCTGGTAGCGACACTGAAGGATTTGGCAGGGGTAATGAGCATCTCCGGGGAGCTAGACAAGGCAAACAAAGTGACGATATGGACTCCGATCCTGATGTTCCAGAAGACGCTTTGCATAGATGGCAGGTCCCTCGTGCAGATCCTAATATGTATCCTGGACACACGACCAATTTCCCTCCGTATACTGTACCGGAAGCTGGAAACTTTGGCTCTGGAAGTTTGGGAACTTATGAGGACTATGCTGCTGTATCGGCTGCGAGGAATGAGATTGAGGCAAGATATGGCAAGCTGGATGCCGACGATTACGAGTTAATTCGACCAAGGAGACGAACACAAGCAGGCGGAAGGGGTGCAAGACCTCAGGTCCGACCTATGATGACCAATGAACGAGAAATAAACCCGAATCTCGAACCGCTTGTTGCTCCGACAGAACCCAAGAAACGAAGCAGGAAGCCCAGAGAACTCAGATCAGCTACAGAGCCAAGGGCTACGAGAGAGAGAAAACCGAAGCGTAGGTTACATCACCATGACTGTTATATATTACATACTGACTATTCTTTCTGCAGCAAAAGTTATAAGGATACCTCGTCCAAAGGATGTACCACGCATAAGAACGACTTTGGAGGAAGACGAAACGCTTACATTAGCAGTGATCATTATACGTACACTCTTCGGTGGCTATGTTCGAAGTATCAAATGGGATCTTGTTGCAAAGGCACTTCCGTCATATGACAGATGGTCTATACAATCACATTGGCCGAGAGTTCGAGCTAAAATGAAGGATGAAATCCCGCAGTACCAATCTGAATTTGAGGAGCAGTACCTTAGATACTTTTATAAAGGGAAGCTTCCATTTTTTGATAAGTCCTACGGGGTGGACTTTGATTTGCTGTGGCACGTGAATTGGCTAAGGCCATTTGTGAAGAATATACGCCCTGTCACTGAACGCCGTATTTTACCCGATACAAGAGCTAACTTGGAGGCTATGTATGAGGTTTCATGTGCCCCATTGGACTGGAGGAGAGACTTCTTTAACTACATGACTACGATGTCATGGAAGGAACACCAATTAAAGAACCACTCGAGTTCGACGGTCAAGCTAGAAGAAGCCGATTCAGCAGCCCCAGAAAAACGACAGTCGGTAGAGCGGGCGAAATACGCTTGGAGATCAATTTTTATCACCGAAGACAACAAGTACGACGATCCAAAGGCAAGAGAGTTGATCAAGGTTTATCCACAAGCTGTTAGTGCTGCTGCTCTTACAGAACTCCACAAAGTGGACAGGTTCATTATCAGAAGCCGGAAGGGGGGGAGGTATGGAACCGCGACGGCACAGGCGAGGGTTTTACAACCTTGGAGGACTACTTTTTCCATCCAGGCTTTTGAGGAGGCGCAGAGTTTCTATGAAGACGTGATCAGAGGCCTGGGGGAGAAGGATGAGTGTAGGTTGGTTTCTACGTCTTTGACGACCGGGACTATGGCATGGTTGCTGGATCGGGTGGTTCGAGACGAGGTAAGACAGTACCGATCTCCTTGTGTTGGGTCTAGTAACTGTAGGCTTAGATACTAACTTGAAGTTTCAAAAACTTTTCTAGGTCGATATATATACAAAAGACTACAAGACTACCAGTCGTGGTTTGGCCGGGAGTCTAGTCACTCGAGCTATCAACCCTGTGCTCTTCCACTTCGATATCTTCGTAGCCAAACCCCAGAACCATATGGTTCAGCGGCCCGTTTTGGAACCGGCTGGTATATTCGATGAGGTGCCACAAGGTTCTATGAAGGACGTGGCATTCCCGCCGTTTATATGGCAAAATATGCACGATGAGGTGATTGGATACATGTGGGAGAGGGTGGTGAAGTGTGTGTTGGCAGTTGTGGTTGCGAAACCTGGTGTTACAACTAGGGGCGTGGTGAAGGCGCTGCAAGGGGTTGTTAATACGAGGGATGTTTTGAATGCGGCTAGGTGGTTGGAACAGAGGGGCGGTGTAGTCGGGAAGGTTGAAGGGAGATATTGGGCCGGAAAGGAATACTTATGGTGTGGTGTTTAAAAGGTCTATGATCATGAATTAATGGGTTTCCTTTGTGATACAATAGATCAACAACGATGCCGGGATAAAAAGCATACGAGGTGGATTGGTTCTTTCAAGGCGTCAAAGGTCATGGGATATTGTAGATAGACACAAATATTTTCCAGCTGTCAATGAAAAGTTTTCGGGTTTTAGCGCTTTTGATGGAGAGGTAACATATAACAGAACAAATTTAGGGGCAACTGTGCCTAATTAGTCAACAGGTTGATGTTGGCTTGTCATGTTGGATATCATAACCCAATAGCCAAACATAACATCGCTTTGGTGGAATATTTTAATATGGAGCGTAGTATTATCATGTTTAGGCCCGTCCGCTGCGCAAGGCCATCCTCTAAAATTTACCTCTTAAACTATCTCGAGAAAGATGGGAGCAGAGGACTTGTAGGCGATAACGATATTAATCAAAAAACCTGCGGAAAGACAACAATTTAAATGCTTCAAATCCTTCCTAGATGTCGCCTGCAGCAGGTCTGGCAGGCGGCGGTATTCTACTCTACATTCCTTACAAAACACCTTACATCCGCCGGAGGCGCCCTCGAAGATACCCCAGCGATGTACAGAGACCAAGCCCAAACGGTAGTCTGGCATGGGAACCTCATAGCAATCGAGCACAACCCCGACTTTCAATATCTCGATAGCGCAGCAAGTACCTATCCCGAATTCTGGGGAGGATTCTGTCTCTACGATGGTGCGCCACTAGATTCCTCTGGGGTACACGAGCCTGTCGGTGTCCGCGAGATTACGAATCAAAAACTCATCTGGGAGATTAATAACAAACCAAAGGACGAATATGATCCCCGACGGTGGCGGGACGAAATAAAATGTCTTCCTGACCACGATAACGACAAAAGTACCGCAGGAACTATGTGGGGGTTCATCGGATCGGAAGGGAAAGAAGGAGAAATGATAAATTACAATCCCTTCGGAGTAGCACTTCACGACTACGGACTCGGACAACTTCAGAACATGCGTACGAAACGATGTCTAGCGATAGTTCTAGATACAGATGCCGATGAAGGAGAGAACATCGAAACTGTAAAACACGCCATCCGATCCGAGGAGTGCGACTATTCCGGTCAAGATCCCAAACAACTCTGGATGTTTTATTTCACGGCTAAGGATCAACCGTTCGGTCCGTTCGTGCCGGCGATGTATACGGGAGCATGCTGGGGGCCTAATAATTACGACGAAAAGAATAATGCTACGATGGTTAGAGCGGTTCCTGGGGCGGTTTATAAGGAGTATACCATGCCGGAACATTTGAGGCTTGTGGATTCAAAATATGTGGCTTTATCGACGTTTGATAGGGACGACGGAGGTGGGATTAGTCCTGTTGTTAGGTGTACGACGCAGAAATGGTTTTTCAATCCACCGTTTGAAGATGGTGCGCCGACGGAGTTTAGGGATGATTCAAAGCCACCGTATAGCGAGGTTCCGCCGGTGAAGGCTGGTTAAATGTTGAGTTAGTGGTATCGGCGCCGATTTATCGAGACCGATATTAACCCATTCTGCATGGCCAAGCTTATTATCGTTGTATCGATAGATTGGTCAATGATGAACAGCAATTCTGCCTTCCTTCTTTTCTCCCTGTGATATTTTTTTTTCTTTGGTTTTCGTTAAGCTCGAGTACATTTACACGTCAGGAGCCTAGATCATCTATCTTGTCCAGTTTTACGATAGAAATATATATATGTATACATAGTAGGTACCTAATACGGAGTGCTACTTGCAATTTACTTACAGTCAAAACACTCAATTTCAATGTAACAATATAATTTAGAATATCGTAGTACACAGGTAAGGATATATATAATAGAATGTCACTCTAAGCCTTTAATCCTCTGCATGATGCTTGAGTCCGGGGAACTCCGTCATCCTTTGCCAAAATACCCCCTTCTACTGGGAAAACATATAAGAAACCTTGTACATTCACGGTGGCTTAAAACAGATGAGTTAGGAGAATTGAAGCAATATATTCTTAAGCTTCTTTTCTAAATATCCGCTTGCTGTGGTAGAATCGAACAATGTATTTTGATTCCGGGAGGTATTCTTGGAACCTTTGTTGGATTTTTTGCGTTGGATGCAGTGCGGCATTGCACTGATCCAATGAGACGAGGGCCCCGATTGGGACTGGGGCGCCGGGAACAAACGATGCTTTGTTCCGAAGACAGGACTGAGCTATGGGTCTTGGTTAAACTTGTCCAGCCTGGCTTGTTACAAATCGAAATCACGCATTTCCGCCCTGTAAACATGATCCCTACGTGACCTTAATACATGTAGTAGATACCTATATCGCGCAAAACCTAAAGTATCCGATCGGATCGTCGTGGTAGCTTAGAATTCTGGAGCGAGTACTTGCCTCCTTTTTGCCACGGTCGACATTCTGATTTGAATGCTTTGCCGCCCAACCAACAAAACTGGCGGGCCTCGTAGCAGTTAGCAGCTGGACTCCAGCCCCCAAAGGACCGTCAACTCAACTTACCTACCCTCGATCTGGCCCCTCCCCCCCCAAAGAGGCGTTTATATCCTAGTTCCATTGATTCCATCTCATCCCATCTTATACCCAAACAACATCACCTAGTCTACTGGGGGCATAACTGCCTTGTCATCGTCACTGTCTCTAAAACCATCATCACCAAAACCATCACAACCACCACCATGGCAACTGCTAAGAAGTATAATAAAAGCTCCCCGGGAGTCCGCCGTATCCGTCCGTTGCCCCCCCCTCGTAAACCTTCCTCCCAAATGCTAACATACATTTCTTATACAATAATACAGTCAAAGAAGCTCAAGAAATCGCCACCTCCCCATCTCGCGACTTCACAGCTCATCCGCTAGATCACGATCTCTTCGAATGGCATTTTACACTCCGAGGTCCTCCGGCGCCCTCACCTTTCGACGGTGGCTTCTATCATGGACGGATCTTATTATCACCCAATTATCCCATGCGACCACCGATGTTTAGGTTCTTGACCCCCTCCGGACGGTTCGAAGTCAATAGAGATATTTGTTTGAGTATCTCCGGGTTTCATGAAGAGACTTGGCAGCCGAGTTGGAGTATTCGGTTGGCGTTGAGTATGTTCCTTTTTTTTAGGATCGTTTAAAGGTGGTTGTGACGATTGCTAATATGGGATTATGTATAGTTGCTTTGAGGGCACACATGGACGCCGACCCGCAAGGCCAAGTCGGCGGTCTTGCCTGTACGGACGAGACACGGAAGGATCTGGCTGCAAAGTCAAGGGATTTTAAGTGCTCGGAGTGTGGTGGAGGTGGTGAAGAAGAGGAGATGAAGATACCTGAGGATGGGGAGGGAGGGAGTTCGGAACCTGAGGTTCCACCGGAATTACGCTTTGGATACAAAGACGAGATGAAGCCGAGCAAAGAAGATGCTCAGAAGAAAGAGGGAGAAGAAGAAGGGATAACAACATCGCCGCCGCCGCCACCACCACCATCGTCTATAGTGCCCCCGGAACAGTTGGTGGCTCGGTCTTCCTCAGAGGAGGCACTGGTACCGCCTCAGCAACCACAGCAGCAGCAACAGCAGCAGGCGACTGCACAACAAAGGCCACCTGCTCAGCAAGAAGACCAACAAGAACCAGCAATGTTTATCCCCTTCGGTCCTGGACAGCAACAGCCACAGCAGCAAGCCCTCGCGCGAGGTCCGGGAAATATCCCTGCACCAGTCATCGCTGGTGCCGTACCCATGCAGCTGGCCAATGCTACAAACGAAGATCGCACTACGGGATATCTCGACCTGGCTATAGGAGCGTTGTTGGCCATTCTTATCGCCTTGGTTATTAAGAAAATGTAAAGAGGGTACTTGTCTTTTTTGATTTCGGGTAGCTTGTAGGAATATTGGGATATGACAGAGATGGGTGGGGTTTAGCAGGGGCCGTGGAGGAGTTGGTTGCCTTCATTCTTTTCTTAGTATTATTATTGGAGGGAGTTTGGGAGTTCTCTACTACTGTTTTTATTTTAAAAGGGACATAATTATCACGCTGGTCATCTGAATGTAGGTTAATTTGACCCGATAGATCTGAATGTCAAAGAAACTGTCATGCAATTGCAATCTCTAGAGGTTAACTTGCTAAAGGCTAAAATTGTCGCTGTGATCGAGGCTATGCTATAATCCACTGCTAAGTTGACATCGAAGCAAAGTAGAAAAAAGAGGGCTAGGAAGGAAGAGAACAAAAGGAAGGAATCCAGAGCGCCCCCAAAACTAAAACCGCCGAAATGTAAAAATACAAGTGTTTACCGCCTAGGATACCACCTTGGGATACATGGAAGCCCAAATAATTCCTGCCATCGATCCCTCATCAGTGATCAAGTACCCATTACAGAATTATGCTCCTTCTTCTTCTCTTTCTTTCTTTGCACCTATAAAATTCCCAGTTCAATCATTAACAGATTTTCTTTTTTCTATTTACCATCCTTCGCTCCAAGTATCCACTTCCTTCCGGTTCAAAGAGTTTGCTGTTGAAACCCTGGGAGCGCTCTTGGAGCTCTCGCCATTTTTCTTTTTGGCATCAAATTCTGTTTCATCTGAGGAGGTATCATAGTCATCGACTTCATCTTCCTCGTCGCTTAATTCGTCCCTGCTCATCACATGTTTCTTCTTCTTCTTGAGGTCTTGCATCCTAAGATTCATCTCCTTGTTCTGCAATGCCACATTAGGAGAATACCGCGATCCTCCAAGTCCATGGCTGAACTCCTCTTCTCTAGCTCCTAATATCCTAGATGCTTTGGAACCTAGCATTTCCCCGGGACTAGGAAGTCCAGTAATTGCTTGTCGTGTCCAGTTTGTAGCTCCAGATCCCGAATATCCATTTGTTCCGGCAGCAGTTTCCTCGATTTCATCACCACCCCATCCAGCTCTTCTCATCCTCTCTTGGTCGGCAGCTGCCTCTCGTCTCCTCCTCTCTTGCATTTCTCTCTGGGCGTCTTTCCATTGTTTATTGGTCTCCCAAACCCAACCATCACCAATCGAATTTCTGACGGGCACAAACCACAGAGCTGGCTGGGGACCAAAAACTTGGACGAAATTACTTTTCCAACCCAGGTCAAACGCATGCGGCATTTCCTTCGAAGTTTCCTCGATCACGTATTCATTATATCGCTCCCTTTCTCTCATTTCTAGTGCCGTTGGTCCCATAACTCCATTGCCACCAACAAGATTTGCGCCCCACGGAATAGATCGTCGCTTGACCGGAGCTAGATATCTAGTCTTCTCCATGCTCTCAATCGTCGTTTCGCCTTTGAACACCAAATAAAAATGATACCCGGAAAACCCGGTGACGACAATACCAATAACGCCACTGATAACCGCAAGTAAGATCCAATTGACAGGCATATATTGTTCTGCAAACCCGGAGTCCTTGAAGATTACGTCCCAGATCCAGATACTCGATACGGCGCAGCAAAATAGACAGAACACGGATAGATAGAAAGTGAATAAGACAAATGGCTTATAATTTGTGATTCCAAGACAGTTGGCTAGCCAGGGGCAGTGGTGGTCCATTTTTAAGACGCAGGTGTTGCAGGTTGAACAGTGGTGAGTGCGGTCGGGTTTTCGGCATTGGCATTTCTTGCAGAAGCGTTCTTCGCCGGACGCCTTGACAGTAATGGCTGATTGAGAGTGTGTCGGGAGAGACGAGTATTTAGATTTCTAGAATGATATATAGCTTGTTAGTTATGTATTGAGTATACGATGATGATGGTAAAAGGTCGTTACCTGCTCCAAAGGAGTACCAGGGCTAGAGAATGTAGCTACGGTATAGCTCCAGTTAAGCATCCAATACAGCCAAATACCCACGAAGGCCAAAAAATGGCCTTGAGGGCCTCCTATGGACTTCCACGAGATGCTGTAAGCTTCAACCCATACCGCCCATGCCGTGGCGCCATAGACGATGACAAGAGGGAAATAGGTTACGCAACCACAGATGAGGTTGTCAAGACGTCGGAGAATCCGGGGACGACGACTGGGGTATTTTGAAGAGCCACCGGATGGACGGGAACGGGAGGAGTCGTTAGAGCTTGACGAGGAGGGACGGGAAGAGTTGACAGGTTGATAGGAGGGCATGGCTGGGATGTTTTGTTGGTGTTGTTGTCGTCGACGACAACGACGGTGACGGTGTTTAACGAACTAATGTTTGGTGCACACGTCGAGGCTCTGAGCACGAAGAGAGGCTCTTTGGGCTGTTTAGGTGAGAATGCGCGAACAGTGGAATGTGTTGGGCTCTGTTATTAGCTGGGTACAATCACGGGCTGCCATGCACTTCGACTTCACCCTCATCATCATCAACCAAGTGCAAGTATCCAATATGCAGCGAGTATAACAATGCCCAGTTCCCCTGACTGACCGGCTGAGTGACCGGCTTGCTGACTGGAATAATAGAACAATGCCGATATAATAATGCACCTAATTCGAGCCGATTATCAAAGCACACTGCACTGCACTGCACTGTACTCCGGGTCAGTCGGTCTTCGAAACGGTCCCTGAAATCTACCACACAAAAAAAACGCCACCACGGCAGAATGGCATATGCAGTTTGGCGGCTTCTGCTGTTTTAGCTCTGTCTCCGTTGACTCCGTTGTGTCTGCCGTCTCTGTGCCAGGAACAAGTGCATCTTGGCCTTGCTGATGGAGGGTAGTGTGTATCGGAATCATAGACATTTGCCTATCTCGTCCATTCTACATTTTATATGATCAAATTCGACATATCTGTCAGTTTATCACCTTGACCGAAACGTTTACTGTCAAGTGTTAAAAAGAGTGGCTGCCCGAACCACCGACGGAAAGAACCAGCTCCCTCGGGACCAAGACCTTGGCGGACAAGGTCCGGAACCATTCGAGGAAAACGAACCCGGCCAGCTGGGACTTCAAGCCTGATGACGTTGACGGTGGGTTCAAGGTTCAAGGCTTGGGCTCAGTGTTCAGGTTCACCGCCGCCTTGCCTTTTGTCGAAAAGATCATCCCCTTGCTTGTCTTGTCTTTGCAAATATAGAAACCGTGGTTAACGTAACCAAACCACCCCGACAAGCCCTATGGCCCAAGGATGCCCAGCCTCGAAGAGTTTTCTCTTCATCGGCAGGAATACTTTGGCTGACGACCTGAAATCCTGGTGGCGGTACTATGTATATAACGGTGAGTGTGCCGGCTAGCAAGGGAGAAAGAAAGGAAAAAAACAAAAGGAAAACCCACTAAACCAGCGTGATAGTGATTGTGCTGTGATAGTCAAATACTTCTTACATAAGGTTACTTGGTATCCAACGAAAGAAGAAGAAGAGGAAGAAGCCTTATAAGGAATTCGGCCCGCTTCTTCTTCTCTCCGGCATACTAACACTCAGCTTCAGCTTTAACATTGTTGTATCTTTCACATCTACACCTGCATGATATCTACCTACATACATCTACATTTGCATTTATCTTTGAAGAGAGGCGCTGCCTGGAGCAACCTTAGCACTTTGCAGGAAAAGTGAGAGCAAATCTGAAACACCTCTGCTTCTTCTTTCGTTTTCTCCAGTCCTCCGCTTAATTAATTTTATTAATATACTCCATACAAATATATCTCTCTACTATCATACATATTAACTGCGAACTATTTTCCGCGGACAATTCTCCTAACTTATCTACAGGAATCGGACTAACCATCTTTAGTCTATAACCAACAGACTGCTGTCGACAATTTCCATCTCCCTCTCATCCTCATCTCTCTCTACAATCTGTCACTCCCAGACCATTGACGCTTGTTTGTGCTTGGTCGTTTGGACGTTCCTCCTGACTCTGATACCCACGGGAACATCGCATACCCGCCCGCTTCTCCCAGTCAAACTTCGTCTGCTCATTCCCATTTCCAACATCCTCATCTCGCGACACTGTCACAAATCTACTAAAAGTAGTCCTATTGTGGAATACCCGTGATTCAGAAGAAAGAGAAACGAAACAATCCAACGGCCGTTTTTTTATGGGTTTGGCGTTCGCTCGCAAATTTGCATGATCACTGGCTGCAAATCTGTGACCCTCCAATAGCGAACAATGGCCGCTTACGACTACTACAACCCTGCGAACCGTACGCAAAACGAGACCCCCCTTTCCGCTACGGCTGTATCTCCACCCTCTGTCTCAAGTCACTCCCCGTACCGCAAAAATGATTCCCCTTACAACCCTTCCCTCGAAGATGTCAATACAACCTATAAACCTTCTCAGGAACCATATTCATCTCAGGAAGACACTTCATACCACGGAGCCTACGACACTCATCGAAATTATAGCGAAAACATTCCTTTATCCGAACACCCTCAGCATATGGCTGGTGCCTCCCACATGCCGGCCTACAACACAAACAACGGCTCGTTACCACAGCCAATTCCCCCGATGCGTGAAAAACAACATGGATTTTGGGCGAGGAAACGACATAAGACAATTCCTTTCTTCTGTTATACTGTCTCTTTGATCCAAGTCGCCGTCTTCATCGCCGAAATCGTCAAAAATGCCCAACTTACAGGATCACCAATCCAGACCAGACCAAATTTCAACCCGATGATTGGCCCTTCACCATGGGTCATGGTCAATATGGGTGCCAGATACGTTCCTTGCATGAAAGATAATCTCACCGTTGGATCCAGCATCGCACGACCATGGCCCTGCCCGAACACCACGACAGCTGAGATTAATCCGCTGGCCGCATGTTCTCTCCAACAACTTTGCGGGTTCCAAGACTTCTCGACCCCCGACCAATGGTGGCGTTTTATCCTACCTATGTTCATGCACGCCGGTCTCATTCATATTGCATTCAACCTTTTGATTCAACTTCGTCTCGGAACGGATATGGAACGAGAAATTGGAATTATCAGATTCGCAATTGTATACATTTCCTCTGGTATATTTGGGTTTGTCTTGGGCGGCAACTTTGCGCCACAAGGTTTGGCTAGCACCGGGGCTTCTGGTGCTCTCTTCGGTATCCTAGCGTTGGTTCTTCTCGACCTTTTCTACACATGGAAGCAACGCGAATCGCCGGTTAAAGACCTGATCTTCCTGATTATCGATTTTGCGATCTCCTTCGTCCTCGGTTTACTCCCAGGTGTCGACAATTTTGCGCATATTGGCGGGTTTCTGATGGGTCTCGCCCTGGGTCTTGCGTTTATGAGGTCACCACCAGCATTGCAATCCAAACTTGGAAAGGGGGAATCTTACAATTCGATGTCATCTGCTGCAATCCAGAACCAGGGATTGAGAAGATTGCTCAGAGATCCCGTTGGCTTTTTTCGAGGACGTAATCCATTCTGGTGGGTTTGGTGGTTGCTCCGTGCTGGTATGCTGGCTTTGGCTATTATCTCTTTTACTCTACTCTTGAGAAATTTCTACATCTACAATGGGGAGTGCAAATGGTGTCGGTATTTTACTTGCTTAGTAAGTCTATTATCCCTATCTCCCGGTAACTACTTTAGCAACTCCTGCTAACTTTTTTGTTTTCTAGCCTGTATCGAATTGGTGTGATATTGGAAATCTCCAAAGAATAGAGCAGACACCCGCGCGAAAGTTTAAATTCTAAGTGATTTGGTTCCCTTTGGCTTTTCCTTCATTATTCTTCTGAAAAAAAGCGATTACGGCGGATATGACTTTTTTTTCTTTCCTTTACTTGCCTTATAGCACGCTGCATTCCTGCATCGTTGGCTTAATCAAAAGAGAGAGATATTAGTCTTTATAAAGGGGATATTAACATCTTTTTCTAAAACACATTTGCATTTGCATTACAGTTACTGGGTGGCGTATGGTTGCTTTTTGATTGTCCTTGGTTTTTACCACCTTATACCTGTTCATCTTGGGTTTTCGTATTAGTGTTTTCTTTATCTCCTTTCTACTTTGTGTACTTGCGACGCTTTGTTCTTATTGAAAGATCGAGGCTTTTTAAGACCTCTTACATCTACGGAGGCTGGTGCCTTGCCGTACAAAACCAAATTGGGTTTCTAAGCCCTCAATTCTATCTAATTACATACGCGCTATATCAGTTAAAGTAAATGGCTTTTCGTAGTATTCTTACTATGTACATGCGTGTATTGAAGTCATGAGCCAACATTAACCTCCCGACAGGATCAAGACAGGTTTCTATCGATCCCCAACTTCATACCCAACAGATTCCATATCTTACATACCATCATTCTGTATCTATAATTAGTCCTCCACCCCACCACCTTACAATGAGAAAACCGGTAAACTCCATAACACCAATAAGAGGGAAGCCAATAGAGAAAAAGAAGAAAGCGGAGACTTCGATTATAAACCTCGGGTGGTATATATAACGGATTCTTTATCATTATTATTTATTTTGTTACTTCTTCGATATCTGATCCGCTGCCACCGCCACGGCGTTTAGTGGCTGTCCACCTTCTGCTTCCATTTGCTCTAGTAACTTGGCTTTTTTATGTTCCTGTACTCGACGTTTTTTGAAGTATTCGACCTAAATTTGTTTTTTTGATATATTAGCTATCCCCGTTGGTATCTTTGTATACATGGTGATAGACACCATACCCAACTACTAGCGCAATCCCTATCGAACAACTTAAGCTCGCTACCACAATTTTTATTCGCAAGTTCGGAGTCCTTGATGCTATCGAGGATATCATGTTTATCTAGACAGGTGAAGAATAGATCACGAGATTCCCAGCATTTGGCACGTTCGGATCGGTCTGGTGCTGTGGTCTTTGGTGGGGGAGGGGTGGAGGAGGTCAAGCCGAGGTATGAGAGGAGACCCATTGTTGGCGATTTGGTGATTGTAGTTGTGATTGTGGGATGCAGGTGGTGGGGGTGGGATGGACGGAAGGAATTTTGGAGTCTTGGAGGCGGGATGGAGTTTTTTGTTGAAAAGCCGGTTTCCGAGGTTTTGAGGTTGCACAGAAAGTTTGGTAAGCGGTGAACAACGCAGGTTTTAGTGGTTGATGTTCCACGGCGGGTTTATCCTGTATACACTTTCTTCTTACGAAGGAGATGAACGGTTTCACTACATCGATTTTACAAGCCATGGGGGATAGAGAGAAGAAAAGAAAAACATTGTCCAATTGAGAGACCGTGATAGTGTCAGCCCGCGGTCCCGCTGTCAATTCAAGCAGATTCGAGGAATTGTGGTATTTTGCTATATGCATATCCATGCATACGTGCATAAAGATACGTATCGATATCTTTTAGATGCTTGATCCTAAAATTTCATGTATTAATTACGTGTTGCATCCTAGGTCAATTGTACAAACTGTTTTATCTAGTCTGGTGTTTTATCATACCAAAAATCTTTTATGGTGGGGGGTCTCAATCTATCATATACGCCGGAGGATAGATATCGATACTTGCTTGATACCTATGAAATTCACCTTACTTAAATGCATGCACACCTGTATACATGTACAGTTAGTTCATATTTTATGCGAGTTCCCTACACCAGTGCCGGCATTATGCCTGATTTGTGCTATTGACACGGCACAGCGAGGGAGTCAGCGAGGAATCGGATCGATGTATCACATTTTATTGTAGTAAGGCTTAATTATAAGGTAGTCAGCCTTATATGTCGTCATGATCTATCGATCTATGAATCAAACGTTGGGAATTGGGCAGGAATTTGACATCCAATACCCGTATAAAGTAACTTAATATCCACCATTTAACATTTGGGCTCCTTAATACTAATAGATAGCCTTATGGCATTCGATCGATCGAGGCGACTTAAAATCTACTGATACTAGTATAGTCTCGCGTTTACCGATACACAGTTGGCAAACAGCTTTTTATAATCCTCCGGCTACAAAGGACGTCTTCCTATCCTGCGTACTCTTTTACCGATAAATATTTTTCATATGTTTTGGGATTGAGTATACTTCTATCATGTCTGGTGTCGCGAGGCTTAGTTTATCAGAAAAAATGGTCCCGGACTTGTCCGATAAGATACAAGCCGCAGAGAAGGAGCTCTACAAAAGGGTAGAGCAACTACGACTAGTAACGGACAATCCGTCTTCCACCACTCCAAAACACCCCAGACGAAAAACATGTTTCTATGCCAATATCAAGCGAACTTTCGGGGAAATTTACACAAATCGAGAATCAAACGAATGATCTATTACATAGGAAAATCAAACTACTCATCGTACTTCTGAGGGACGGACCAGTCTTCCCGAGTATTTTAAAAACATCGTCTAACCTAATTCCTATCTACGATAAAATAATTTCAACAGTGGAAAACTCGATCACTTTAACCTTGGATGCATGTTATCGGCTCCATACCCGAGATTTACAATACACTCCGGATCCAGTAATAATTCAGGCCTGGAATAAAAGGACCATTTTATTTTATTGTTCAGGATGCGAAGTATCCTACAAAAAACCGTACAAAGACCCACGGTATCTTAGCTATCCGTTGATATACAGGATAGATAGGAAGTGCAGCTGTGAAAATTTATCCAGCCCACGATACTATCAACCGATATTCCCGGGCGCCATTCATCCTTCTACATTACAAAATAAATCTCTGGGATCACGAAAACATCATACTAAAAAGTGGTGGGTTACCGTTGGGGGAGGTACCTCTGTTGAAGACTCTGAACTAGATGATCAACCTCAATCGCAGACCTCGCCAAACCGGGATCTTGAATCTTTGGTGGAAGCCCTTGAGAGAACCCATCTTGCAGACGGGCTAGTTGATGACTTTGAAACAATCGAGGACCTCCGGGATTTATCAAAAATGATTGAGAAACAAATCGGTCACTTGAAGTACCTAAGACAAGTTGCTTATATTTTTGGCAAACAGCCTCCTGCAATATACTGGCGACAACTAGAAAGCAGAGAGAACGGTGTATTTCTTGATGAGCAACCGAAGTTCATAAAGGAGTGGATTGTCGAGGAAAGCGTGCCCGAGCACTCGGCGAATGTTCTACTCAAAATCGGGACTGAAGAGGCGAGAAGACATCAAACTGCTGGTCTCCTATGTACCAGCGATTTCTATCACAATGTGCGATGCTTCAGCGGAAAGGGATACGAGAGGGCTCAGCGCCAGATCCCGACTAGTGTGCAATCCTCTTTCCTAACCTCGAGCCAGGGGGTGAGCAACGAATATAATAAAGCAGACTTTAAAATAGCAAAACCCCAATTCCAAGGCCAGGAACTGAACGGGCGGGCTCAAACACTATCAAAAAACTTGGAGATTGGTATTGGATTTGATATTGGCTACGAATGTTTCCATGTGGAACCCAAAATCTTGATAGACTACCTTCACACCTATGGAGTCTATTATGCTTTTAATGAACATGAAGCGCAGCTGGAGGCGAGGAACACACCCGATCATATTTTACTCCTTTACTTATCACAAAATCCATGTTCCTGGTGTCAAAAATTTATTAAAAAGGTTGCCAAAGAATTTGGATTATGTATAGGATGGCGTTCTGTTCCTCAAGAGGGTCGATCCTCCTCGGTTTCGATGACTTATGTCAATTTTTGCGGGATTCAACATTTCGATGTTAAAGTGAATTGGCTTTAGTTTCCTGTCGACACGACGATGAAAAACTAGCGACAGAGTCACAATTTACCGTGGTAGTACACCCGAATTAAACTCAAGCATGAGAACATGACGATTGGTCAAGAACGCTGGTCCGGCACAGTCATTCTATCGTGGCCGTAACATGTATTAATGTTCCGCGCAATGGGTACAATGAATTATCTATAATTCTTCAAGTCCCTGTATCCAATCTAACGTCTTGAATTTGTGATAAGTTCTTATAAGCTTATAAGCTTATGGCTATGGGTCGGCAGAATTGATATTGCGACCTTGCAACTTTATAAAGGAAATAGCCACTTATTACCATCCTTTAGTCAACCCCAGAGCCAAAATTCGTCTTTTGTTCTATATGCGCGTAGTTATAGTCCATTGATCATGGATATAGCTTCATAGCCGGCCTCGGATCTAGGCACTCTTGAGGTTGAGATGTATAGGTTCATTGTGTACTAGTCAATGTTGTATTTTTCCGTTGGTATTAGACCTAGGCTCTCCGTCTCAAGAGCACTTGGATTCGAGGCTATATAAGTGTATCAATATCACGGCTGCTTTAATTCATTCATCTTGTCAATATTAAGCTATAGCCATTGAAATGACAGAATTTAGGACATATATCTACACTATCTTTAATTTTATATAGCATTACTTAGATATCATTCGCGAATTACCACCTCCTTTAAAGCTACCCGAGTCTCGTGAACGAATAACTATAATTGAACACTAGTAGCCCACTAGATGTTCTCGAAACTCTTGGTGGATGGCTGGCACATCGCATTTCTTAACCCGGGCTTGGATTATAAAATGTGCACTGAATAAAGACAGGCTGAGGTGCACCAGTTCTTTATTCCCATCCGGTGACATCCCATAACTCGGCGAGTCAAATTCAACTTTTTTTTTGCCTTCGGCATTTAGGCACATTAAATGCATTATACAGAATAGAATATGTATGCATTATGTGGTCAGCTGGCTCGCGCTCTTAAAAGCCGTGGGGACCTAGGTAGATTGTTTCACTGGTTACACATCGAGGAGTGATTGAAATCAGACAGCCTTGTGCGGGGTAGGACGAGTAGAAAGTGGGGGTTTGAAGATATATACCCTCTTATGCTTCCGTAGGTCCATAGGATGAATATTCGAATTCGAATATTCCTATGACCGGAAAATCTTCGCTATCATCGTTAACTTCAACTATAATTATCTTCAAAATAAGGATACAAAAAATACCAAAGCCAGTCTATTAGTTTTACTCTTATATATTTACTCTCTATACTCTCTAATATATATTATATATTATATAATCACTGCTCTCGAAATTTCCGTAAATCAAAAAGCGGAACTACCAATAATGTCAAAATCGTCGTCAATAATTAAGGTAACAGAGTCCGCTTTGGGATCTCTATCAAACGAGGGGGACAAAATTGAGGCATGGATAGCAAAATATGTTGGGGTTAAAATGAAGAAACCGACTTTACTTGACGGGATTAAAGAGCTTTTGGAATTAACCGATGGCGTATTATTTTGGGTCGATATTATAGACACCTTGAAGAATCGTTATATTACCAAATTTGGCAATTCCCTAGAGTGCCGACAGCTGCTGGAGGTATGGAAGAGTGTAGCTTCACTTACGCAAACGGGGATAATTAAAATGCTGGATGCTTGCTACTCATATTACATGATGGGGAGCAAATGGGAGTCGGTCTTGGTCAACGCTTGGAATGAAACGAAGCTGATTATTAAATGCCCTCGTTGTGAGTCGGAAGACTTGCATGAATATGCCCAACCGCCTTATCTTGGTTATCCATTGGTCTACGAGCATATATGTAAAGAATCTTCCGAAGCACGGCGTTATCAGGCGATATTTCCTTATGTCATTCATAAACTCACAACTTGCAAAGAGGAACCGGTTGGAACTCCAGATCCAGGTACGATACAACCGATCGGATACCAGTTACATCCTTCTGGAAAGTATTGGGTTACTGTCGGCAAAGGGTTTCGAACTGCGTGGTGGCAACTAGATCCCGGCACTCCCCGATCGCGACCCCAAAAAGAGGAAGAGGTGGAGAGTTTGAGCGAGAAGTTAGGAGGACTGCTATTAACTAATAACAACCCGAAGTCCGATTCACCAGAGAGGTCAAGCCCGCGGTCTTCGAAACTCGAATTCGATCTGGTTGAAACTATTCGATCTCTGTCAGATGCTAACGAAAAACGGATTGAAAAACTGTACTCCTTTCAACAGATACTAGAGGTATACGGCGAGGATGGGCCATCGGATCCTATCACTTGGAGAATAATATCTTCAACCTCGATGAGGGACGAATGGATCTGTGAGAAACAAACCGGATGCAACAAGACGCTAATCCGCACTACGACGAAACCCAATAAGGGGGTCAGGGCAGCCTCTCTCGCCAGAAGAGGCCAGCCATTTAACAACTTGGTCACATTCAGCGGGGCGGGTCCCGAACCCGACTTGGTATCCAAAACAATTTTTATATCCCTCCATAGCGAGATATCGGACTTCTTCGACGCGGACCGACCAGAACGCTTTCCATACCCAGATTTGGATCTGAGGGACTGGGCAATAGAATTATCAGAGATTGTAGAGATGAAGTACGACGGTCATGAGATGCTATGGTGGAACACTCTGGACGGTATCCGCAATTTCGAATGTAGCCATACGGAAAAGAAGACCATTGTGTGGTACCTTATAGTCCGTGGAATACGGCACCCAAAAGAAATGGAAGGGACCATGCTAAAAGCCAAACACAAGCAAAATCATATACTAAGGCTTTATGGATCCCAGGCGCCCTGTAAATGGTGTATCGAGTTCCTTGAAAAGGTTACAAAACAGTTTTCGAAATCCGGTTTATGTATAGGGTGGCGTAATATCCCGGAGGAGGAGAAAGCAAAACGTCCTGGTCCCAGCACCCAAGGGGAGATTGAGCGCCCTAATACTGCGGAAAGGGGAGGGAAAAGCAGCCCCTCGGCCTCCATGACCTATATCAATGTCTGTGGTCTTGGTGCTGATATTACATGGCCTGCGCTTCCCGTTGTACCAACGCCAGGGTCGACATGATGTAAATTTAGGTTAATCTATACCTATTAACTTTGGGAGTGGTATGTTTTAGTCTATCGCGGCGGCGAGTTGGTCATTGTTGTATTTTCGTAGGAGAATTCGGGAGGAGATTCGAGTTATTGTAGGTGCTAGAAATCCTCAGAGCTCTTTTGATGTGTACGAAATCTTAGTTGATCCAACGAAAGAAATGTTGCAAATGAAAAAAAATCAGTTTTGTGTATTAATACTAGAAGGCATACAGTATATACACAATACAGCTGGCGTGCTTCAAAGTTTTATAAGTGCCGTAACACGTTTACCCTCAGCCGCGTGCCGAAACGTTTGATACAAGGCTATCTACGCCCCATGTGAATGAGATAGTCTAGGCCTCAAATATATAAACGGCTAAAGCTTGGGTGAGGATACATTAGCTCCAATCAATTACCTCTGCGCCAGAATCATCTCCCCAACCAATTGAATCATTAACATCCCATTTCAGGTTTGAGATGTCAGGCCATTTCTCGCTTTCGTAGAGGGTTTCTCCGAAACTTTTCTGCATTTCTCTTCTCTGTTCTTCATAGTCAAATTCTTCAATGGCCTCCGCCCGTATTTCTGGTCGTAGAAATACCAGCGTAACTGGAATGGAAGTTAGGACTGGGGGTTGAAATGATTCTGGATCCTTTAATCGCTTTTCGTACTGCTTCATTACTTCCACCGGCCCGTCGAGGATCAACGTCTTGTGTTTTGGGATACTGGATAGGGGACCCTGGTGTAAATAAATATCTTCGCAAACTGGATGCATTGGGGACTTTGTGTGCCAGTAAACCATCGATGTGATGGTAGGGGTCGTGGAGACAATTTCCAGGCTGAGTGGTTGATTTGAGCACATCTCTTCGCCTTCCGAATCTTCGGAGTCTGGAACGTCACGAGGATCATATGCTGGTGTGTATTCCTGTATCGGCTCTAGTTCTACTTTCACAACGCCGACAGGTTCCTGCAACTCTCCTGATCCCCGGATGATATTGAATTCCAAGATGCCTTCGCACCTTTGTTTTCTAGAAGGCTTGAAGGAGTCTTCATTCTCTATGGCCATCAAATTTTCGAAAAGCTCAAAATGGAAGCGGCAGGTCCGTCGAATTGTAAAGCAGCTGTCCCATAGGCATTTTAGATCTGTTTTAATTATGACAGCTTCGAAATCGTATTTATTATACTCCTCCAAGGTTTGGTGGTACTGCCACACCCGTTGAACCTCGACCGGCAGTAAATGCTTAATCGCAAGTCTTTGCTGATCGAAAAGATCAAATATGGTGGGTGGGTATGGTTTGTCGATGACTGATTTTGGAAATGTATGATACCTCACGAGCCGAAGCTCAGGTGGTAGCTGGCGGAGAAGGCGTATATGATTGTCGACTAAACCATTCATTGGCGTTAGTTCGTTTGTGTAGTGTCGGCTTTCCACAGAAGAAATCCGTTCCTGGGATTTTTTCCTGACATCATTCCGGATGAAGATGGCCACTTGGGAACAGTGCCCAAATGCCTCGAGCAGTAAATCCGTCCCCATCGATTGGCCATCTTCGAATACAATATTCTGGCCGCGGATCTGTTTCCGAAGAGCCTCATCAACTCGCCAACGGCTTGCAAGAATTTCGGCGCCATCATGGAGAGCGCCGCATCCATGATAGTTCACCGTGTAGCCAAAGGTTTCCGCGGCGGTGTTTCCCCAAGTTTGGAACTCTTGCCTGGTCCACTCAAACCGGTGATCGTGGTGGCGCATCGCATATGTATGCGGTGCGCGATAGTAGCGCCGACTAGAGACCTGTGGGTCGTCGTTTGGATGCCACACATATGGTTTCTCGCCGCGTCTCGTGACGTCGGCTGATTCAAATGGCATCTCGAAGAGGGAGTTGAAATCCCGATTGGGCGTGGTGACTGGATTAAAATTAGCTATGTTGATTGCTTAGGAGAATGAAGAAACCGCACCTATGAGGACTTTGGGATTCATCCGCCCAAGAAGAGTTGGAGCGAAATTTGCGAGAGGACCTGGATCTAAATGCTCGATCACTATAAGAGCTCAGCATTGGTCGGCATATTGATATATCCACGATTGACAAGGGAGATCTCTACCTTCACAAGAAGTGATGGCATCGTAGGTGCCAATGCTTGGGAGGGAAATATCCTCAAATGAGCCTAAGTAATTGATATGAGCTTTGAGTCTAGAACATCGGAGAAAAGCCGTACCATGAACCAAGCTGACAGTTAGATCCCTCCATCTATCATCTCCACCATATTCGACAGTTGTAAATGCGGTTTCGATACCGGTAGAAATTAGGTCTTCGTCAACATCAATCCCGCTTAATAAGGATAGGGGAAGCTCGTCATCGCAGCTAAGCAGTGTTTGCATCAATGGCGTATTGCCACCACCTATAATTTATATTAGCAGAAACTCTTCACAATTTCAGACGAGGAAAGAACATACATCCGACTTCAAGGAGGGACTGAATAGGCCCCTCATAGTATTTAGACACTTCTTTCAAAAGGGTTAAAACCTTCACCCTTCGCTGGACAGAGAGGGGGGGATTGAATTTGATACACGGTGGGGTAGACGGAGGGGATGGGATCCCATAAGAGATGGAAGATCCCCCATCAGAAGTGGCGGATCCAAATCCGCTACCTGAATGGACGGAGTCCTCAGTCCCAACGCTTTTAGAGACCAGGTACAACTAGTTAGCGAAGGGTCCTTTGGGAGGTTTATTTGCACAATGGTACTTACACCTTTCCGTTCATACTCGAATCGATTTATCCGTGATATCTGGAGCACTAAACGGACGTATGTTTGCTTTGAGTAATAAAGGTTTGAAAAAAATATTTTTGTTAGGAAATATCTGGGAGATACCTAAGTTGCAGCTTTTTTGTAGGTGGCGAGGGATGATGTCCGGTAAAAGAGATATGAGATGAAGGTTGAATATAAGGCACAATTGCAGTTGTCGTGAGGGAAAGTCATGGTTGCAACACAGCGGGAGCCCGCTCTTTGTTCTATGATACACAAACTCCCAGGGCGTGCCTATTACCAGCACGAACATGAACAGTCCCAACCGGAATCAAATTTGTGTGATTTAAAGACTATGCTTTGTATCCCCTGAATGATTATTGATTCTACTATATCCAGCTTGCATTATCTCGCCTAATGTTAACATAGCCTTTTCGTTCATATAAACTAGGATGATTGGAATCCGTCTACTCATAAGGTCCCCCAAGTATTCAATTGTGCAGGGTAGGTGGCACAGCGACAAACATTTTGAGTAACTTAGCCCCTAGCTTGTTTTAACGACATAATGAACCAGATACTCTCCTCCAGTAGCTAAGTACTTCATAGCTACTGGCCAATGTTAATTTATAATAAGATTCCGGGCACCGATTCTAACTCTGGAACAGGTCTGATGCCCATAAATGGTTGTACTATTGATGAAGTTCCCCAGACAGTTGCGGGAACCTCAAAAAATAATAAAAATAATAAAACCCAGTGATATATGGAAGTTTAATTGTTCAGTTGCCGTAGGCGCTCTGGATTTTATTGACATGTTATATAATATTGTTAGGAATGTTTCTGCTCGACGACCCCTTTTGTTGTATTTTTTGTGTTGATCGAGGAACTCAATCGAGAGAGTTGGGCAGTAGCCAGGCCAGAATTCGATAGGAATCGAACTTGATATACGAGAACTACCATGTGAGACGACACCATGATCTAGGATGAATTGATTACTGTAATTAAACCCCTCCTGAAGCTAGCTTTGATAATATAGACAGAAGATACAGGAAATTGTATTACGAAATCGTCTGATAATTGGAAAAGAAAGTGGATCGCTAGCCTAGTTTATTATAATCGTGCCTGAAGTTTTGTTCTCGTAAACTAGGGTCATAAACGTCGGTAGGGTCGGTAATTCTTGAACAGAGTTAGTGGAAAACATTTTCTTGAATTAATTCCTTTCACGTTTGCAATTTTGCAGCTCTAGCTCAGACATTTCGAGATCATAACATAAGACGAAGTGAATGGAAGTGGCACCGAGTATCAGCTAGGGATAGGGAAACGTCGTTCAAAATTAGGGTACGAAATGTCTAAAGATGTGAAATTGATTCGATCGACTGCACTAAGGAAGACTTCCAAGGTTCCACAAGGAACCAGAAGAGTTCGAACATCGATATCTGACAGTTTGAGCTTCTGGGTGCTAGTACTGGCAACACAAAAAATACAACAATCTGGTCACATTTTGGATGTCCACCCGGTTTCGAGGCGATTGCACAGGTTGCTAGGTCACTGCATCACGCTCTAGATGAATTGCGTCCGCTTTCTATCTAGATAAGCCAAGGCTACTAACATATTTTTTCAGAGAACCGTTTTGTAGAGAATCCTATTAAATCCTCGCTCATCCCTCCACCAGCTTGTCAACTCACACCAACGTTAACTTCCAAACAATCTCCCCCTTATCTGTGCGACTTCTGAGATGGCACCATTCCGCAACTACGACGACTCAGATGATGATTCTGACGAGGATCTCATAACTGTCGTTTCCTCTCAAGTTCCTGGACCGCAAGAAGAGGAAGATTATCCTTGCCAGCAATGTCCTGAAAACAGACGACCAGTTTTCAGGTCTCACGCCGAACTTGTTAAGCACAAGATTCAGGCTGAGCACCAGTATTGCAAGAAGTGCGATCAGGAATTTGCTGACAGGGATGACTTGGAAATACACATTCTCAGAAGCAATAGGCACATCACTTGCTTTGTGTGCGTCAAAGAGTTCCGGAGCGAGTCTGGGCTCCAATTTCACACTCAACAGGTATGTTGGCATTCGAGGTCAAGGTTAGAGTACCATGCTGATAGTATAACCTCTAGGCTCATCAAACATCTGCTGGTGGAATATGCCCTCAATGCCACGAGAACTTTAACACCCAGGCCGGCCTTCTCCAGCATATTGAGGGAAATCTCTGTCCCGGTGGCCTCCGTCGTAGTGATATTTATGAGGTCATCGAGGATCACCAGCAGCAAACTAATGAAGAACTCCGAAACCGTTCTACAAATACTACCCGGCAGGATACAGAGGAGCCCACGCCAACCCAAAGCGAAAATCCAGCCATCGAACTTGTGAATTCATTCTCACATTTCAAGATCCTTGACCAAAGGACTACGGGTGGTACGAGACCCGAGGGTGAAATAATCGACGTCGACCCGAAATGGTGGGATAAAGAGCGCCGCCATTATGTTTGCCCATATAGAAATTGCAGGTTGGAACCCCATTTCCCTGGAAAAGTCTGGTCAATACTGCTTCATAACCCTATTATGCTGAACTACTCTTTTGAACAGGAAAAAATTCAGACACTCCGAGCCTTTCCGCCAGCATCTTAACTCTGACGCCCACTCTGGCAAAATCTTCATGTAAGTTCCTAGATTTCATTTAAGCTGTAGAGAGAGATACTAATTGCTATAGCTGTCCTGGCTGTAAAAAACGTTTCACATCTTCATCTGCTATGCTTCAGCATATTGAAAGCGGCATGTGCCGCATAGTCCAGACGCCCGATTATGACCGTGTTAGGGGTGGTCTGACTGTTCCGGTTGACCAAAGCAGGCTCTCACAGAGTTTGGCGACCATGTCCCATCGAAGCGAAACTTTGAGTACCGTTGGTGTGCTTTCCGACACTGGGGATAACTCGAGTACCGTTGGTGCGAGAACCGCAACAGGAATGTTAAACAGAGTTGGGGCTCGACCCACTGCGGCTTATAATGCTATGAGTGAGAGATTCCCCGCGGGCAGACCTAAGCCGGAGCGTGGTGGGAACTTCAAAGGACCACCTTCCACTGCGGGTGGATCCGATCATTTGACCACAGTCGGGACAAGATCTGAAAGGCTTAGTACCGTCGGGACCAACCAGAACCAGTTCGCCGAGGGCCAACTTCAGCAGTTGAAACATGCTTGGACTGAGCCTCCGCGTGAGGGTGGTGAAGGTGGGGAACTTGCTCAGGATAAGGGCTCGAAGGGAAAAGGCAAAGTCAAACATAGTCCTTCCGATGCTTCAAACGCCATCACCAGGAGGAACGCTGCTGAAAATCGCAAACCTAAAGATGGTGTGAAATATTCATTTGGAAATGATTCAGATGAAGAAGGGACTATGTCCACCGTTATTTAGTGAGAGCCAAGACGTCATAGAAAACCTCCCGAACAAACATATTTAAATGGAGTTCGAGGCTTCTATGCACGAGGACTTCTATTTTCATCACTTTCTGTTGACCTTCAACTATACAATATCCTCTCTTTTGATCGACAGTTCACCCAATCGACGCAGTCATAACTTTGTTTTACTTTCACAAGACATCATAGGAGAGCACTATTGTGAGGGGATTAGGTCGGAAATCATGCATTTTGTCTCTTTTCACTTTTATAGGCGTGGTATCATGACACACCCCCTTCTTTACTTTTGTTTCCCTCCTAAAAGACTTATCTCTTTTTACATGGATCACTGTATGTATTTAACAATGGTTCTACCTAATGGTTAGCCTAGTTTCTTAGTTATCCAAACGTTCAACTGAGAGGAGATATCATTTTAATTCATATGATTATAAATGTTAAACCAAATACAAGATGATTAAAGGCCAACCGTTACTCAAAACGCTCCCTTAGTATAGAAAAGCCTACACGGTTAACCATTCTTGATTGGCGAATGGCCAAAATAATTCCAGCAATAAACCATAGTTGCCGAACCTGACTTCTTACCATCAAAACCAAAATTTGATTAAGTCAGGGTAAAGATGATATAAACATAAGTGATGATGATGATAATTATAATGATAAATAATGACAGTACCTCGTTATCGAACCTTAAAGGATAACGCAGAATATTTGATTCCCGCGCGCTATTTCTCTCCCCAAAAGACAAAAGAGAGACAGTTAGCCCAAAGTTCATGTCTAGTTGATCTCGTCCCAAAACGATGTTCAATAACAATAGAATCAATAATTTACTTACGTGGTGCATCAGGGTCAATAGGAACTTGGGGGAGTTCAGTGTATGGTATGGGAGGGGGTATCCATCTTGTAGTTGTAGCATTTATAGGATGATCTCGAGGACTGATGCCGGCGGGTGACGCGCCGGCTAGCTCGATGAGTTTGAATAAGGGAATAAGGAATGCAAAAAGGAATGCAGCCGTTGTCGATTGGATGGGCATCGGTGATGTCTTTCCTTTTTTCGGACTGCAAGATGTGTATGTTAGTATTAATATTGATGCATAAAATAATATGAGATAGATGTTTAATAGGATTAAAAAGAACGAGAATGATTGGTTACATACAAACACGCCGAGGTTTATAGAGCCTATATGTATAAGAGATATTGAAAAAAGTGACAACATTGGGCGGAAGATTAGGTATAGATCCGTCAAGGGTTATCGAGTATCAATTGATAAAGCTTTTTGCAGGTTAGAGGCAGAGGCGCTGACGGTTATATACTAGTAGATTATGCAATAACACCGATAATATAGCAAGTCCAGCTTGAGCTACTTGGATTATAAACGTTGAAGTTTTTTGTTTCTGCGCGGGGAAGTCCTGTTATGGGGACCATCGACGAGTAGGAAGGTATGGTGCTAGATGACCCAAAGATAGAATAAAGAAAGTTTCGATATCTCATGAAACGAGAGAAAAGGATATCCTTGACGCAGGCCGTCACAACTTTCTCACGATAATGTTTCCAAACCGCAACAAAGGGGTGGGTATATAGAAGAAAGTAGGTTGGTTCTAATCGATATTACCGCGTAGGTGAAACGGTAAAATGACTAAAATCGCATTTAATCCCCAACAGCCTAGTAGAGAATACTATAGTTGAGTTTTTCGTATCCACAATGCTAGGCGCCGAGGATTTCTTCGATTCGATCATGAGTGGTGCGCCATTTTGACTACTGGGTTAGGAATAATACGGTGAAGGGATGGTTCCCAACTGATGTAGCATTTTTGATTTTATGTACCCTAGATGAAAAGTAAATGCTGAAAGTGCAGGATCCATTGTTATGCTGTCGACGTCAAGGACGGTCTCATGTGAGGAAAAGCTTTCAGTTTCCGATATTTTAAGTCGATATGATATGTCTGGCCCAGCTGGAGGAGGAGGAAACTATCAAACTTTAATATTTAGCTGGAGAACAATCTTAAGATTTTTGTTGGATATGTCGTCCGGTGAAATACTATTGCGCAGATGTTGGAAGGATGTAGGTGTAAAACGAACTGATCAACGACCGAGTGTTGCAGGGTGTTGGAGGCACGTCTGGATGCCATCTATTGCCCAGTCCCCGTTTCCGTTTCTGGTAATTCTGATTGAGAGATTGATATAACACCGCGCCTCACATACCAATACCACTGTTATGGCCTTTGCCCCCTGAGCATGAGGAGTTTTTTGTGGGTAGAGATAGCAAAATATGGCATTGGACTCATAAACGTTTAAACTGGCTACCTGGTAATAGACAAATGGAAGATAAGAAGAGGCCAAAGTAACGCCGGCTTGAGAGTATGACATAATGGAAAGGAAATAGCCATCAACATAGCCATTGATCAGGATGTATGTACCCCTAATAAATTTCTACTACTTATCAGGAAGATTTCTGTTGCCTAATTTCGTCAAGTCTGTCCAGCAGGTACGACAGCATCTCCAAGTCCACATTTGCATCCTGTATTTCCTTCTATAAGAGACAATGTTCGTTAGAAAGCTCTTCACTTTTTTCTATTGTAGGGCCAGCTCATACCTTCAAGTCAGCATCTGCAACCCCGTCTCCTGTGCCCACGTTCTTAAACGTTGTCAAAGACTTCTTGATCACTTCAATCCAGCGTCTTTGAATTTCGGCGGACCAATCTGGCCTTGTGACACTAAGGTGGTTCCTGAGGTCGTCATTCGCCCATACCAAGTAGTACAGATTGGCAGTAGCTGAAATTGTCGAATATGCCTCATTAAACCGAACCCACCCATCTCGGATACCTCGTTTTAGGAACTCCTCCTCGTAGTCTGGGAATAGATTTAATATGAGGGTATCGAGTATAAGGGGGCTCAGGAAAATCGATTCCTTGGCGCCGCTCGCTTTCCCCTTCTGCGCAGCAAGTATCTCATCCTTGAGGTACCCGATTATCGCTGCTTTAAGAGCCTCAAAGGGACAGTGTTCAAGAGTATCCTTAATAAATCCTAAACGCAAGTCTTCGCGAGGGTTCAAATGGAGAATCGTAGTTGCATGAAGGTAAGTTAATCCTCTGAGGTCTGGCTCAGATAGCGTGGCTGACAGAGCTGAGTATTTCTAAACAAAAAAAATGTTAGAAATGCTTTCATCGAACGTTCAAGTGCCAGATTAAGAAATACCTGGATATATAGGAAGAATTTGTCGTCGTCACTTGGAATATTACCAAGTTGCGAGAGCTCCCCGTCTTTGTTGGATTGCCTAATAATCCAGCTCCCAATGAAGACCAAAGCATCAATGACAGAGCCCTCCACACCTTCAGGGAGATATTTGGAGGTTAGATTGGCATGCTCCGGGAAGATCTTTATGTTCAGTGAATTCGAATCTTCGCCTTTAAGCACTTTTCTATTAAGCTTAGCAGCAAGGAGGAGAAGGGATCCAACGTAGGAAAGTGGGATCTCTTCCGCAGATGTCGGGGCAGTTGGGGAACCTGGTTCTTCAGGCTCCACGCATTCGTCTTCTGGTTCTAGTACTTGTTAGCTTGATAATTACCCTCTTCCCTCTGGAGAATCACCTACCAAAGTTGGCATCGAGACAAGTCTGGAGAAGGTTTTCAATGTTCATGCCAACGCTGTCACTTAAGCTCTAAACGCAACAATTCAGGTCAGCCATGATTCACAAAAATTGAACCCGAGTTATGATACGAACCAAAAAAGCCACCATAACCTGCCCAATTGCTAATTTGTCCTGTGTACTATCTGTAGGGCCCTTTCCGTGAGGGTGTGTATGGGCGTGGCTGGCGACAGTTCTTGGGACGACTTTCTCAGGCCGAACTTTTTTATCCCAAGCTGATGCCCATTCCATCATCGTGGCATTATCTCTCGGTAACGTTAGGAAAGCCTCAACTCCGTGGGTAATGAAGGCTTGTATCAGTTTGACTTGAATGGGAACATCTACGTCTGTATCTGATTTGGTTGGTGCAAGAGACACGACAAATTCGATAATCTGGTCCAAGATATCGCAGAGCGGCGTGAGAGGAAGGGATTTCGACGCCTTTGTTACCATGCTAAGCAGACTCATCAAACTTGTTGCAAAGAATTTCGATGGAGTCTTCATCCTCAACCTCTTCTGAACCTGAACCAGCAGTCGAAGAAGGATTTTAGCGGTTGATAAAGCTGTCGGCGAAACCTTTTGCTTCGGGGTGAAGTCCTCGTCGTCCTCATCTTCGTTATCCTCTGAGTCGGAGTCCTCCTCTTCCGGCATCTTTCGGAAATCGAGATTCTTTATCTTGCCTGTGACCACAAGGAACACTTCCTTTGAGTTCCCGTTATTGGCACATTGGTCAAGCAGTAGGTCTGCTCGTACTACGACGGCCTTTTGGTCCTCAGCGTCGGAGCTATCTCTACCCACAGGCCTAGCTGCGAATTTGAGGAGAATGGGAATCGCATCCCATGCTATGTCAGATGCCAATTCACTCTAACCACGTTAGTTTCAAGGGCATGACCTAAAATCGCGGAACTGCCCGGAGACGTACGTTCTTCTCAAAGAGGACTTCTAGGCCCTGTAGGAGTTTGTTCTGATCTGCAAACGAATAACGATTGTACGCAGTCGAAGTGTGGAGGTCGAGGATTGTGCTGAAGGTGACATGATCCTATACCCAACATTAGATACACAGCACGGGCCAAGGTGAAGCAGCCATTATGACGTACCTGTGTTTGAGAGAGCTCTTCTGCCGCAGCATTCAGATTTTCGAGGGCTTGTTCTACCGGAATAGCAGGAGGGATAGACAAAGTACTCGGTGTCCTCGTAGGGAGAGGAGGCGGTTTTGGGGCTGCACTCATTGTATCGGATCGCTTCGAAGTTGTTGGGACGGTAAGATGTCGAGATGGGGGTTGAGCAATGGACAGGCCCAAGTTGGTCAGTTTAGGCCGTGTTGGTGGGTTGCTGGCTGTGTCGTCATTAGCCTCGGTGCCCCAGCCCCACTTCAAGCTGGCCTGGCCTGGCCCTGGCCGGGCTGCCCCGCTTGACAGTTGCATTTTAGCCCACAACACACACTTACCTTACAGACGGGTAATTGACACGCAGAAGTAGTACCCAGGTACTTAGCTTATAACTATACGAACTAGATTGAAGTTGACGGTTGAATTATATCAGAGGGAAGTATCTACCTAGGTAGATTGGCGTCTAATTTCGGGGCAATACGCTATTTAAGCATATCCCACAAGTATAATACATATACATGCACGCACATGTGTACGAAACTTGTTATCTTTCTGCCTTCGTACTACCAGCCACAAACAGGCCTGGTGTTTCATAGCTTCCCAGGGTTTATTAACTGATCCAATCGAAGGAATTATCCAATCTACTTTTTGGATAGAGTAACTGTAACATTAACCGTTGTACTCCCATCGACAGTGCTCGTGAGCTCGTATTTCTCATTGTCGTCGCCAGTAATTTCAGCCTTGAAGGAGGGCTCTTGTCCACTCAACCAAGTCAGTTTCAAATCTATAAAATCGAAATTTTCTTGGTCGAGCATATTCCATGATGCATTCCCCTCTTCGGAGTCTTTAATTTCGTCGAGAGTCTCCTTGAAAGTTTCAGAGCTATGGCCGCTGATGACCTGGGGAGGATACTTTTCAAAGTCACTGCCTGTTTGACCTCCATGGCCGGTGAATGTCAATGGAAAGTCGGCATCATTCTTGATGGTAATAGTAATGCTATAGGCTACAGCAGATGTGGATACTTGTTAGTAAGCGGATATATCTTTTGTCTTATTGCTAGGATGCCAGAGATCCTTACCAGGCGCCATGACTTTTGATATCCAATTGGATGGATGTAATGCTCTGCGGCACAGTTGAAGCTCGGCTTTTCTTGGAAGATAATCTATGATGATATCAACAGTTATGAACGTGCCTATACGTGTGTAAGTATCGATTTTGAGTCCCAACCGGCCGGGAAATCAAGAGCTTCAGCTCCGCTCGTACCCCACTTAGCTGGATGCAGCCTAAATCGAGGGTCATGGCGCCGGCAGGCTCATTACAAACAACGCAATCGTGATTGGAACCGTTGAGGTCGTCATGGTGTTCGTGCGGCATGTGCGGCAGTATTTGAAGGGACCCTTGCTTAACACGCTTCTTTACGCGTTAATTGGCAGCTGCAAAACGAACTAAGCTGCAAACTCGCTTCTGCTTGGTTACTGTGAGTTACCTCTGGCAAACGCGAGCTTCACCCAAACATCCCACACTCTTCACCCTTATTTTACCACAGGCCTCAGAGGACGCCACTTGTCGACCATACATATATCCTTTGCTGCTGAGGTTACTATAGAATTTTCGGTTCTACATCCTTAACGACAAAGCTTCCGTATTTTCCGCCGTCTGTCTCCTTCCTTTACGACGGCCAAGATGGTAGTAGCTGTCGCAAAGCGGGTCCTGGGTGACCAAACCGCCTCACATAATAATAATTTTAATAGCATGGCTAGCAAGAAACGAAAACTCGACATAGCTGGCCCGAGCCAGAACCAGAAGCTCGCGAAACTCTCGCAGGTTAAGTCGTCGTTCGAAGAAGACCTCGGCAGGTTGACACAGGAAATCGGTGATCTGAAAGGAGGTTAGAGGTCAATTGTCCAGATATTGGGGAACGGTTTGGCTAATATTTTCTGGATATAGCCAATGCGGAAACGGACCAGAAATGGGCTCGTCCGAGTATGGATGATTGGAAACCAAACGAAGCCGATTTGAGTACGGCGCCCGGAGCTTGAGGTGTTTCGATTTGGATCAAAGCTAACGTCGATTAGTATTTCAACAAATTGATACAGAAGATGGATATTGGAATGGGAAACCCTGTGTTAGGCTATTTGGTGTTACTGAGGTACGAGATATTATCGAGCTGGAGGTCACCGAAGACTCCTGCTAATAACTTTACAGTCAGGGCATTCCGTCTTACTCCATGTCACCGATTTCCTACACTACCTTTATGTTCAAGCCCCGGTTGGCTTTAATCAGTCACACATCCTCCCATATCATGATTTCTTGGAACATAGGATCGGAGCTGGCGGTGCAGATGTCATTGCTAGCACTCAGCTTGTGATGAGAGAGAATCTCTACGGTTTCCAAGGGAATCAAAAATCACCTTACATCAAAATCACAGTCACCGATCCGAAACATATCCCTAAAGTCCGGAGATTCCTGGAATCGCGTGAATCTGACTCCAATTATGACGGGATGTGGAATGGTGTTAGCGGGGGGATTATGACATTTGACAATATTCAATACATCATGAGGTTCATGGTAGACACCAAGGTAGGCCCAATGTTGTGTGACTTTATGCTGCAAGCTATTAATTTTTATTATTCGAAACGTGCAGATGTCTGGAATGTCTTGGGTCGAGGTCAAGAAGGACAAATACAAATATGTCCCAACAGGAGCCAATAGTATCCGCTTAGGATCAGCCCAGATCGAGGCTTCCTGCCATTATAAAGATCTGATTACACACCAAGCTGAAGGCGAATGGTCGAAAATGGCTCCTCTGCGTGTTCTGTCCTTTGACATCGAATGTGCCGGTCGCAAAGGAATTTTCCCGGATCCAAAAATCGACCCTGTTATTCAGATCGCATCAGTTGTCACAAGATACGGAGACAAGCAACCCTTCATACGAAATGTGTTCTGCCTCAATACCTGTGCTCTCATCGCAGGTTGCCAGCTCTGTGAATTCTCAAGGGAAGACCAGATGTTGCGTGCTTGGACGAAATTCCTCCAAGAAGTCGACCCCGATGTTATAATTGGCTACAATATTGCAAACTTCGATTTTCCTTATCTTTTGGAACGCGCAGAAACCTTGAAGGTGAAGGACTTCCCATTTTGGACCAGACTCAATGGAACGAAATCCGAAGCCAGGGCATCAACATTTTCTTCAAAGCAAATGGGAAACAGAGAATCCAAAACGACCAACACCAACGGCAGAATCCAATTGGATGTTCTCCAGCTTGTTCAGAGGGACTATCAGCTCAGAAGTTACACTTTGAATTCTGTCAGTGCCCATTTCCTCAACGAACAAAAGGAGGATGTCCACCACACCATGATCACCGAACTATTCAATGGGACCCCGGAGTCAAGACGTCGTTTGGCCGTCTACTGTCTCAAGGATGCTTATTTACCCCAGCGCCTCATGGATAAGCTCATGTGCCTTATTAACTACGCTGAAATGGCTCGTGTCACGGGTGTTCCTTTCAACTTCCTTCTAGCACGTGGTCAGCAAGTCAAGTTCTTGTCCCAGCTATTCCGAAAAGCCGGAGAGCAGTCTCTCGTTGTCCCAAACCGTGAGCAAAAGGTCGGCGGCGGCGGCGACGAAGAGCAGTATGAAGGTGCTACAGTTATTGAACCCACCCGTGGCTTTTATAAAGAACCTGTTGCTACCCTCGATTTTGCCTCTCTGTACCCGAGTATTATGATGGCGCACAATCTTTGCTATACTACGCTAACGAAGCAAGAACATATGGATAAAATGGGGATGAAAGAGGGTGAAGATTACCATGTTACCCCGACTGGCGATGTTTTTGTGAACACGAGTGTTAGGAAGGGGTTACTCGTTACCATTTTTGAGGATCTTCTGGGGGCCAGAAAACGAGCGAAGAACGTGGGTACCCTCCTAAAATCAGAAGCAGCATGGTAAAGCATAGCTAACTAAAAACACTACAGGATCTTAAAAACGAAACCGATCCTTTTAAGAAGGCTGTCTTGAACGGTAGGCAATTGGCTTTAAAGATTTCCGCCAATTCCGTCTACGGTCTTACTGGCGCTACAAATGGTAAACTGCCATGTTTGGCCATTGCTAGTAGTTGTACTAGTTACGGTCGAGAGATGATTGAGGCCACTAAAGCCGAAGTAGAGAAGAGATACACAATTGCGAACGGGTACTCTCATGATGCCCAGGTCATCTACGGTGATACCGATTCCGTCATGGTTAAATTTGGGCCAAAAGATCTGAAAAAAGTCATGGCGATGGGCGAAGAAGCCGCTGCGTTCGTTTCCAGCAAGTTTATCAACCCCATTAAACTTGAGTTCGAGAAGGTGTACTTTCCATACCTTTTGATCAACAAGAAGCGATATGCAGGTCTATATTGGACAAATCCGAACAAGTACGACAAAATGGATTCGAAGGGGATTGAAACTGTTCGAAGAGATAACTGTCGACTTGTGCAGACGGTTATCGAAACGGTTTTGAAGAAAATCCTAATTGACCAAGACGAAGACGGAGCACAGGCGTACGTTAAGGATATGATATCAGATCTATTGCAAAATAAAGTCGATATGTCGAATTTGGTGATTACAAAGGCGCTATCGAAGGAGGAGTATGCAGCAAAACAGGCTCACGTGGAGCTTGCTGAAAGAATGAGGAAAAGAGACGCCGGTTCTGCGCCAACTCTAGGGGACCGTGTCGCCTATGTCATTGTGAAGGGAGCAGGAGGCGCGAAGAATTACGAGAAGTCCGAGGACCCGATTTACGTACTAGAGCACAATGTCCCCATCGACACGAAATATTATCTTGAGCAACAACTAGCGAAACCCTTGCACAGAATTTTCGAGCCCATCCTTGGGGCAAAAAGGGCGGACCAGTTGCGTAAGCTAAAGAGGATTACTAATTTTAGATAAGTTGATGCTAATTCAATCTTGATAGTTACTGGTGATCACACAAGAACGATTTCAGTTGCTGCACCAACTATGGGCGGGTTGATGAAGTTTGCAAAGAAGACGCAGACATGTATGGGATGCAAGACCCCTTTGACAAGGAAAGATGAGGCAGGTGGTGCTGTTTGTCATAGCTGCCAGGATCGCAGTGCGGAACTTTACCAGAAAACCGTAAGCCAGCTGCTTTCGAATTGGTGTATTATTATGCGACAAGTTTATTCTAACCCAATATTTTAGCTCTCCAAAGTTTCTGACCTGGAAGTGAGGTTTGGAAGATTATGGACCCAGTGCCAGAGGTAAGTTGGCATAGTTGCACAAATTATTAAATGCAGGGCTAATATTTGAGGGTCAGATGCCAAGGATCGCTTCATTGCGAAGTTATCTGCAGCAGCAGGGATTGTCCGATCTTCTACATGAGGATGAAAGCCAAGAAGGAGGTTGAAGAAATGGGCAAAGAGTTAAAACGGTTTGATTATGGGTTATCGGCGTGGTAAATCTTCGTTAGATCCCCTTTTGGTTTAATTTCGACGACTTGAAAGATTGAATAGTAATAAGATGGGGGTTTTCTTGTATATTTTTGGGGTCTGTTTTTTTGAAAATACGGCAACGTTACTGCGACTTTACACGGATTCATGAAAATATTCTCAATGGTAGGCATTAGCCATATTTTTACTGGCCCATGAACCCACAAATAATAGAGCGTTCGAGAACTACAGTATTAGACTTTGGTGAAGAAAATAGGATCTAGAGGTGAGACTAGTTAACGGTTAAAGCGCACCGGAGCATGCAGTGGTTAACGTTCCTGGATCTCCTGGGAAAATCTAAATTCCAAGCTAGTGATAAATGCCGAACTAGCTTGATCGAAACTTGATATACTCGAGTACTCCCAGCGCTCCACCTAATTATATTGATTGCATCATGGCCAGCGATACTAAACCCACGAGGTATCTGGATGTCCGATGGACTATCTCGAACAGTAGACCCCGCCACCGGCCACCGGCCATGCACCGGCCATGCACCGACCATGTGCTCTCCGCCACTAAATATACATCCACATCCATTCAAGAAGGTTGGCAGAGAATACCCTGCGATTGGCGGACGCGCCCCAATAGTGACTTGCATCGGTCGGGTGCGACCCCAAAGTGCTGCAGGTGTGCTGAACCAGGGAGCTCCAGTCGGGGTCTGAACTAAGGCCAAGGATCACAGCCGGACAGAGCTACTCGATTCAAGGAAATTTAATGGCTCAAGGGCAGTTTGCCTTAGCTAAATTTTAACCAACGTTATCAGATCCTGTTAGTAATTGCCCTCGACTTCTCCGACCCCGCCGCCCTTATAAGTCTGATGGAGTATTCGATATAAAGCGCTGGAAGGTCTGGAAATTTTCAAAGCTAGACGGTCTCAAAATCCGAATTCTCTCGCAACTTAGGTAATTAAAGAAGCACGACAGCTGTCAGTATCCTATGCGGGATATCCTCATGGGCTGCTACAATTAACTTCCCAGACTGCCAAACATCCCTGCTGAACCTCCACAGCCTTCCTGTCGAATCGAAACATCATACCTCTTCTGCGCTTCACTCGGCTTGTCGATTTTAAGTCTCCGGCGTGGCTCGAATCGATGATTTGGATATCCTTCCCACCATAGCTTCTACTAGATATTTTTTTCTTGCAACTCCGCAGGCTTTGCATTTGTCTTAAGTTCTGACGTTGGCTTTTTGAATTTCGACGTAGACCCGATCTGCGGTTCTGGTAAACTGAAGCTCAGCCTTCTGAGATTAGCTTACTTAATCCTGCTCACCCTCAAAATACACACCTCACGGCCTCCACTGCTCTAATTCACTCCTTCAGCAGCACGTACTCAACAATATCCTTATTTCCCGCTTCCCAAACTCGAATAAAAAATTTGTATCACTATGGAGGAGGAGGTCAATCAACGTGTTACCTGGCTTCTCTCGAGCTTAAAAGGCAATGCTGGTGCCCCGCCACCAGATATTGCGGCCCAGCTCAAGGGAATTGAACAAACGTCGAGGTCTCCCTCAACATCCCTCCTAGATCTTCCATACGACATCCTTTCTATTATCCTCGAGCATGTACCACCATACGAAATTCCTCGTCTACGAAGGGTTTCCAGAGCCTTCAACAGCTTCCTGACCAAGGATCACGTGCTTTCGCCTTTGCTCCGATTTCACTTTCCCTATCATGTTAGGGATTCGTTACATGGAGGTGCTCTTCAACAGAATGGAGGCAATGACTACGAAACAAACACTCCAAATGCTGGGGTTGGACATAACAATGTAATTGTGGGAGCACCTCAGGCATTTGATTCGGCACTCAAGCGGTTTTTTAACCGAGCGAGGGGGAAGCCAACATCGATTACAGTTATCAGTGGGGTTCGACTGGATGCCTGTTACGAAACGGAAACCTCGTACGATCACATGTTCCTTGTATTCCACCATGTTTCTGGTCGAGTCTTCATATACGACAGCGGAAACCGCTTTCCCAACCGCCCTTACGTCACTCTTGACGTCCGGGGCCTCGGGCTCCCATGGTTCGGGTATAGAGTCCCTCGTCGGAACGTTCGACAATCTGTCGTTCTAGACAAGCGAGTCTTGATTGTGAGCGGAACGAGGGAATTTGAAAACGACCCAGAACGCAGGATCCCACAAGCAGTCTATTCACTTCACAATTATCCGGAAGTTGAATTTGTCGGGATCTGGCGGGGAGTATCATATCACGAACATCTAAACAGCCTTTGCGCGAACGACGAGTGGATCGGCTGCAGGGTCAATAGACATTTCATCAAGCTCGTCAAAATCTCATCACTACGCCAGCGAACTGCCCAACCCGAGAACCCCGCTGGCGCTGGCCCCCCCAACAGCAGGCTCGCGCCAGCGCCACATCCATACGAGCTTACATTTGCTCACCCTTCCAAAGGATATATTAAGGATGTACACCTTGCGAAGGATCATGTTTTTGTCTACTCTGTTATTATGGATGAGGACGAGAACGGGCATGGGCAAATCGACGTTTTTAGCATCAATTTGATCCCCAACGAGCACCGAGATAAACAGCTATACGAAATTGCGCATGTCCGATCTGTGGTTTTACACGCGTGGCAAGGCATGTTCATGGAGTATATCGGGTATCCGAATCCCGAGGATGTCCCCGAAGCGATGAGATGCCAGAGGTGGGATAAAATATACCCGTTCATGAAAGGGAGCCGCCACCATGGAATGCCTGAGGAGGATGGTGAAAGTGTTATGATGACCCTTGGTAAAACTTTCAGAGCTAATGGCAACATACCTATCGGTTGTGCGAGGATTTTTGCGCAGTCAGAGAAAGCGAACCGGGAAGGCGAACCGTTGATTGTTGAGACTGTGGCGCCGGGAAATATAATTCCGTTCTGTGTGGCATTAGAACAGGGGATCCAGGAGGACGATGCGATGCATACGCTTTTATTGCCCGCTGCGAGAGGAACGATGAAGAGTAGGGCGGAGATTATGGAAGAAAGTGAAGGTCATATAGGATTTGTACCGCAACCGTGGGATCCAGATGTCCCAGCGAGTCCTGATGCCATGCACTTCAACTCTGGAAACTCACAAGATCCACTGCCAGGAGATGATGCAGCCTACCTGTTACATTTTGGAAACCCTGGCTTTGCATTCGGGAATGATAAGAAAGCCGAACCGACGTTGCCAACCCCAAGCATCAGAGAGGCATGGTACTTGGATCAGGACCAAACCCAGAGGACCAGTGTCATTACAGAAGAGGGCTTATTTCATATATTCTATGATGAACCGGCAGTTGATGAAAAGGCGTTGAATTTGGTGACACAACAGAGCGCTACGGCTAATGGTGGTGGCACCCCGACATTAAAAGATCCTATCCAGTTATTCCCGAGTCATATGCAGCATATCCCGCTCGAGGAAATATTCGATATAAACATCCCGTTCTTAGAGGTTTCGTTTGAGAATGCGACAATTGGGGATACCCCGAGTCAGCACGAAGAAGACATGAATGTCAAGAAGGCGAAATTAGATAAGCTAATGAGAAGTGTAAGGGGTGGATGGAGCTGCTATGTTTGGAGCGCAGAGACATGGAATGGGTTCTTGATTACAACCCCAGATGATGCAAAGATGGTTGTTTTGAGGTATGATTGATTTGGGATTCGTTTAAAAGAGGACGGGTATTAGGATGTATATAGAAGAATGGTAGGGCTTGGAGTCAAATATGGGTAATATTAGGAATTAACGCGTTGGGTAACATGATTTAACGCGGGGAGGTTGCTATCTATAAACGCTTATGGCGAATACATCGATAATTAGGGAATTTAAACTTGAAATGGGAGATATCTCAAAAATATTTTGTGTATACTGCTCGTTCAATAGGTACATAGAGCTGGGTCAATGAGTGTACATGCGCCTCTTCGACTGAAGCTGAATTAAAAGTATTTTATATCATGTATCAACTGAGAAACTCTATGATACTTGAAGGGATCCATAAGGCCCACGCTTTGAGGCAGTAATTAACAGCCTAGAATTCATAGCCTCAGGTATCAGATCACCCAGTTTCTGGTATTTTGTCATGAGGCAAGATAGCCTTGTGGTGGCTCCGAGACTAGCCTTGTGGCGCCAACCACAAAGGCGCCATACTATAGCCAGCTCCGAAACACCGACATAAAAGAACGCTCCTCAATGGTTCATTGAATATTAATCGTGGAGAGATCATGGGCTATTATATATTCTGTTCTCGTGCGCTTCAAATCGTATTTGTGAAATCTTAGTGTAACAGGCTGGAGAAACAGAGAAAGGTACCATTCAAACTGCTGCTAAGAGCTTAGTTAGAACTATAAAATCATAGAAAGAGCTAGTCTTGTAGAAAGAGCCTGCTTCACCAAGTGTTCGGGATGCAATTTTAATAGATATAAACCTAGGCATACGATATAATAAAACGATAAGTCCACCAGCACTACGAGACCAACCAGCACCGTTGCGCCTTCATGGCACGCAAACCATTTTCGCGTTGTTGTGTGTGGGATTTTGCAATATCAATCCAACAACAACACATTAAGGCTGCCAAGCCGGATGGTAGATGTCTACGGAACCCTCTCGATTCTATCGCCATGATGAGGTCTCAAAACGCAAGAATGGGAGCTCCGAACTGTAAGAAAAACCAATGAAGTCGCACAGGTTTGTGATCCGTCATTTATCTTATGAATAATGGCTGTTTTTTATATAATTATTTTTAAACTTTTGTTTACTCGCTGTCTTATATGCATATCCGACCCGTTCCCCGGATACTAGTGTTACAACCCCAGTTAATGTTCGGTAAGCAAGCTACGAACGGACGTCATTTCGAACAAGTTTCGGAAGGCAAAGTGCGGAACAACGGATCAAAGGGCTACTAGGCTCAATCGCTTCTCATTCGACTCGCTAAATCGCGGGGTTCCTCGATAGATTCGAGTGTCTATATAACCGTAAGCATCTTTCATTATACTCGAATCTTTCGTTTGATACTTCGATACATCTGGAATATTGTTTATCATCAAGTGTTTTTTTTTCTCATTCCAAGGCCAAGAATTACATTTTTTATGCCAAATCGCCCTTAAATTTGCTATTACCTCAATTATTACATCTCAAATCGGATATTTCCATTGCTTTACCAAAATGTCGGGATCTGTATGTCGCCATCAGTCGTGTGATCCGTAAAATTCGAAGCGCTTTACCTTCTGACCTCCTTACTTAGCCAACTTTTTCCAAGAGCGAAATCACAGCCTCTCTTGTCCGAGCCAAGCAAGAACGGAAAATCAGTTTCGAAGAACTCGGCAAAGCGATTGGGCGAGATGAAGTCGCTGTGGCGGCAATCTTCTACGGACAACACCATGCATCCCGGGAAGACATTGTGGGGCTTGCAAAAGCCCTCAATATAGATGAAAACCTACTATCGTCTCAATTATCAGACTTTCCCGACAGGGGCAGTGGCGTTGAGATGCCGCGTAAGTTCCGTCTTGCCGAGTTGAATTATCCAAGGGTTATTTTTCCCTTCTAACGGGGATAAATTTTTCCCTTGAGTTTGGGTGCAATATAGCGAAGGAGCCTTTGATCTACCGCCTATATGAGATAGTTCAAAATTATGGACAAGCCTATAGAGCCGTGATGAATGAAAAGTACGTAATGCACAGACCCTCCCCTTTCGGGTTTAATATTTAAATTTCTTCTTTCTGTTTCGTTCTTTGGTTCTTTCTTTCTTTCTTTTTTTTTTTTTCCGTCTCGCCTGTAATGCCGAGCCACGGGTAAGCACAATTATGTAACGGTTTTTTTTGTTTTCTGAACTTTGCTTTTACTAGGTTCGGAGATGGTATCATGAGTGCCATTGCGTTTTCAACCAAGGTGGACAAGGAAGTTGATGAGCAAGGGAACACATGGGTTAATATAAGTATGCGGGGTAAATGGTAAGATAAAGCCTCATTCTTACGACAGGACGTGTGTTCGGGGATACCCGAGGAATTTTACATGATTGTTTTACTGATCACATTTCTGGCTATCGTGCAGGTTGCCATATTCGAGATTTTAATTGGGAGGACCCGTGGGAACGTGGGTAGGGTTTGCAGAAATATCCTTGATTCGTTGGAAAGAGATATGACATCTTGAAAAGAAAAGAAAGAAAGAAAAAAATTTCATACAGTTTGCACTTATCATTCTTCTTTTCTGCTTCCTCACATCGACCCAAATTGGTGGTTTATCTCCAATATTATAGTTACACTCGTGTATACAATTTTGTACCCCAAGAACACCTGACTCCAATAAAGTATCCAAAAAGGAAGAAAGGAAAATAAAATGTAGACTTGGTTTAGGAAACGTGTATGTGGTCATGCCCTTTACGCATTCGCTGATACTATGATACCTGGCCGAATGTTATCCGGGTATTGGAATTTGGAGCTCTTGATTGCATCTTCCCGTTCTTTCTCACCTTGAGCATAATTTCTTCGTGCAGCATCTAAGATGAAGTCCCTTGCAGTAATAGGCGGATACTTTTTCAAAGGCCCTTGGATCACAGCGGATCTGATTGGTTGGTTGAAGAATCTAACGAAAGTTAGTCTGATGATATCGGGAATAGAAGGAAAAAAGGGGATTGAAACTTACGCAATACTATGCCTTGCCTTCTGACTCTCTCCTGTACGAGGATTCCGGACACGGTGGAATAGACTCTTCAGTCTGTCATCCGACAGCGACATCAACATGTCTCCGATGTTGCCTTGCATAAAGTTAGCATTCCCAATTAGATCACACAGGCATATTATCGACAGCAGGTTTTTTCTCCTTGTATACTTACAGACTATCTCGCCAGTATTAGCCTTGACGGGCGTCCAGACATCACTCATTCCGAAACTGGTGTAACATTCCCGACCAGGACAAACCTCGAGGCCGTCTTCACCGGTACGTTGGAACAATAGGGTGAGGAAGTCGTAATCTGTATGAGCACCGGCTCGGATATGTCCGTCAGGAATTGCCCGAGTCTCGTTTTCATGATAGTGTAAAAGCCTGAGTGTCGTCATAGCTTCGTTAGATCTGATGTCGTGGATTTTTGTGAAGTAATCTTCTTCGAGGCCGAGTCCGATCGCAAGACAAGAGAGAATACGCATGGAAACGGTCTGTGTCTTTTCTATGAATCCTGATATTGTCTTGTGAAAATCCGGAATATGGTCATCCACGACGGGCCATGTTGGGTCATATCGTCTGTGATACTGAAGCTGGATTGATTCCTTCTGGTCTGGCAGGTTGGTGGAGGGTCTGATCTGGGCCCTCTTCTCCCAGCCTGTATTTTGCTCTCTGATGAACGGAGTCCTAGATTTCACATCTTCCGGTAATCGAAAGAAGGATTCCCTACGTATAGTCAGATTACTACTTCACACACAGTGCCGGGCAGAAGTTCGAGAGTCTGAGACATGGACTCGACAGTTGATATATTTCCATAGAAAATGCGTTGACGTGGGGGCGAAATGCAACACATGGAAACGTTAGAACTTACGATATCCGAAAGGCCTCTTCGATATCTGCTTTTGAGGGCGAGTCCTGATCCTTTATTATGAAGAATCCGACATTTTCAGCAGCGTTCATAATCTCCTTCTGAATCTCATTTTTGCGATTATCCCAATCGTGCAGGGAGATGCGAGGTATCTGGCGACTATTTTCTGTAGGCATGATTTGATATCGTATGTTATGGTAAATGATGTGGATGGATTGATTTAAGCTTAAAGGTTATAGAAGATCGATCTTAAAGAGAAAGTTTTATATAGAAGAACTAGAAAATGGGCCAAAAGTCTTGGTGATATATATTTTGAGATAAACTTCTCGGTTTTCCCCGACAGACTTCAGATAGCACTAGCAAGGACTGCGCCGCCTTTTATATGTTTCTCGCCGTATGTCCAAGTAGAACTTTCCAGTAATGATGGCGAAATGTTGGAAAATACGGTGGTAGATAGAAATGTCAACGCAGAGATTTATTCCCGTATGCATACTAATCCTAGTTACCGGCTTTGAATGATATGTTGGGAACGATAGGCTTGGAGATATCTCCTTTGGGTCCCTGCCCAGCAGTTAGCTCCACAGTCCACTTTAGTCGTCCACAGGGCTCGATGGTTCGTGGCATTCACAGCACCGAGTCAGCGCTAAACGTATCGGCCGTGAATGCGAAGCATGTAAGTACGCATGATATACTGAGCACTTACAGGTATCCGCTTCGAGTGTCCGAGCTTGCACAACGGCACGGCTCAAGGAAACAGGACCCAGTCTGTGATATTACCACATGGGTATGCGTGAGTGCGCTCTGTATAAAATTTTCAGATGTGGGAAGTTAAATCAAATTCCCTGGTCACAGATTGCACTCGTCCCGAAGTTTCCCACCCGCCTGGGGTTAGACGTGATGCAGCTTCTTGATTTTATAACCAATTATGGCTGCCGCCGTCCAGCCAGTTGGGTTCGGTTCACGGTCCTAGGAATTTTTCACCTCGGTGATATCCGAAGCAAGTTCTCTGCAAGGGAGGAAAAGAAGGAAGAGATGAGTTCCACAAGTCGCGAACTCCTATTTCGTTTTTTTTTTTTCTTTTGTGAGAATTTCCTAAAGGAATGCAACTGGCGAGAGCTCGAAGCAGGCCCAAGTCGGCTCGAGTCTGCACAATTCGCTTATCAGTTGGGAGTCGCACAAGACCTTCAACCACCTTTCGGCCGGCTCAGTTGCCCTGTTGGTCCATTGCACAACTTTGGCGATTGGCGATTGGACAGGGACTGGTTTATGCAAGATCCAGCTTCGGCTATTGTCGGGCGCCTGGGGTCAGAGAATTCAATTTGAACTTGGGTGAAGTTGATGACGGCCGACAATATAGAAGAGATATTGCATTTGCTCCACGTCTTCTACTAATCAGAAGTGTGGGGTGGGTTTGCGTGTGCAGTTTCAATATCAACATATTCCTGGGTCGCACTAATTTTGTCGGCTTTCTCCGCTCACAGAAAACGGCCAGAACGAAGAAGCCCCTCCATCTTGAAAAAATACGACAATCACGAAATATATGCAATGCCGTTGGGATGGGACAGGGCAAAAAAACCCCTCATAGAGGCTTAAATCTTCGGGCAGATACGAGCGGGAGTGAAGTTCAAACTAGCTGGCACGTGCGAAGAGACACATGGTCCACGTTTAGTGATACGGTGGGTGTATAAATGACCACTTACCGTCGATAACACGAGCCCATGCGCATATCTTCCTGTGAATCGTCTGAAGGGTCTGGCAGTCCGAGCCGCAGTTCATTAATATAAAACCGGATATATATGGCATTACTCGAGCACCTCGAAATTATTCCATATCGCATCATTGGTACCGATACCCAGGCCAAGGACGGACGGACGAAACCTCAACTAGGTACTACCAGACTTTCTTTTATCCGAGGATGGGTCCCGGAGATGTTCGCCACTTGGATACTTAGGCAAGGATGGTGCCTCGACCTGTCTTTTGGGTTTGGATCGTAGAGTGGATTAATGTAAAGTCCCTCACCTGGATTGGTAACAGCGGGCAAACGGTGCAGGTTGTCGGACAGAAACATGGTTTCCATTCAATAGAAGTTGCAGGATTTAGGTCGGTTTGGGTCGACGAAAGTGCAATTTGAAGCTGTCAATTGACAATAGACGTACATGCCTAACCCAGCGGCGGCCCAAGTCATACGATAACGGAACGTCTGACAGCCTGCAATATAATACAGGCATAGACGTTTGTGAATCCTGTATGCTCTGTATGCTGGTGATCCTCGATACGATTTCGAAATATTTCGTGCTGAGCTACATTCCAATGCCGGGTCCCCCATGGCTTCATGGAGACCTGACAGATGTCGAAATGAATATGACGCGTCCTTCCGAAGCTGGACGGGGTTAAGTTCGCAATTTCTGTTCTCGGGTTAGTGCTCATTGGGACCGACAGCCGAGGCTTACTCCTATTGGACAGCTGCCCTCAGCTGAAGCAGCGAAGACTAAGCCAGAAAGGGCTGGATGGCGATAAACTGCCCCCGCACAGTACATCGTCGCCAAGATGAGTTCCGGCCTTGGACGATTCCACTGTCAACTGTCTGCTACTGTCTCCGGCAGCCCTGTCACAGCTGTCATAATTATAGTAGCAATGAGGAGTCGCTGTTGATTGCAATTGGCGTTAATACTATCCGTATTTTCGTGGTGTACTTTGTAGAATACTCACAAGTTTTGGTGGAGCGATACATCTGATGACAGCGGGGTACGTTACCTGTTACAGAATCCAAACAGTAACACCAGCCACCGATTACATCAGTACATCCCACAACAGCGCTACAGCTAGCAGCTCCTCACAACCACAAACATCATCCGGCATTCATTATCTGTAGTGTATACATCGAAAACAAGGTTTGTGCATGACATTGTCATCCCGGTTCGACCGTTATCTATGCATATTCGGCCTAGAATTCTAATTCTAATACTTTGCGGCTATAGTTCGAGCTCTTTCTAGCCCAGTGTACCCTTGGTGTGAAACTTTCGCGAAAATGGGAAGATCCAGGTCCCGTTCTCGTTCCCGTCAGAGCGGCGGAGATGACGGCGAACGTCGAAGGCGCAAGTCCAAAGACCGTTCTAGAAGTCGTGACGATGATAAATATGAAGGAGAAACAAAGGAGGAACGAAGGGCCCGAAGACATCGGAAGCGCAAAGAGGAAAAGGGAGAGGAGTATTCCACTCGAGCCGCGCAGGATAAACCTGAGTCCGGCTACACAGTACCAGGAGGCTTCGATTATCAAGCCCCTTCTGGTTATGGTGTCGCCGGAAGTGCGCCATACCCCGAAAGCCCACAGGAGCAACGTTCTGGATATGGCGGTGAATATCAACAAGGCGGGGAATATCAACATGGAAACTATCCTGCCGATAGTTACGCTCAATCGCAATATGGAGCAGGAGGATATCAGGCTCCAGCCGCTCCAGCCGCTCCAACCGGAGAATACGACCAAGCTCACCAGGAATATTCAGGACACTCCCAAGGCTACTCTGCTGAACACCAATCGTATAGCGGCCAGTATCATGAGGGACAGTCATATGGCGGACAGCATGAAGGACAATCGTATCAACAGCATGAAGGAAGCGGTTACTACCAGCATACTTCACCTCAACCGACTACCCATTATGGACCACCAGCTGAACAATACGGTGCTACGGGGGGTGAATATCATGATCCAAACTATGGTCAAGCTGGCTATGCGGCTCCACAGCCCCCATATCCCGTCGAGTACGGCGAGGACCCTAACAGCTCAGCCCAGGGCTATTACGGAGGCGGCGCTTCTTCCAACGGTAAGGGTTTCCCATAATATTTGTTCGAGTGCATTCTAACGAATGTGATCTAGAGTACCCAGCTGGAGGATACCCCCCTCCAACAGGTGCGCCAGGTGAAACCCCACGAAACCCTTCTACTCATAACTACCAACCTCGCGCCGAACCATCTGGTCCTCCACCCGAAGCCGAGCCCCAGTTCGACTATTCCCATACGCCTACACAGTCATTTGCTCCTGAAGTGAGCTGGAGACCGACAGCTGCTCCTGAAACAGAGAAGCAATCGGTGTTTAGAAGCTTCAGAACCGGTTTGCACAATGCTATCCGTGAAGTAACAAATACGGGTAAAATCCAAGTGCATTCAGGCATGCACGAGGGGGGTGTTTGTACGGATCCAGATCACTTCCATAGTTCCAATAGATTCGAAAGTTTCGCAGGGGTTTACCCTGGAAATTCGATTAAATGGTTTGTTGACGGGTAAGTCGTCACCACTTATAACCTTTTCTAATAGCTCTCGCTAATTTTTTTGTTTATAGAAAGGATTACTGTAAGTATATTATCCGATGGCTCTATCGCTAGATATACTAAGACTTTCAAGGCTGGGCTGTTGCCGAAGCAATCAAGAATGCTCGCCACAGCATTTGGATTCTCGACTGGTGGCTTTCCCCGGAGTTGCACCTTAGACGTCCCGCAGCTAAACACGAAGAGTACCGTCTCGACCGAATGCTTAAAGCGGCTGCAGAAAGAGGAGTTATCGTCAACATAATTGTCTACAAGGAAGTTACTCAAGCCTTGACCTTGAGCTCGGCACATACGAAGCATTTCTTGGAAGAACAACATCCAAATATCCAAGTTTTTAGACACCCAGACCATACTCCTGATGGGAAAGTTGTTTTGTCAAAGTTGATTAAGGGAAACCTTTTGAATACACTTACTAGCTTCACAAACACCGACCAGATCGTTCTCTACTGGGCCCATCACGAGAAACTCTGTCTGATTGATGGTGTTATTCCTGGCGAAGGAATTGCCTTCATGGTGAGCCCGGGAAGCCCCCTCGTATGTCAAACGAGAAGCTAATGAGTGTAAAGGGTGGCCTCGATCTCTGCTGGGGTAGATGGGATCTTCCGCATCATCCTATTTCTGACGTTCACCCAACCGATATCAAAGAAACCGTCTTCCTAGGTCAGGATTACAACAATGCTCGTGTGATGGACTTCCACACCGTAGACCAATGGACGCAGAATAAGCTCAAGAGGACAGAAAGCAGCAGAATGGGTAAGTAGTTACTTTCTTTTTTTTAAAAAAAGGGGGTGTGAGCTAGATGTATTAATTTATATTCCTAGGCTGGTCCGATGTTGCCCTTTGCTTGAGTGGCCCGACAGTTGACGACTTGAAAACCCACTTTATGCAACGTTGGAACTTCATCCTCGAATCTAAGTACGGGCTAAAAGACACTAAGTATCATCCGATCGAGGTCCCCGTTCATTCGCATGGCGGCTTTGGGCACGGTGGTATTACTCATGCGGCAAGTAAAATAAAGAGCGGTATGAAGGGCATTATTGGCTTCCAGAGCGGTGGTGGTTACGAAGAAGAAGAACGACGTGAAGAAAGCTCAGGACGTCGCGGGAGCAGGCGTCAACGCAGAGGCGGCAGGGAGGATTATGATGCGGACCTCGCATGGTCGGATTCCGATGACGACTCAAGAAAGAAAGGACGCAGAAAGCAAGAACGTTATGGAGAAGAGGAACAATCAAGGGCTGGTCACCACGGTGGATACTACCAGCAGCAGCAGTATCAGCAGCAGCAGCAACAGCAGCATCCTCCTCCTCACCACAGCGCTCACCCGATCAACTGTCAAATTGTCCGAAGTATCAGCCCTTGGAGCCACAATATGAAGACAGAGCATTCGATTCAAAATGCATACGTCCAAGTCATTAACCACGCCCACCACTTCGTTTACATTGAAAACCAGGTTAGTAACATCGGTAGGAGTAAATTATGCATAATACTAACCAGGCTTGCTCTAGTTCTTCATTACCGCCACTGATGGAGGTCGAGTCGTCAAGAACAGAATTGGAGAGGCCCTTGTCAACAGAATCGTTAGGGCTCACCGCGAACGCCAGAAATTCCGAGTAATCGTCGTCATGCCTTCTGTTCCAGCTTTTGCAGGTGACCTTAAGGATGATGGTGCTTTGGGGACACGTGTGATTATGGAATACCAATACGACTCTATTGTCAGAGGTGATAAAGGACCGGATGGAAAAGGCAGATCTATCTACGAAAAGCTATACGCAGAGGGTGTTAACCCATCGGACTATATTCGATTCTACAACTTGCGCAACTATGATCGTATCAATATTTCTCGAGAGCTTGAGACAGCGGAAGCACAGACAAAATTTGAGTATGAGGTTGCACAACAAGCCTTGGAAGACAAGATCGGCGCTGGGTGGCAGACTGCCGAAGCACATAGTGAAGCACTCGATGAATGGGGCCGAGTCAAGGGTGCCAGTGCCTCTGTCTGGGACAGTGTGGCTCAATGCTCAATGTTAGGTGGTGGGGATGTTCGAGATGCCCCATGGGCTGGTGACCCAGATAAGGAGATCGATGCCTTCGTTTCCGAAGAACTTTACATCCACTCGAAGGTAGGATATCTGCCCTAGAATTCTATACAAATGGTTTACTGACGAAGCTTTAGCTTCTTATCGCTGATGACAGGATCGCAATTTGTGGCTCCGCCAACATCAACGACCGCTCGCAGCTCGGTGATCATGATTCCGAAATCGCCATTATCATCGAAGACCAAACCCCTCTGCAATCTCTGATGAATGGACAACAATACACCGCCTCTCATTTTGCGGGTACTCTTCGGCGTTACATCTTCCGCAAGCATCTTGGTCTCGTTCCCGCCCAGGCGGCCGATGAAGTCGACCAAAATTCACTCCCCGTTCCCGCGCCTAATGTCTACGATTTCGACTCTACCGAGGACAAGTTGGTTATGGATCCTCTCGGCGACTCATTCTGGAATCATTGGAATGGTATTGCTTCCACGAACACCCAAGTATTCACTAAAGTTTTCCACGCTGGTATGTTTCCTCCCCCTTGTCCTTATTTCAAGCCTAGAGGATTGAGCTAACGGTTTTCAAAGTGCCATGCGACGATGTTGTCAACTGGGAGCAATACACTCAGCACTATGGCAAGTACTTTGCGCCTCGAGGCACTAAGGAGAAGCCAGAGCCACCATTGTACCTCAGCGGTCATGTCGTCAAGTCAAATTTCGCAGAGGGCGCCGAGGGGGCCAGGCAAGTCAAGGAGGAGCTCGCGAAGGTTCGAGGTAGCTTGGTCGAAATGCCGCTTAAATTCATGCAAAATGTTGATTTTGCTAAGGAGGCTGCTGGATACAATGCTTTTACTGAGGAGCTTTATACTTAAGCGCCTAGCCATTTGGATTTGGGATAGTCTATCGTCAAGCGTGAAAAGTACACCTGTGGCCGGCGGTTTTTGCAGCGTCTGAATTGCGTCTTACCTGAATGTCATTTATACATGTATCTAAAAGAGAACTGAATGAAATATATTCCCATGAGGGAAACCAGTGCTACATGATGCAATAGCCCAAAAGCCAGATAGGAAGGTCCTGAGATAACAGTCAATCCAATCCAATCAAATCCAGTCAATCCCGACACTTATCGACAGCTTGGCCAACAGCCAATCATATACCGGTATCTTCCAACAAAGGCAACACAATTGTGCTTTGCGAAGACAGACTTCTACTAGAGTATCTCGGTATCTAAGTACTTAAGTAGGTAGATAGGCACACGCATATTTGGTAGTTATTACCTAGGTACCTATTAATGGGGCCATAAAACAATAAAGTGGCCTAGCTAGTATGTAGAAAAAATACGGGTTTTAGTGAGGCTTTGGGCCAGTTGGTGCATGGTGCCTTGTTTTTTTGGTCCACCACACGTTCAGAGGAAGGGGATGTGCCATTCAACACCACCAACCTCAACTTCACAGACTTCATTCACAAGAATACATAACAATCCTGCAAGTTCAAGAAGCTCCCGGCAGCTTCCAGCCCCTATTTTTTGCTATTCTATTGTCTCAAAAATTGTGAGTACTGGAACCCCCAGAGTTTTACCTCCACTCATCCCTTCCCCCCGCCCATCTCTCCTCGCATCAATATGAAGTCTGCGGCTTCTTTGTTGCTACCACCATCACCATAATCATTGTAACTACCATCTTCGTCATATGGCCTTTTGTCCTGCCATATGACCAATGATATTGTCCAGTTCTTGTTGAGCTCTCTCTCTCTCTCCCTCTTCGTTTTGCAGTTTTCGCTTGGGACAAATTCCTATATTAGTAAGCTGTGGTTATACCACTCATCTGTTTGCAAGATGGAGAGGTCTTCATTCAAGAAACCAGAAGCCCAAATTCCAAAGATCATCACACAATCTCCTTCTCCCATCAAGCCCATAGCTAACAATACCTTCCTCACTGTTCCCAGCCACTACGCGTTTCAATCTCGAAGCCCTACGCCGGTACAGTCTCGATTGCCTCAGATGCACGACGAAGCCAAAGTCAAGATTTCAAAGCCATTAACTCGCGTACAAACTAAAAAGATGCAAGAAGGCATCATTAAAAACTTCTGTGACCGAGTTCACGCCCTAGAGGAAGAAGTTGGGACGAAGACCGCTGAAGCTGAGAAACTTCAAATGCAACTTGGCGAAATCACCAGCCTGGCCAAAGGTGCTCAAACCAACCTTGAAAAGGTTGTTGGGCAGAACAAGCTTGTCCAAGAGAGTCTTACCCAGCTCGAAAGTGTCCTGCGAGTGAGTGATCTAATGTCATTGGGAATACTGATCTAGTGTGAACTACAAAGCTAATTCCCCTCTTCCATAGAAAATCGAGAATCTTAACATAACTCACGGCGACGAAGGTACGTCAGAAAGTACTGCTAACTCAAAGATTGGTGCCTATCACGCTAACGGAGTCTCATAGTGGTTTCTAATGTCCAGCCTCTGGATGAAGGAATCCCGGCAAGTGGGACGGATACGAAAGTAGAAGATGAGGACGTTCCCACACCCGTAGTTGCTAGAAGCGAACGCAGTTCTGTCGCACCAACTCCTGCGGAGGAAGCTCCGACTCCTCAACTACCGACAGCGAGTGACGTTGCTAACCTTTTCGATTTCCATGCCGATGATGATGATGAAGGTGAAGATGAGGCTATCATCAAAAAAGAACAAGAGACCAACAAACCTACGGACCAGCAAAGTGGTCCAAGGCTAGGTAAGTACATAATAACATGAATTTCAATTAAGGCCCATTATAATAGCTCTAACGCCGTTCTCCAGCATCGACCATTGTCTCTCCCGGTGCCCCTGACCCTTTCGCTTTTGATGATGCAGCGGTCGAGGCTGTCTATACAGACCAATCTGAGGGCAAGATCCAACATCCCCACGGAACCCCAAGCCACCAGACAGTTGTTCCAATTAAGCCTATTGCTGTTGCCCAAGAGCCGGCCCCAATGCCCCTTCAACAACCAATTGGAGACCCTGCTATGGCACCGTTCCAGAAACTTGCAGATGTTATGAAGCAAACTCTCCAAAGCGCTACCCCTGTGGGTAACATGAATCCTGCTCCTCAGCAGCCAGTCGCTTCGGGACTTCACATCAACGCGGCTCCTGTCAAAGGGCCCGGCCCAGCCGCTGCTAGTAGAGCCTCAAGCAGAGGTCAATCTATGTACACAGCCAGGCTTACGACTCTGCCACCCGACTTTTTTCATAGTGGTAATTTCCCAGGCATCCAAGGCACGCTTTATGAGGAGGCACAACTTTGCGATCGCGCATCATATACGAGTGAAAGGGTTCCTGTTTTGAGGCTCCAAAATATCCCCAAGGCTATCAGTATCGGGGATGTTCTTGACAATCTCGCCGGTGGTCCTCTTTACCGCATCAGTACTACCAAAGGGGGCCCTGATGATACCTTCAAGCATGTTCGCATCACGTTCGTCCATCTTCATCATGCCAATGCATTTCTTGAATTCGCTCAGAAAAACCACGGAATATACATTAAAGACTGTCCGAATCGCATCCAAGTCATCCAAGATCCTAGGGAAAAGCCAAATGTCATAAGCTACACAACTTTTCGCAAGATGATGACGGAAAATGTTACAAGAATGGTCTATGTTGATGGTTTCCGAAAGGACTTTTGGACTACCAGAAAGCTTCGCGACCTTATTGTCGTCGCTGTTGACAAGCTTCGTGTTGAAGACCCTGATAGGTATCAATTCAAAGAACCGATTTGTGATAAGGTGGATATCATTACGGCTGCAATGGGCAACAGCAAAGAAAGGGGGGTTGAAGGTCTCATTGGTTTGAGAAGCATTGGATGGGCTATTTTGTGAGTTTCTAGGCATTTCCCCCTACCATCCGAGGACACCCTAATCACTTAGTGATCGTAGTCCTAAGTTGAAATCATACTAATAGCATCAATAGGGTTCGAACTGCCCTCCATGGCCTTCAGCACCCTGAGGGATTTTATAAGGAGCGTGTTGAAGGAGAACTTGGTCCCAGCATTAATCCGAGCGATGACCCATCTAGGATTCCGACTTTGCGTGCTTTTTGGGTCCCTGATACCGCCGATAAGCCCCTTGATAGAATGGCAAAATAAACTAACCGTGACGTTTAACCGTTTACTATTTCTTTGAGCGATCGTTCTCTTACAGAAGGAATGTTCGTACCTTCTTTCTATGTGGTGGGTTAAGGTTTTGTTTCTTGGTTTTATTCTACTATAGCTATGGTACATACTCTGCTTCATCTGGGTTTGTCCCCCAGATTTCAATTACTTCGATAGCTCTAGGAAAAAACATCTTAAATTTTTATGGAGGTTTGCTCTTCTCCCTGCCAATCGATATGGATTCTGCATAGAATCGGAATGGACTCCGACATTCGCCTGTTTCTTTATTATTCTGATGGAGATGGAAACAATAGAAATAACTACTTGATTCTTCTCGATTTTTTTTAAAAAATCTCCTAAACCCGCTTGACAAATCAATTCAACTAAAAGTAGGTAGAAAGCAATAAAAATAAAGTTAAACAAGCAATTGCTTGCCCGTACAGCGCACCCAAAACAGTCCAAACTATTACCCTCTTTTCCTTCAATCATTAATAGTCGTCGTCATCGTCGTTATTATCCGCAAAGAAAAGCCCACCATGTTCTCGTCGCAAGTGGTCATAGATCAAACCAGCTAGCGATGCTTTGCCACAGACATAACACCAATGCTGCCCACATGGACAAGTTATATGGTTACAACCAGCCATCTTCTCAGTCAGAACACTGCATTTCGGACAATGCTTCATATCCCTTTCTCCTGGCTTCCGCTTCTCTTCTTCGCATTCTTCACACACGAATCCGTTGAGCTCAGCAGGCTGGCCACCTTGTGCGCAGACTCGCGCCATCCAAATCTTCGCTGTGTCGCAATCGACGCCTTGATAACATGCATTGTTAGTGAGAGGAAAATGCAACAGACACTGCGTTGTAGACGCTTTTAGGAAATCTTGAGAACTTACACCATCCGAAAATCCACTTTCCTCTTTTCTTGACAGCCTCTTGTACCCCCGCTAATGTGGCAACGTTTAATCCGTACCCCCTCAGAATCTTCGCCGCGGGCTCTCGTCTACAGAACGGACAATGCAACGAATTCAAATTTACCACCTTACCAGGCTCATTCATCCCATACCAACTCTTGATACAATCTGTACAGATCTTATTATGACACCCACGTCTTCCGCAAGCTTCGTGAAGATCTTGGGGTTTGAATGAAGAGTCAAAACATAGGTTGCAAGTCTTGTACTCGATCGTGTTAGATGAAATCCATTTCTGATACTGTTCGAGCAACTCGTTTACGTTCTGAATTGGCTTCTTGCGGATGGTAAGGGAGAGATCAGTCGTCTGTGGGAAGATGGAGATATTGTCGTAAAGGACTTCTGCTGTGTGAGTCTTGACTGTAGCATAAATCGATCTCCCTGTGAACCCGATGGTTAAGCCTTTCTGACCAATGATCCAAGCGGCTGTATTTTCCTTGTTAAGTTCGCGGGCAGTAGTTGGGCGGTCGACGATAGTTGGACGACCTTCTTCGCAGAAAACACATTGGAAGTCCTTGGCCGCTTCGGTACGGTATTCTTCTGGCCAAATGACTCTGTTGGTACAGGTTTTGCAGGAGACGAATGGCGCTTTACCCGCGGCTGGGTAACGGCAGTAGTGGCACTTTGGCTTGACATTGAGCTTGTCAATGTCATAGACAACATATGCGCAGCGGCATTCAGAGCTTCCACATTCAACCCAGTGTCTGGGAGTCTTTTCACCTTGTTCGGTCTCAGCACGGATCGCAATCGCATCTTCTCGCTCCTTAGGATTCTTCCAGTCTTTGGAGGGCACGGTACAGAGACCACAGATTCCATCCTTCGACATGATGGTTACGCTGCGGTCGTGCTTGCATTTGCGGCACTTGACGAGTGGGCCGACGTACCCTGTTGTCTTCTCTGGAGTGAAAGGGATGCGAGCAACTAACTCGGTGTCGAGGTTGAGTTCGGCCAATTTGTATCCATTGAGGGTTTTGAACAACGATACCTCAAAATCGGTAAGAATGCCGTCTTTACCGTTCTTGCGATCTTTTTCGTCGCAATGGACTAAGAGGCGCATACATTCTAAACTCCAGTTCTCTCCGACTTCGATATCTGCCCATTTTCCACGGAAGGCAACTAATGTTTCCCTAGCCGCTTCTTGAAGACCTGGGATTTGAACACCGATTTTCGTGCATAATGCTGCTAATAAGGCTCCTGCTCGAGCAGAGAGGTAGGTGCCTGGAAGAACAAGGTGCAACAGAATCTTCCAAAACTGTCGCTTATGCTCCTTATTGGCCAGAACAAATGGAATCTTCTCAACGATCTTATCGTCTCGCAAATGTTCTGGGCATTCCTCCTTTGAAGGAATAAAAACCAACTTCGTTAATACTTTACCTAATCTCTTGAGGACAGTGTGATGACAAGAGCGGGCTATCTCAAGGAGTTCACCTCGGCTCCAATGGGCTGCTCCGACCCCTGCTTCCGTAGGATCGATGCAAACGGCTGGGTAAACATCTTCCGCGGGGACAGAAGCGATGATTCGCTCGATTTCTTTAGTTTGGTTGTAACTTTCCTCAAGCCAAACTTTCATGTTGTTCTTGATAGGTCCATCAGCCATGTTGCCTACGGCAACTGCGAAGGCATTAACGACTTTATCACGAGGAGGGGAGTTTCTTTCAGCACACATGACTCGCCATAGTTCTCCAAATACAGGGTTCAATGAAATAGTTGAGACATCAAACTCGATTATGGTCTATAACAACACCGTTAGTTTTTGAAAGAGACCTCAGTTAATTATATTTTGGGTCCGATATACGCATACGTACCTCCAACGTTTCATATACAAGAGCCTGGTATTCCGGGTCTTGCGCAAAGTGCAATGCAAAGTCCTGAACAGCTTCTCGTCGATGATGCACATCCCTATTGACATCATATTGCTGCTTCGTGAGAGAATGCACTAGCACTTTATCGTTATCGAACTTTGGCAAGAAACCACCGCTGTTCTTTGGGGTTTCGTCCTTAACTGCCTTGAACTTTTTTGCCAAAGACGATGGCCAGCTCAGAGCCATGACTCCCGTCTCGGTTGTAGATCGAGGGGTTTGCTTGAGCCATGCCATTAATAGGTCCATTGACACCAGTGAAATGCTATGCGCTTCGACTTTATCCAAGGCAACAGCTACACCGTTGGTAGCTGCGCTTAGGATGACATACCAAGATGCATGGACGCCGAGGGATCCATCGAGGACGCTCATGACTTGGACTTTGTGCTTTGCCATAAGGCGACAGCAAGAAATCCAACTACACAAACCCCATTCGTTAATTTTCGAACCACTGCTTCAATATACTTTCAATAGCAAGAAACTTACTCAGTACACTCCATACCGATTGGATGTTTCTTCAACGCCGCCAACTCCTTCTGCCGCTGCCCACCCCATGATCGACTAACTTCAGAATGTGGTGGCGCATCCGTATACCAAAAACACAAAGTCCGTCTCCCCGGATTAAGATTCTTGATCAACGTCCAAACAGCACTCTTCGATGCCTCTGGATAATCCGCACCACCGCAGATTTCAATATTCTTCGCAAACTTGATGAGATCGACTTTATTCTTCGCATTCGTATGCGGCATGCCCACGTGATGCCAGCCACTAAACTCGATCTGACGATTGAACCGAAGGTTATCGTTATCATAATCACGGTAGGCGATAATGGAAATCGAAGTAAACGCAGATGTTAGGTTACTAAGAGCCAATATTTGCGGGAGAGAATGCTGCAGAGCGGCTAGATAGGTTGCCATGGACCCCGTGGCATCGGTGATAAAGCACAGGTCATACTGTTCCTTGGCCGCGGCGGCCTTGGAGGTTGAACCGGATGAAGACATCCTGGGGTAATTTTGTGGGGAAAAAGGCCCGGAGGAAACTTATTTTTATTTTTGGTAAAGTAATTAATTTAGAAGATGGGAGCTAAAAACTAGCGAGGCGGATCTAGTAGCAAGCAGGTGGTACAATCAATATCTCGACTGCGATATTGTTTGAATGTATTCGAAACTTCGAGAATTGAAAGTCTTAGAAACGAGGGGCTTAAATGCATTTCTAAGGGTCATTGATTAGAGTGAGTCAATGCTCACAATGAGTAGTCATTTACGAAAAGGGATCGGATTGAGAAAGAGAGCCCTTTCTCTATTCAAAGCGGTCTTGAAACGTCCAAACCGAAGAAGAGGCGCTAAGTTGTCTATTCGGGGAGGTTTTGGGGGAAAGGAACAAGAACCCGGCGCTATGGTGTTGGGTGTGGTAATTTAGTGAGTCAACACACAGACCCCGTTCCTTTTCTGGCCATGGGGGTAAGGTTGATTCGCAGGCAATTCAGCATATAGAGTACGCGTTCAAGCACGGATAGATTGATGAGCCTGTTTTCAGGCGCCGCCTAGGTTTCTAGTAATTTAATAAGTTTTACGATTGATTGACTTAAACTTGTTGCTGAATTGTCTGTTGTTCTCGGATTTGAATTGAATCAATTGCAATCAACTAGACTCTGTCGGCTGTCAAGGTTCTAATTGATATTGAGCCATTCGGTATATGGCCTCGTCCAGCTAATTACAATAAGAGTCCTTAAAGTTGAAAATCACACGGCAGCGAAACGAATTACAATTTTATCAGATACCAATATGACTATACACCTAGGCCACATGCTATCTGCGACCTGCTGGTATCGCCCTTTGCGAAATACAACGTTACAACAACACAAAATCTGCGAACATATCACGGGGTGACTCAATCGACATTGCATCGAAGGTGCCGTAGATACTCGGATAATTGTACTTTTCTACAAAGGCGGGCTTCGGATGTTTTTGCTTATATCTAGTCTAGTATTACTACATCACATTTATTTAAAGGGATGGACCTTCTTCATCCTTCAAGCTTCAAACAAGAATCGATTTATTGTACTTCTTCAAACAAAACTCGATTTATTGTACTTTCATTAATAGTGTGGGGTTATAATTATTGCTAGCTGTCATTGCTCATCGACATCGCATTGCGGCCCAAGTAAATACATGATCACTAAATTATCGATATTATTGACTCATCGAGTAGTGTATCCTCCATTGGCAAAGATTGTCTGGCCAGTAATCCACCCGCCCTCAGTGACAAGGAATTTGACTAGAGGAGCGATATCCTGGGTGCCAGTCAGACGACCACCCAGACCCTGGCTCTTATGGTAGGCAACAGCCTCAGGAGACTCTTGTGGGTAGAAGAAAGCTGCAAGATGTCAAATCAGCTTGGTACCCCGCGATTATCTTTGTAAATACGATCGATGGTTAAGACTCACGAGTATCCATAGGTCCAGGAGCAACTGCATTGACACTGATAAGTCTTGGTTGGAGTTCCTTGGAAACAGCACGAGTGAAGTGTTCGACAGGAGCTTTCGATCCAGCATAGGAGCTGTAGTATCCCGTGAAGGCAGCAAGAAGGGCTGTGACAATAGTGACAACCCTGCCTCCATCCTCAACATGCTTTGCGCTCGACTTTAGGACGAAAAATGCGCATTTGGAGTTGACCCTGAAATTTTTGATACTATCTATTAGCAGTGTATAGAATATTTTGTTTATTATTACCCCAGATCAGATTTGACTTACGCAAACATCTCATCATACTCGGCCTCGGTGATGCTGGTGATGTCCTTCTTGAGCACCTTTCCCACAGTATTAATCACTATATCGATCTTTCCGAAGTCCGATTTAACATCGGTGAAGAGCTTTTCGACGGCTGCTTCAGTAGTTAGATTGCCCTGGTAGGATTTGACCTTGGTACCGGGAAATTTATCCTTGAACTCCTTCTCGAGGCTTTCAGCATCTTGCTTCGACCTGTCCGAGTTGTAGTGAAGAGCCAAACTGGCGCCAAGAGGGGCAAGAGCCCTGGCGATATCTGCACCGAGGTTCTTAACTCCCCCGGTGATAAGAGCGACCTTGCCGGTAAGAGACATTGTAAGTTATCAATGAATCAATAAAGCAGGCTTGCGAGAGAAATCGAAAGCAACTCGACCGTAATGACCTAATAAGGTACACTATAGTTCGACAGCCAATCAAGGTTTGGTTTCTGTGGTTATTGGTTTCCAATATCAGAATATACTGGTATCTCGCGAGATGCTAGGTCTATAGATCAGAATGAAAGGGATTTTACCCTGACTTAAATAAATTTCCGGACCCAGGAAACTGCCACATCTTTACAATGGGGATATAGATATGCAAGTGGTGTTACAAGATGAACCACGTCTACAATCGAAGAGGGGTCTGCGAGGGGTACTGTAACACGAAAATGTCGACTTGCACGTCGCATCATTTTCCAGCTATAGTCCCCTGCCCTCATCTGCGCCTGGTCTCGAGGCTAGCTATAGTCCGCCAGCCCGATTGCGACACTGCATGCACGGGCTTGCATATGAGTGAAATATCCCTCATAATTACAAAATGTAGACATCTTCTAGTTTTCTAGGTACTAAAGTTCTGGCCTCGGAAAAGCATCGGGCTTCAGCCTATCCTTTCCATTCCCAATTTCTATTCAATCAGGTTTAGCTTTGGCTAGGTCTAGGTCTAGATCTGTCTAATACTATCCTACTATCTGCCTAAAAAGACCTTTCGACAATGGTCTGTAGCCTCTTTTTATTTTATTTTTTTTATTTTTACAATCGATGATATATGCTGTCAAGTTTCTACTTCGAACTCAGAGATGGGGTTAGCTTCCGTTCCACATGCATGTTACCACTTGCTTCATTAGTTTCCTTCGCTTGGGTACGGTTCCTGCACGATTCATCCGGTACTCGCTTATCTCTGCCTCGAATTTAGACCATATACCCGAATCTTCCCGGGCGAATCTATTGTGCATATTGCGCAAGGCAATTGCGCAACTAGAAGCATACATCGGCACCGACCGCCCAATGCAATGGAGAAACACTCAAGAGTTTGGGGAGAGAGGGGGAAAAAAAGAGAGGGAGACCGGAGGGAGAAAGAAAGAGCAGTGAAAACATCTGCACATGTAGGAGCCGGACCCGGCCGCGGCCTATGTGAGGACTAAGAGCAACTTCCAGACCATACCACGAACCACTAAAATATCTTGCTCAACCCATACAGAACCCATCGATATCACATTGCATTCTCGCTATCACCAACTATGCAAGATGTATATCACATACCTACCCTGCATAGCTGTGCGGATACATGTCTATAAATTTGGTTATTAATTGATCACTTTAAATCTTAACTCCGATCGATATTTCAATATTCCAATGTCCGCTATCCGCGGAAATATGAGTGATTGCCTGGCCAGGTTTTAGAGAGCATTCCAGCCCGTGGGTCCAATATTCGAATCATCCATCGGTTGCAGATGTGTAAACCAGACCAGCTCAAATTTCGTACTCAGCACTGATGTGTGATACCAATTCGGCGGGTTCCAGAGTCTATCCTTCAAAATTCCGTATGTTATAAACTTGTATTGGGGTTCCTGAGTATTTCTTTGCGTTTTGCAGATTTGATGTCCATGCTCGCCTTGAGCTTCTAGACATAATGCGATGCAATATACTTATACTTCTTGTCATAACTAGGGCTCAAACAGCGCATGCGCCAATGCATCGCCAATTCAGAACATTGATCAATCGGACGATTTTACTTCGGGATTGGGAATCTTAAGCATCGCATTGGCGGCGTACTAAATAGCAACCGCCCCAGGGTTACACCCGTATTTTCGCAGGCCCCGCCTTGCAGCTGTCATTGTTCACCGTACATATATACCTTAGTAGGTACTTACACTGACATATTAATACTCAACATTTGTGTAACCAATATGAGCGTGCTTCTGGACACCGGCAGTTATAACTTAGCTTAGGTAGCGAGCCAACCAGCCCAAAATCTTTTTTACAAAAACACATGACTCGGAGACCCATTGGCAATATTGGTAGCGAAACTGAATATATGGCTATAAGGTAGTCTTACGATTAAAAGCGGTCGCCAAAGAGTTTGAAATATCAAAACCCAAGTCCCGAATGGCTGAGGCGTGTAAGCCGAAGACTATCAGATGTTAATTGCATACCCAAGTACTTTATCCCTCATGAAGATATATAAATCCTACAATGTATATATATATATTACCTGATATCGACAGCGAATATATACATATATTCTTCCAAATCCATAAATCCCCCAGCTCGCTTTCGAGCTCTACCCAAGCCAACCAGAACCTTGTTCGAAACTTGAATCATTGGCACCGCAAGTGTTTTTCTGATAATATTTTTTTCGCATTCAATAACTAAGCAGTCTATGCATCATGCACTTCTAAAAAGAGATATCTTTAATATATATTTATACAGGGTGAGACGGAAAAACGGGTGCTTTCCTTGTCGCCTTCGCCCGTCTCTGCGCGCCAATTACAAGAGAATGATGAACTCCCGGCATGGTCTTAGCCTACTTTCGTTCCAAGAAAACGGGTGGCGATGGCCAAGAATCTCAAATTCGACGATTCGTGTAAAAAAAAAGAGAGAGTCGGCAAAGCTTGCCGTTTGAACCTCGAACGACGAGTTATTTGGAGTCGAGCTGGTAAGCCTGTCCTTTGATATCCGATTACGAGATGCAAGTTCAAGAGGCTTGTCCATGCGGAAACTTATGATGCGAATGCAATGTCAAAAAAGACGAGTACATACCTGTCATGTCCTAAGTATATAATACCGTTCCGATGCCCGACATAATCCTGACAAACCCTCAGCGAGGATCAGCATGTCTTATGCGTCGCAGGTTTGGAGTAAACGGCTTGTCAGGCATCTCAGCCTCACCCAGAAAGTATTTGGAAACCTGAGCATGGGACCCCTGCAAGCCTCCAAGTTCGGTAAAAGTTTACCATTTCTGGGGTCTACTTCCAACTGAAGAAAGCTTCGGCGGGTTGGTTGGTTGGTTTACCATTGGGCACCCCTCATGATGGTTTTGTAGTTCTTGTGATATTAAAGACGGGAACCGTCTCAGAAATCCGAATGTTTTCTAAGATTCACTATTGTTCCTCTACATGATCAGATATCGAGATACCTCCGGTCCCTTTCTATCGACTAAAGAAGAATCGGCAGAAGAACTGATACAGACAAGCTCGAGCTCACTCGCCTCGAGCATACTTACTTACCCTGCAGTCAGCAAGCTTAAACTGATACGATAGCTTCCAGGATCAAGCTTCAAAACAAGAAATCCGTCTTCCCACTGGCTACTATTCTCAAACCCGAAAAAGAGAACGTCGAGTTGAAAGTTTAAAGAGCTCTGTTTCCCGATAGTTAGTACTCGAAGAGCTAGCCAGCCCAAGAGTCGCAAATTCTTTTCTTCAACCCTTCTTTCGATTCCTTCGAGAAACCGTCGACTCCTCGTCTGATCCGATATCCGACTCAATTCTCTTTTTAACATAATATTTTTAAATTTGGATTTCCTCGGGTCTCACAGGAGCAGGTATCTCAAATACAATTTGCCGAAGGAACTGGTATCAGGCCATACGTACTCTGCTCTGTCGAGCATCTGAGCTAAGGTGCCCCTTCCAAGCGGCCGCGTCTAGATTTGGCACCTAGAATAGCTCAGCCGCAGACCACACCGTCAGCCTGGTTCACAAAAAATCCCACTACACCAAAAGAACCCTAAAGTAATACAAATAGTCTTTCGACGATACCATAATATATATCCATTGGCTCTTGGCCCTTTGTCTTATCTCCCTTCCTCTCTTCTTCTTCTTCTTTCTTCTTCTTCTTCTTCTTTTCTTTCTTCAATATGGAAAAACGGCTTCCAACACACACCCGCCGAGAATCATTTAGTCCTTCGCTTGGTTCACCAGACTCCGACACATTCGCCGAAGCCCGAAGAGGCTCTGTCTCCTCACATTCTGGTTCAAGTTATTCGCTAATCCACCATCCAGATAGCGACCTGGGTTCTAATAAAGGCAGCCCTCCACGCCAAAAAGGCCCACCACCTTCACTCCGAAAACACCCAGGCCACCAACGATCATTCTCAGGTAGTTTCTCAGGCTCTCCGCCCGCATCTCCCCGGGTTCCGGCTATAAAATCAATGCGTCCATCAGTAGAAAAGACAAAGACGCATACCCCGCGTGGGAGCGTAGATGATGGCGATTCGTTGTACAAGGGACCTCCAAAGCTTCATATGATCCGTGGGAAATGGATTTATTCCCGCCTGCGGACTATTTTATATCTACTGAACTGGGCTACTGCGCTTTGCACGTTTGTCCTTGTCGTTTATGTGTGGGCCGATGATTACCTACCATACAAAGATCGGGTCTCGACCCCCAGGCGGTTTTTGAGAGGTACTTGGGAGGAGTTGACGCAGGAACAGATTGATAGCGGGATTAGAGGGATGACGTTGAGGGCTTGGCCTGCGGATATCGATTTGACGGGTGTTTATTTAATTATTGCGTAAGTATAACTTTTTCAATCAAAGATTATTAAATGGGTATGATGCTAATTTGATTCATGGGTTTTATAGGATTTGTGGTACCGGCACTGTCGTCTTCTTCGGATTGTGGTTGCAGAATATCTTCCGAAGTGCGAAGTCGTATTATATCATGTTCACACGAACGGAATATTTTACTCTTGCCTTGCTTATCATCTGGTCTCTTGCATTCGGTGCTACGTAAGTACAATCCTACTAACACTTCTTATCTTTCTACAATATACTTATACTTATACAATCTATTCATAGTGCCGGATATATCACCCACATCTTCAAGGTTGACAATGATGACCGTGACTTCTGGAGCTGGACTTGTACTCGTGTCGGTATGGGTCATGACATTGTCTTCAAGCGTGAAATCTATTATGACGGGGACTGTGATCTTTTGGTAAGTTTCTTTTTATCTATCTTCATGAATCATACATAAGAGGCTAGGTACTAATATGAAATGATAACATTACAGACCGGTTCATGGTACACAATCCTCTGCCTCTGCGGCTTCTCTCTTTTGACCCTCCTCACCTTCCCAGCAAACATCGTCTACCACTCTCTCACCAAGAACAGTGGCTACAGCCGCTTCGAACAAAAGCTAGGATTGCGCGCCGATCAAGAGGAACGTATTGCGAGGAAGTTGGCGAAACGTCCACAGGAACAATGGAAGTTTCCAAAGTGGGCGAAGCAGCCAAAGTGGTCAAAATAGTCTTCGGGCCCCGTTCGTTCTATTCTGAAATTTCTATGATGCGATTATAGAATTTTTCTCCAGCTTCGAGTACTAGAATCTTCCTCACAATTATCCCCTCACCCCCTTCTCTTTTCTTTTTTGGCATTATATGTTTACGGTCTACGGATGATACCCTCGTTATATATCCCCCCGCTCTATCAAAATCCATAGTTTTTTTTTTCAAAAAAACATGTCGAATCTTTTTTCTCAACAGAACATCATCATAGCTTTTTATAACTTAGCGGTTTTCCTTTCAATACTTAAATTTCTGCATCTCTTTTTAATTGGAGTTTATTATCTATTAAAGGACAGTTTTATATGTTTTCCTTGTATCTAGCACCTTAAAAAAATAAACTTTTCACTCAGAGTCGTTAATAGTCTGACCAGCGTCCTTTTCCCTCCTCGTTTGATCTATAGTGTAGCAGTGGCGAAGAATTATTTGCATTTGGGCAAGTCAATCCTGATCTAGTCTTAGGGCTGAATGTGTGACCCCCAACCCAACATGCAACAAGTGGTTCTTCAATCAACAACCCGATGCATAACTGCCCTATTCGTGCCAATAAACCTCAAATACATCAACTGCTTTTCATGTAAAAACAAGGCGGGGCTAAACGGTAAGTCATATTCATCCAATAGAGCATCCATTTCCTCATCTATAGTTTCATAAATTCGTCAGCCAAACTTTATGATTTACGTTGCTGGAATTCTTAGATATGATGATTTGTGCATGCAAGGGGGAGGGAAGAGAGCTTACGGTTCAAACTCTTCAATTCGACCCCATTGACCGGACATCGACTTGGAAAGGTACCGTTGGAGTTTAGTAATATTTGGAATGGTTCGTTTATTTCCGTTACATTTTGGAAGTTGTAGTTGCGGGAGTGGAGACGTTGTCTGGAAAAAAAAAAATTTCAAATCAGACAATTACTGTTAATTGAGTAGCTAACACTGGCCGGGATAGGTATATAATAATGTATATCTTACCTCTCAACATCAAGCCCCCTAACATGATCCTTCTTTGCAAATCCAGCGCTTACAAATCTCCTCATTTCGGCAATTTGTTTCTCTAAATTCTCAAGGTGTGCCATAACCCCGAGCGATAAAGTAGTTTCTTCCTGCATTGTTGAAAACTGGTCGACTTGGACGTCTAAAGTGCTATTACCGATTCCAATAACCCCACCGGTGTTACCACATGTTCCATTGAGAATACTAGTACCATTCTGTAACCCCGCTGTCGTCGTCGTCGTCGAAATTTGTGATGGGGTTTGAGAAATGATTAGTGGGGTGTTTATCAACAATTCAGCTGTAGTATTTATATTCTGAAGATTTAAATTTGTAGCCATTGAAGCTGATGACGATGATGAGGATGAAGACGACGATGGGTTGTCTGCTAGAGCTACCTCTTGAGCGAGAGAATCAAGGACGTCGTTATTGATGATGTATTCTTGAACCGATGGGTTCGAGAAGTCTAGACCCGTCATGTCGTCTTGGAGTATCATGGGTAGAGGGAGGGTGTTTATTGGGAGGGTCTGGGATTGTTGTAATTGGGATTGATACCCTTCCGCGGTGCTTGTGGGAGTTAAGTGAAAGAGAGCTGCGGCTGTGGTATCGGGATATGGTGCTGTGGGGAAGTTGGATTGGTTGAAGGAGAGCATTGTGGGGGGATAACGTTTATAAAAATTATAAAATGGTAGAGTAGATGCTATATATTAAGAGAAATGTTTATAAGAAGTCGAGGTATACTTCAATCGAGGAAGATGAGGTTGGGATGGGGGCTTTTTTGACGGATGAGGAGTATTAGATGGGATTTATATACTCCCAATTGCCACATCGATATCTTCTGAAGTTCTTTTTTTTATTTTTTATAACTGAGAATGGGATGTATAGAAGACCTTGTTTCATTGGGTGGATGTGTAAAAGAGCAAGCAATTGAAGGGGGTTTGGTATAAGCATCAAGGGGGAAGTGGTCGATTGCATTGTCGTAGGACGGAGCTACTGAAGCGTGTATACCCCTAAGCTTCATTTCGAGGGTATCTAGGACTTCTAAGGGCCAATACCGGTCGATGTTTCGAAGACATCTTGTGGTAGAAGCTCTCGTAGATGCTAGAGCTGGAGTTGTAGATCTTAGACGCCTTTGTCATGAAGGTTGTAGAAGAAGAAGAAGCGTCTGGGGTTATCGTTCTGAGGCAGAGGAAGGGTATTAATAGCAGTCCGTCGAAACGGATGGATACTAAGTATATAAAGTGAGAAAGAAGCCAAAGCTCATGGGACGACATGCATGGCGCTGATTGTTTCAAACGGGAAGAGATATCGCTTAGTTCTTTCTTTTTCTTTTTCTTTCTTTGAAGTTTTGGGATCCTATAGCGGCTTCCAACCTGGTGATTGCTCGTCGCGAACCCTTTGAGACAAGAGTTTCGAAATCATGAGAATGAATTGAGCTAGCGGGTGCATGGCCAAAGCTCCTTAGCTTAGCCTACCTCACTCGGGTATGAAGATAGAGGGGAGGAAGACTGACATACCTTATTCTCATCCTTGATCTTTGAATATTTATGTTCATTCATTCCTATGTACACTATCTTACAGTATATACACTCCTATAATAGATCTCCGAATGTCCATTATAATGCATTATTTCCGCTTCTTTTCCTGTTCTTCTAGCATCTTCAATATAGAACTATCGCCTTTCTCTGCCTGCTCTCTCCGGATTTGATCCAACATGGACTCCTTCTGTTCCTCTACTTCTTCTTCGTCATCGTCATCGTAACGTTGGTTCCATACATCCTTTAACTGTGCCCATATCGCTTCACTTGGCATCATGTTATCGTACTTCTTTCGTGAGTTTGCAACTTTCTCTTGGTAGTCCATCGATCCCTTTGGTGCTATCGCATATAATAAACCTGGATGACCATGTTCCTAAAAACCCCACGAATGCAGAAGTTAGTATGTATACACATACATAATTATGTTCTACTGAGATGGAAAAGAAAGAGAGAAGATACTAACATTCATAACATGGTTGACGCAGTACGCCGTGGTACAGATCAATCCAAACGTATAAAAGTCCATCTTCCGCGGCGGCATAAAGATTATAACGGGACATATGATAGCAGCTGCAATAGCCGTTTTGTATCCCATATCCTTCATATATTTCTGCTTTTCCGTTAACTGTACGGGTAGCCGTGGTAATTGTTGTTGGTCATTGGGGAATGTGGGTGGACTGGGTGGTATTGAAGACGGTATTGTGGGTGCTACTGGGGCCGGTGGTGGAGGCGCCGTCTTTGAGACGGTGGAGTCCTTGTCGGAGGAGGACCCGCCGAAGGGGTTCCAAATCATTGTTGGAGAGGTTGTGGATGTTCTGGTCGCAAGGCTTTGGAAGGGTGGGATGTGCGACGGAGTGGGATGTTTTCGGTGGTTGAAACTTTTGGAAGGACTGGTTGTGTGACATTGAGACCATCAACACAAAATATTACGAAGCTCGCTTTAGAGATGGAAGTTCAGTCACATTTCGAAGAAACAGCATTAGATCTTGGGATGAGGTTTATGGGTAAAGGCATTGTATTGTTAGTTCAATAGTAGTTACATTGGTAGTATAGTATATGCAGAGGATGCCGTTTAACCTGCGAAGAAAAATATGTATCATGAAGGCTTAAAAAAAAAAAGTTGTGAGAGAGAAGTAATCAGGCAGCCCGTTCTCCTCATCCATTCCCAAATCCAACGCCCAAGCTCCACCACTCCATCCTATGAATCGTATTATTGGTTTTAATTTAATTTAATTTAATTTAATTTTGAGGTATTCTTCTTTTAGGCTTCACGGATAGCCTAATCCCAATGGTTGTCGCTTTGTCCCCATCTGAAGTGCCATTGATTTGTGTCGGTCCTGCCCCAGCCAAATGCTCTTCTTTGATCACCGACGGCGCCGAAAAAATCAACAGCACCTCCCAGCATGTTATCCATAAATTGGTTTCCAGTTCTGAATGGCATCCTCGGCATCCCTGCTTCCTGTGCCAACTCGATGAGATCTTGTTCTGTGACTTTACCCTGTCGACGGCCGAGCACCGCCCTGCGAATCGCAAGTCTCCAGTATTCGAACCATTGGTCTTCCGTCATCTTAACACGGCGACGACCGCTAACATCAACGGCAGACATCGGCCAGACGGATCGGACAACATTGTAGTTTTTGGTCATGAAGAATAGAATAGGCCAGGTGATGATCCAAAGAAATGTGAGATAACAGAACCATCGGACGGCCTTGTTGTATCGAAGTTCGGTTAACTTATTGGCTGGCCTGATTTTGACCTTATTGTGGGTTGTTGGGAAGGTAATTTGGATGTCGCCGGCGTAGTTTGTGGATTGGATCAATTGGTGTAGTCTGGTTGCGAGGTATTTGGTATCGTAACCTGGACAGATTTTCTCCATTACGAATCTACGGTTTGTTAGAGAATATTGCATATAGATATAGAAAAGCATAAGATGGTGATTGTTTTTTGGTCTTACTCTTTGCAGATTGAAGGATCATTGCAATAGTCGTCGGCCCAACTTCTGATATCCTTTGGCATGATCGGTGTATCGTCTGGCAGCGAGCGTGTATTCCTTCCTTTTGTTCTGAATGGCCCTCCACGGTGTGCGCTTGTGTCTTCGTCTACAACCTGGATTATCCCTTGTTGACCTGGTTCGATGAGAATAAGGGACTGGAAATCCATAGTGATATCAAAATCCACGATTGTCTTATGCTCTGTGCTGCTTCTCTGGTCGTTGGTAGAGCCACGATGGTGGTGGTGCTTTTCGACGTGTGTGCCTCGCATTCGGACTTGAGGACGCGGAGAATGCATGTTCTGGGTGAGAAGGAACCGGTATAAAGCCTCGCCATCTTCGTTCAGATGGACGTCATATGATGTTACAGAACCGGTTGTCGGGTTTTCGTAGTGCTCTGCGACGTAGGGAGTAAAGTCCGGAGGGGGCTCGAGAGGGACGGCATTTGTAGCGCCATTAGGGACACTGTGTGACGGGTGGGGAAGGAGACTGGTGCCCTCGGCATCGTAGGATGGAGGCAGTTCATCGTCGTCACCGGCTTGGGAGGTTGTCGGGGTAAAGTCCTGTTGGGGGACGAGGGGGATTGTGGAGGAGCTGCCAGAGGGACCGTCGAGGCCAAGGAGATCACCGGTCTGCATGTCGGCATGTGTTGTGGTTGTTGGCAGAGCGCCCTTCTTGTCGCCCTTGGACGTCGACATCTTTTTGATTCTGTTGTCTTTCTACTTTTTCTTTGATGGAATCTTCTTTTTTTTATCAATATCGGTTTTCGGAGGCTCGCCTTCAGAATAGGAAGAGGGTGAAGGATAAACGACAAAAGATGAAGAAGATGAGAAAGAGGAAGAGGAAGAGAAAGAGGGGAAAGTTATAAAATACGAGGTGTCTGTGTTTGGCCAAATCCGCGAGGCCTTGTCTCGTCTGATCGTTTGTATGTGAGTATGGTTCGAGGGCAACGCACTCAAATTTGCAGTGTATTCGTAAGCCTGGCCTGGAATCGATGCACTGCCGCGCAGCCTTTTCTCCCCAGCTTCTAACCGACAGGCTGGCTTCTCTCAGAATTCGAACAGAACCCACAAATGGTAAGAGACCGGAACAAGGGGGTGTGGATGTGTGCCCTGTCTGATCCTGCACTTTTGGCCATTTTTATTATTTTTATTATTTTATTTTACTCTATTCTACTCTGTTTTATTCATCAAATACGAAGAGTAACTGACAAGAGTGACTAACTACTCCAATGTGTCCAGACAGAGACCAGGAATATATTATACTCCATGTATAATATGCCTTTTCGAGTTCAATGCATATCAAATAAACGTCCATGTCCATGACCATGCCGGTAAAGGCATAGCGGACACTTTTATAATAAAGACGCGCCTGGACTATAGACTAGGCCTGACAGCCATCAGCTTTACACCCATACCTATGCTAGGTGCTTAAGTACTTATGTATGGCCATCCGATCATCGATTGCAATTGCAGAGCTAGTTAAGCTAAGCAACCAAGCTGCATCCATCCTGCACTCGAAACGAAAAGACAGAGACTGTGATACCGAAATAATCTAGCTTAAGCTTCCTCTCCAAGGACCCCCGGCAAGAATGAATTCTTGGGGATGGCTAAGAGTGGGTCCTTGGTACCTGTCTATTCCAGATTAGCTAGGTTGGTCGGTCGACACCCTTCTCTTTTTCCTTTGGATACCCCCACATTCTGGTTTGACTTCGGCTTCTTCGCCTGCAGAGAGGCAATGGCATCCCACACCTTACGCCTCGGAATCATGCTAATAGTCGAAAGTCAAGTACTCTATACAGAGTACTGTTTATCGCTCGCTGTCCGTCTCCGTGCGACGAACCTGAAAAAAAAAAGACCTAGCAGCCACTGCGGTGCAAATGCACCACATATTAATACAGTCGCTAATATCGAGGAAGGGGGTTTCACATACTTCCATACTAGTTTTCGACCATTGCATTGCGAGAGAATCAGAAAAGAAAAGAAAAGAAAGGGAAAGGAAAAAGCATGACTTGACATGACGGGTTAAGTCTAGTCTAGTCATTAATTTGGCCAAATTGAACGACAAAGCTCTGATCTATTACCGTTAGCTGGGAGAATTCTCTCCTCTCAATCAATATACTATCACCTCTCTTCAATCTTCCAATCACCCGGCGACGATTTTCAATTCCTCGCTCCCGTCCTCGCTCCCTCTTCCCTGCTACGCCATGCCATGCCATGCCATCTCAGAGAACTCGGAACTGAGAACTAAGAATTAAGAACTTACATAGAACTCAGAACTCAAAACTCTGATCACAAAACTCAGGTCTCATCCCCAGGAACTTATAATAAGGAACTCGCTGGTTTCAAATATTTCGCTAAGAGCCCAGCCTTCTTGTCTCTCTTCCCCATTCCCTTTCGAATTCGAGTCACCTCCCCTCCCCTTCCCCCTCCTCTCACGCAGATTGCCGAAGCTAGTCAGAACCCCAGTTGTTACTTCGACCTGGGTCCTTTTGTGTTCTCTCCACAAATACGGTTTCGTAAAACATACTTCCCTTCGTGCAGAAACTACTTCAACTGCGGCTCCCAACGGAGCGGTTAACCGTCCGTCCCCCAGATCCGTGACAGTGGCATAACAGCAATAAGCTTCTTTTCTGCAAAAAGATGCTAGTTCCCTTCGCCAGGGCTATCCACTCGCTGACGTGATTTCGCCACGCTTTTTATATCGATAAACATCCTTCTTGTCCAACTCTTGGTCTAAATATAAAAATATAAAAACCATGAAGTCCAAGCAACCCCAGTCTACCTTACCAACAACGGCGGCCGGCGCGCAAACTGCCTCTCCAACACACATTCGATCTAAATCTACTGTCCCGTCTGCTACCTCTCTCACTCAGGTGACTACTGGTAACATCTCTCGATCTATATCCGCCTGCAATCGATGTCGCTCTCGAAAGACAAAGTGCGACCAGTTATTTCCTGCATGCACGGCCTGCGCGAAGGCAAACGTAGAATGTGTCGGTGTCGATGCTGCGACTGGGAGGGAGATTCCAAGAAGCTATGTATCGCATTTGGAGGAAAGAGTGGCCTTTTTGGAGAAGCAGTTGGCTAGTGGTGCCCAGTCGCAGTCATCATCAGGGGAATCTAGCAGGAAACGAAAGGCCGACGGGGACATGGTTAGTTCGTTAACTTCCCGGCCGTCGCAAGATCTTTCGAACTATCAGGCGAATGGCCAGAATATCAGTGTCGTAGGGTCGAGACAGAACTCAGAAGGACAGGTATTCACTGGAGCGATTGAGCAGGGAGATGCTACTCAGGAAGTCTTACTCGGCCCTAGTGGGAAGGATATCTCGTAAGTTAGGACGTCACATCATCATTCTAGGCATTGACTAAAAAAGCATCAACAGTTTTGCGGAGTTGATGTTCGCGGCTGTTAAAGTCAGTAGCAAGACGGGTGGCCACCTACCAGCCAAAGTTGCCTCCTTTCGTGGTAAAATGCCCGAGCACTGGAAGAACAACACTGGGCCCAACGAAGATGGTGACGCCCTGCCGCCTACCACTGCGGACCTTCAAACAGTTCTACAAAAACCTGTCCCTGCAACATTTCCCGATAGAACAACGGCTGAGAAACTCGCTCTTGCCTATTTTAACCAAGCGAACCCCCAAATACCAATACTACACAGAACAATCTTCATGGCAAAACTCAAGACTGTTTACGATTGGCTTGCAGAACGCCCCGGATACAAAGAGACAGACCTTCCGGAAGAATACACCCCAATGCTATACTATATGAACATGGTCTGGGCAATTGCCACCGGGATGAACGCAAACTACCAGTCAATGCCGGAGAAGTTCCACGCTGCCGCGATGAAATATATCGATACAATATTCTCGGCATCGAACAGATTAGACACGCTAAAGGGCGTTCTATTACTGGCCCTGTACAGTCTAATGCGGCCAGCAGTGCCTGGAGTGTGGTATGTTGTTGGATCTGCTTTGAGAATATGCATTGATCTAGGTCTGCATCAAGAGACCCCCCAGGTGCTTCGTGTCCTAGATGCCTTGACTATCGACACACGGCGACGGTTATTCTGGTGTGCCTATTCCCTAGACCGGCAGGTCTGCGTGTATCTCGGACGGCCGTTTGGAATATCGGATGACGCTATCAAAGTCCCTTTCCCAGAAGATATAGATGACAGCTTGATATCAGAATACGGTATCCTTAAGGAACATCCAAATGCGCTCAACAAGAGCTCAAGGACGATCGCGTGTCATATGTTTAGAATACGACAGTTACAATCGGAGATACAAAAGATTCTTTACCAGCAAAGTGAACTTCCTAGGGAATTTAACTCCATTGGTCATTGGAGGAAGGACATGGAACGGAGGCTGCATGATTGGACCATATCGGTACCAAAGAAAGATAATGAGGCAAATTGTGGCTACAATATGGGCTTCATCGATTTGAACTACCAACAAACACGGTTATTGCTATACGGACTAAGCCCGGCAGTTCCTAAACCGGATACGGCGGCATATCTTGTGATCTCCGACGCTGGTGATCGTATTATCAAGGCGTATAGGTCTTTACATCGAGCAAAGAGCATCAATTATACATGGCTAGCCTGCCATAACCTTTTTACAGCTGGTATGCATTATCGTATCCTTGACACTCTAACCCGCACTAACCTCTTATCTTAGGAACGTCGTATCTATGCGCCCTCTGGCATAGTCCGGAAGTACGAAAGCGGACCACAGTCGATCAAATCGACCACAACGCCATGGCTTGTAGATCAATCTTTGAATCAATGCAAGAGCGGTGCCCCGCCGCCATCGGCTGTCGGGATGTTTTTGAAAATCTCGCGTCCGCCACAATACAACTCTGCAGCAAAAAAGGTGATCTTCTCGGAGGCGGCCACCCTACTAAACGAATAAGAGGCGAGAATAGTTCTTCACGTCGGACTACTGAAAAGACTGCCCTCGAGCCTGTTCATCATGCCCTCCCAGCCAGCCTAGCCAACATCGTTCACCATGTCCCTTCACCCCCTCCGAGTGAGAGCATCCTTACTCCTATCTCACAGCCACGCCACACCCCGAGTGTCCACGAATCCACACCTCTATCTGCATACGATGTCTTCCAGCAGGATCCCTTAGCTATTAGTCCGTCGCTTCAACAACAGCAACCCATGGCACCGCCCGTAAACCATTACTCGCGCTCTTTACAACAATCTCCTCCAGCTCTCCACGACCCCTTCGTCCTATCCCCACCTTCACAATCTCCAATTTCACACCAACAGGCCGTAATAAGTCCCGGTGCCCATTCCCACCACTCATCAATATCCATGCAATCACCGCACTCCGCCCAAGATTCACTATTTTCTCCACACTCCGGCTTTCTTCCGGAAAACAATCCAAATCTAGAACAAATAATGCGCACAGCAACCGAACTTAGCAATGATACTTCTTATAATATATTTAATAGCGGATATGCAGATGATAGTACTGGTACTGGGAACGGAGAGGATGGAATGGGCGGAAAGATGTATCAGCTGATGAGTGATGTTGGGGGTGGATCGATCTGGGGGGATCAATTTATGTTCGAACTTGGGGATGGAAATGGTGGTGGTAGTGGTGGTGGTGCTAGTACCGCTGGCGGGTACGCGGTTGGGTATAATGGGACGTTGAGTATGATGGGTGGTGGGGGTGTGGGAGGGGCTACAGATCATTTTAATAATTTCGTGGGGTTTTCTGGGGGTTTGTAAAGTCGCTATAACCTGAAGGGGCCAAAAATTGGGATCCAGAAACCATGAGGGCTTCATTGTAAAAAACAAAATACATATATATTTAACTAAATGCGGCGGATTGGGGTGATCCTGCCGTTTGGGTGTTTTGGACTCGAGGATATTTTGACACAGTCTCGATATGACTTTTTTCTACCCCTCATTTTCTCTCTTCTTTCCTCTTCTCCCTTTCATTGTTTTTATATTTCTTTATTTGTACTTTTCTTCTTCTTCTTCTTTCTCTTTTGCGATGGAGTACATGGGTGTTATCTTACAAAAACTACTTTCCGTTCTGGAGCGGATGTGCAGGATACCAATTGGATATAAAGAACTACTTTTTTTTTTCTTCTCCTCTTTCTTCGGAATGATTCTTTCGAGACTTTCTAGACCTTTATAGCTATAGGGGTAAGTGGATGATAACTCTATAAACACTTTAACCTTAAGATTGGTGATCTATCAACTTGCAAATTATAATTATATACTTAATTAAGTAGGTATTTACTTTTTCACCTTTAAATTTCTTACCGTGTTACAGATTTAGATATAGAATGAGGTAATAGAGTAACTTGTTTGTAAAATGTATCCGTATTCATTTCGAATCGTATGAATGACTGTTAAGAAGTCAACGAAAGACAAAAAAAAGGAAGTATGCAAAAATGAGTTTAGAGTACAACAATCTCACGAAGCTCTTCAATGCAATGCAATGCTTCGTATACTAGTTATAAAAACAAAGCTGTTGTAGGGAGAAAACAAAGAACAAAAATAATTAGTCATTAAGAAAAAAAGACATCTCCACTTTTCGTTCTTGCCGGTCTCCTTTTTTTTATAGACCGTGGATGTTCGACTTGAGAACCGAATTTTTTAGAGAAAAAAAATATGCAGTAGGTCCCGCGAATCCCAAATGTAACAAGAACAAAAAAGGAATGTTGTAATATAAATCCTTACCCAATCCCCTTCTATATTCCCATACCAGGAAACTTCTATATTCTAAGTACCTTTCTCTCTCTCTCTTTACATGAAGGTCTTCATTCCGTGGCCCTGTCTGCCGGGTTTGTTCTTACTGTACCCGATAGACTTCTTTCCACCGTTCAACTTTGCAACAAGTGGTAGATCTCTGGAACTCCTTCCAACGAATACCATCTTCTCGGCCGGGCTGACAACCCAATTCTGAGTAGTAGTATCCCAACGAGAGATATCCCTTCGAGTGAGGGTAAATGTTATGGTAGTAGATTTTCCAGCATTGACGGAGACTCTTCGGAATCCACGGAGAACACGGACTGGATCGTCCGATTCACCTTGTGAAATGTAAAGTTGGACTACTTCCTCACCGTTACGTTTTCCGGTGTTGGAAAGGGTGACGTTGACTTCGTAGAGGATGTCGTAGAGACCTGGGTTACCACCTGGTGCACCACCGGCTGGACGGGTGGCAGTACCATTTGGATCGTAGGCGTCAGAGGGGCCGTTTTCGCCGTCTCGTTTGACGTCGCTGGTACTGTTGAACCATGGGTAGTTGTAGAATCGGACTTTGGTGAAACCGGCAGGGAAGAGGAGAGATTCGGCGGATTCGGTGACCTTCGTGGTCTTTGCGGCTGGGGTACGACCGCTGGATGGAACGTAAGGACCAGCGTTTGTCTTGCGGACCACGATTTTGTGGTATTTCCATGTTGTATAGGAGAGACCGACTATTTTAGACAAGAACGTGGAAGGTTAGTATATTTCACTTTCTACGATTTTAGGTTTTGTGTGATCATTCTTGACACGAGGATAGTATTGTGGCAAATGTGGATCGATGTCGTGATCAACGTGGAAATTCGAGGACGAGTCAACTTACAGCCAAATTCAAAGCGGGGTTCGATGTTGTGCTTGTCGAAGTAGCGGTGATCAATTAGGAGACCGCCCAAGTCTATAGGTTCGCCACAAGGGTCAGATATTATTTTGTCTTCCGTTCTCTTTACACTATAGACTTACCCTGCTGGGGTGCGTAGGTGTTATCAGGCTCGTACATGAGGCTAACACCGTAGTCTTTGGCATTCTTTGCGATAGTGAATGGAAGACGGCCGGGCTCGACTAAACCGTAGAGAACATCAACAATGGAGTTTCCACTCTCTTGGCCGGGGAGACCAGCGTAGACGACAGCGGTAACGTTGGGGTGTCTGTTTCATTGTCAGTACGCTTGTATATATATATGCTATATATATTCAAAATGGGTTTTCATCAACTTACTCGATCCATTCTTCCAGTGTCACTGGTCCTGGGGAATGGATAGTGACAATGGTATTGTTGCAATTCGCAGCGACAGTGCTGATGACTTCCTCTCCGTTAGACCAGAGAGTAAGGTTCTTGCGATCACCTTGGTTTCCATCGACGCCGACGAAACCTTCTCCAGCTTGTGCCTTGACGAAGACGAGACATACGGTAGCCTGGGTGGCAGTTTGTTTCATGTGTCCAGTGGCGTAATCATCAACAACCCATTGAATAACAGTATTGTCGGCGATAGCTTTATTTTGTAACGCAGATAGTGGAGAGATCAAATATGGAAAGTTGGCCGTGCCGGAACCCCATCCCATAGCAACTGTACCGTCGGCACAGGCACGGTCAGGACATCCATTTGGACCTCTCGGGTTATCAGTAGCATCAGACCCAAAGACGGCAATTTGCCTAGGCTTTTGGAGTGGAAGTGCATTGGCGACGTTCTTGAGGATGACAGTTCCCTTGGCAGCAATTTCACGAATAAGGGTGGCATGGTTTCCACGAACATCAACGTTTCCGTTGATGAGTCCGTATCCTTCTTGGGCAAAGTAATGTCTGTATCCGTAAACATCGGTGGACCAGGAGTCGAGGTTTACCTCAACTCTGTCCTTGTCAAGACCAACTTTGTAAAAAGAGGCCTATTGTCATTGAAAAATCACACAAGTTAGAACAATTTGAGTCATGAAAATGTTGCGGTAACTCTAAGGCTCCGGAATTTACCATAATGCGGGTTGCCATATCTGCCTCATTGTCAGTTCCTAATCTTGAAGGCCTAAATTAAAGTGAAGGATCCACTTACCATCCAACCTCCATATTGGAACACTCCCATTAATGACGGCACCAGTCAAGTTAGAGGCCCTGTCAGATCCTAGTTAGAATGTCCGAAATTTCCAACGCCCACAAAATATTCATGAACATACCAGTACGAGTTTGCGGAGTAGAAATTCTGGTCACCTGGCATAGCCTATTTTGCATTATCGTTAGACAATGGATTACGAATGCTTGCTAATGCTAGTTTAAGGAGAATATACCATATCTAGATATCATTGCATATGTATTAGCCAATCCATGTCCACTTCTAGATCCTGCCGGGATATCGGAATGCTTACCAAGACCAGCCAAAGCAGTTGCTGAAAACAAATCACGTTAGCCATTATCGTCTTCCCGTCTCACGGACATATTAAGGGGCATTTCATACCAACGCCGCCGCTATGAGAAATAACGTTAGTTTGATATAAATGATTGTAGACGGGACATATAGATACTTACTGCTGAGCTTGCCAATCAGACACAACGAAACTAATTGTATCCACAACTGTCAGAGATTGTTGCCATCCATGTTGGTGTTCTGATTGGGGATTGATTACCCTTGGAATCCAAGTTCATTTTTCAGGATACCGTTCATCAATTCGCTGTTTTGGCAACCATAGGAGTTGTTGATCTAGAAGATGGCCTTGTCAGCCGGCTGAATCGCCGTCTACGTTGCAGGTGGCGATCTTACCTGGTTGTAACTATAACAAGGTAGGATTGTTAGCCCGTGTCAATCCTAAATCCGGATTCATCGCCACGGTTGAAAAGTAAAGTCACGATAGGGTTACTCACGAGCACATAATGGATCCGACGCCAGCCTTGACCGCGTCAGCGAAGGGCCAGGCGTACACCTCATGCATCGTACGATCATCGACATTGGAACTGATACTCTCATTGATTGCGATTGCGTTTTCCCCACGTTGTCGATAATGTTCCTACGAGGTTTCAAAAAACAACAGTTTAGCATCATGCATGATCATGTGTTTTTCCGTTGAGCCGCTCATATAGAGAGAGTACGCCTCCAGGACAAAAACGCATTTCCGAAGAATCGACTTTTTGTACATACTTGTTCATTAGCTGCATATTTACGTTCCTCAAGTCAGTCATTCGTCCACGAGTAATTCCAAATATCCCTAAATCTAGAGAAATAGGCGGCTCAAGTTTTAGAACGCACCGATAAAATGCTTCGCGCATGCAATAACCCCTGCATCCTATATTGAAAGGCTAAGTTAGTCATCGTGGAAAAGTTGCGACTTTCCGCTATTGCATACGTACCTGGATGCCTCGAACTGCGGATGCAAGACCAATTCCGCTCAAGTATGGGTCTGAGCCTCCACCCTCCCAGTTCCTACCGCCTGTGTATAAAAGTTAGGTTTTATAGATCTTGAATGAATCACCTACTCGGGGTCGATTCGACGTACCTTCCGGGAATAATCCCAAGGGCCCAGAGACAGGGCCGAGCTGGACGTCAACCCCCTTGCCACGGTGCTCCACGCCCATGGCGAACCCTCGAGCGTATGCTAGGTCGTCATCCCATGTAGCTGCAATTGTCACACCGGCAGGAAAAGCCGAGGAGTACTGTCCAAATCGAATGCCTGTTATAATCCCTGAATGTCAGCTAACCTTGTAGATAGCCAATGAGGCGGGATCGAGTTCATTCGGATCTGACTCCCATGATATTGAAGGGGGGTCGAGCCTTACCAAGAGGACTGTCCTGAAGACATAGACCCCTGATACCAAGTCTAGGAACGCCACCAGTGTTTCCTACGCACTGTTCACCTTCCCAGCCGACACCGGAAGTCAAGTTTACTATGGAAACATCAAACGTGAGCAAAGGTTATAATCACATAACATAATGCGAATGCATTCGAAACAAATTCTGGAGGCCGAGGTAGTTAGGCAGACATGCAGGCTCAAGAACAATGGAGTCATTCCACATGGCCTCAGGTGGTATTCTTCTTCTTCTAGACGTATGAAAGTGGAGACAGTTCCTAAACTTGGAATCATCTGTTTTCGGTGTCTGTTACAATATAAAAAACTGAAAATGCAGGGCAGAATCGGCTAGGGTTAGGGGAAGCAATATTGTGTTGTGTGTGGTTGATATATTGCACATTTGCAGGCGTCGTCGGCGGGATGCACAGCCTCATTTAATTTCGGTAGGCAAGAAGCTTGCTTACCTTTCTCTGCGATAGTCATTTGTGCAACGACGGCTTGCGCCTTTGAATACGCCTCGCTCCATTCTGGGAAACCATCCCCAGTTCCGATTGGGGGTGGATATGCTGGCGGCGAGTGATGTTCGAAGGTCGGAATTTCCTATGCAATGGGCGCAAAAGAGCATCAGCACACTGATATGATATAATCATTATTGAATGAAGCACAGATGTAATGTATTTCATGCGGTCGCAGGTTAGGTAGCTAGTGTAGCGAAAGTAGAAGCCCAAGGATAACTTTGCATCATCATTTTCCAGTTTGGGGAAAACTTTGCGATAGCGTAGTTCTAAAGTCGGAATCCCAAGATATTCGGAATCCGCCGTTCAAGGACTTGCAGTACTTGCACTGGCACTGGCACTGGCACTGGCACTTGCACTTGCACTCGCAATGCATTCTACGCATGGCACAGCACCATCGCTGGCCAAAAGGGTTCAATTTCAGTATAGAGGAAGCGAGACGAGCCGTACCGATTCTTGGGCGCCCGTTAGGGCTGAGAGGAACAGAATAGCATTTCCAAGCACGGAGACTTTGCTGGGTGGCATTTTTGCAAAAAACAAAAGATCGAAGCAGAGAAGCTTCTCCGCGGCCGACTAACGGGATGATTACTTTTACAAGTGAGCAAGAGTAGAAGTCGGAGAAGAAGAAGAAGAAGTCATGAAAGGAAGTCTAATTGATGCTGACGATGCGTGCGATGTCGGTACTTTCCTGGGTGAAGAGTTCAGACCGGACGGACAGGTATTATTATATGGGAATTTTCTGGGGCCTCAATTGCGATTCACCCGCCGAACGCAGTCTCTCGTAACAATGATTAATAAAACATCCTGAACCACTTGCATGCAACTTGAAAGCCTAACTTCCGAAAAGACTCCAAAGCTTCTTAGAAAATTCTTGCGATTCACATTGCAGACCTTCGTTACCCAAGAAAAAATGTGGTGCCCACTGGATACTAGCAATGCAAGGCCAGGGGCATTTAGATCAAGCTTGCTCGCTCCGGGTAAGCGATCAACTACCGCCAGGGCTTACGGAAACCTAATTCGTCGCAATTCCGACGTGGACCTGGCCTTTTAATTTCGCGACCAATCTAAAAGCTCTGGACGGAAAAGGCGGGGAAGTTGGTAATTGACGGTAGACGTCTAGGCGGAAGACTGATATTCCACAAACGTAACGTTACTCGAAACATGTCGATGTATGAGGTATGAGGTACGTGGGCTACGTATACACAAGCAGGTGGATATAACATAATATTACGCTACTCCGGAAAGACTCGATCCACGTTTGCAATCCGAGGCACCCCCAACGGCCAACTGGAATCATTTCGGGTCAATTGGTCGAGTGAGCTCATATGCCTAGATCTAGAGTCGAGTCGAGTCGAGTCGAGTCGAGCGGGGGGTGTGCAGAGCAAGGCATTTGACCGACGGCCATTTAGCTAGAGACGATATTCGGTGCGTGCATTTGGGCGCTAATATTGACTAGGCAATGTTAAAATTATGGAATAGCCTTTTAGGCAGCTTGGGATCGTTTGTGGATTGTTGAAATGTGGAGATGCCGTATACGGCCGCCAATGTTCCGATTGATCAATGTTGACCTCCCCTGCTCAAACCGCCGTGCATACAGTTCGTAATGCAGCAAAGATACAAAAGTGAAGACCAAGAATACTTTCTAAATAAAGTATTCTACCTGCAAGCCCATTTTTTCTGTATAGCTTCGAATATCGGCCATGTGGGTCGTATGATTATATTCATCCTCCGTATCTAGTATTTCGATCCCTATTTCCGAAAGAACCATCAAAACGTGATACTGAATTATTTTTTTTATACCAGGCTACCTACTACCACTGTGCTAGTGCTTGAAGTATGTAAGAATACTAAGTTAGTATGAAGTCGGTGAGTAGGATTATGCGAGGGGCGCACAATATGTGAAATACCTGTGGTCTAAGCATCTCATGCAAGGACAGCAAATTAACAAAGATGCACCTGCGACAGAGTTCCCGCCGTCCAATGCCGCGTGTGACGTCAAAATACAAGAAAATTATAAAAAATGAAATATAAAATATAAAAAACATACAAAATAAAAAATAAGAAAAGATAGAGGAAATAAAATTCTACCGAGGCATGTTTGGACGACGGCTTTGCGGGGTTAGCACAGGGCAGCAGCGAGTCGACAGGAATAACCCACGCTAAGTCAGCCAGAATTCGTAGGCCTGGCCGGGTTCCGCGCACCCAGCCCTACGGTTTTAAAGAGTTTGTTGGCCAAGAAGATGGCGGAGCAGCACTTAATCATGAGGGGCTTCGAAGTAGTCGTCCCATTATTACCTAGGCGTTATATATATATCACACTGCGAAAGTACAAAAAGTCGATTCTTTTGTACGAAAAGTCGATTGTTTGTACAAAAAGTCGATTTTTCAGTTGCATTTATTAACCTTGCTATCCCCCTCTCAGAAACTTTTGGCGAGAGATATTATGGATGACAAGGGGAGTGAACTGAACTTGAAAGTGTTTGAAGAAATGTTGAGACTAGAATCAATTCGCCGTTTAGCGTTCGTAACACAAGCTTGCAATTGCAAGAGGATGGACGGGAAGATGCAAAGCCCCAGTGGAGACTTTATCCATCATTTGTCATGATAGAAGCTTAAACTTACCTCAATCAATCAATCAAAACTCTCGGTTGCATCTAAAACACCCGGAAATACAACATGCGACACCCGTGGCCTGAGGACGTTCTTGACTCTGTCTGTCTGTCCATGTACTTACTGTGTACAAGCCCCTGGATGCCTGAAAGCCACAAGCTGAGGCACGTTCATCCACGGCATATGCCGCACTCAATATTATTGATCGATCCTAATTTGACCGATTAACCAGATTACAGGTATGTTGCTCGAGATTAATATTCCGAAAGACGCCCGAAGATGGTGTCGACCAAATTAAATCAGACGTGGTACGGCACCCTGACTACTATGTACTATGTATACTAGCACCCCATGGTCAATTGCAATTACAAACCGTGCATTGGACAGGAATGTATCCGTATGCAAGAATCCAACCTGTTTGCGAACAGTCTGCCGTTCCTGAATATAGGGATGCGACCAAGGACGTCCGGCGTTCAAGATGCATGCACAATGCTTAACCCCCAAAGGCGCAAAATGTGTACGGCAACGTTAACCGTCGCCAACTCCAAAAAAAAGGGGGGGCGTTCTTCTAGAAAACCCAAGAGCTTCGATCCCCGAGGCAGTTAACCGTTTTAAGACAGTGTCGATGTAATTGAGAACGTGTGGATCTCAATCGCGTGGCTTTGCGTCTACACTTTGGGTCGCACAGAGATCCAATTGTTCAAGGATAAGCGAAAGAAGACGAAGGCAGCTTAGTTCGTCTCTACTTCTGCAACTATCGAAGCTTCTATACATTCTATCAGTCGCAGAAGTACATGCATCTCCGTGGCCCAAACCGTCTACGGGAGCCAAAATAAGAGTACGGCGACCCTGGGCAAAGAGGCTAAGTTCCTGTAGACTGCATAGTATTGGTTGCTTCGTGCATGTGCGTTTCCGCCCGGTTTGGTGCGGTGTACCTAGTATACCTATGTGCGGGCATTTCTTTGAAATAATATATCCCCAAGTGGAAATACTTTACAGGCGAGTTCACCAAAGCCCAACAAACGGTATCGACTGATACTAAACTACTTCTTACCTATATTACGCCCGGCGTTTTCGTTGGTCGGCTTAGCTAGCATGAGTACCCTGACTAAGCGGCTAGAGTTGTGTGTGCTGAACATTCGCAGTACAATATACTTTCCCCACCACACAACAACATCGACAAGGGTGCTACCACACCCGCCAAAAGCGCATTCAGCTAAGGCGACCCACTTTCTTTTTTGAAGAGTCAGCCTCCATGAGGGCCTAGAGAAGGCAATTAAATGATGGCGTCTTTGTTGACTGACTGGAGTGTCAAGCTAGAGAAAGTTTGGAAACCTTTTTGTGCGAAGGAGGCCGCCAGCAAAGCCTCAATTTCGGGTGCTTAGAGAGTGTCATATGAAGGTTTCTCGGTAACATCATGGGCTTTCCAGTGTCCCGGGTTTGAAGACTCATGGACGAGAGATATCAGCCTCCCTAACTCAATCTGGAAGCAATTAATGGATAGGGAGCATTCCTAAAACACTGAGATGACAGATAATCGGATAGAACCATGTCCTCGTCTATTCAATCCCTAAATTGGCGCCCTGTGGATGAGCCAAATGGTCACGCATCCCATCTTGCCGTATTCCTACTCCCCAAGCTAAGATACGTCAGTTCCGGCTACAGGGTCTGTGAGTCAAGAAGGCTGAAATGCACACCGGGACAGTCTGCGTCAGGTCGAACGCGAAGAATCGTCACTGCAAGACGCGGTTAGTCTTCCGTGGGGCCCTGTTGTCGCACACCAGACCAGGCGGGTCTTTTGGTGTCGTTAGTTATATTTTTTATTTTTCTTTCTTTATGTGGATCGAGGCCTGTTTAGTCTCTTTTAGGCCTGTCAGTGCATTGCTCTGAGCAAGCTACCTTGAAAAGCACATACGTTTTTGTTCTGCCTTGCCGTAAAGGATCCTCAAAATAAGGATCGAACGTTTCAAGCACAACGTTGTGATCTAAGATTTAAATAATGCGGATACCCGCCTCCGGATTCACTCATTCTCGAGACACATCACCATCAATATCTTCAAGACTCATACCAAAGCCCTAACATCAACTAATTAAACAATCTCGATTCTTTCAAGCATTCGGCCCAAACCCCAACCGCTGTACCTTCCAGCGGCCCGTCTACACTAGTATTATATATCATTCCTAGTCGGCTATATAAGCGAAATAATTCACAATGGGCAAACCCTGGGAGACATATAAACAAGAGATCTACCGCTACTACATTGAGGAAGGTAAACCTCTCGCAGAAGTGCGCGAGATTCTCAAGGCGAAATACAACTTCGAAGCTTGGTATGTTGGATCCCCCCTCCCCCCGCTCAATTCGCGAATGGGGCGTCAATTGTTTGCTGACTAAGGATATTTTTCCTACCAATAGCAAACGAAGTTATCAAAACCAGATCGAAGTATGGGGTTTTAAGAAGAATGTGCGGTCTGCAGATATGCGCGCCTATCTCGAGCAAAAGCAGCAGAATATTCCAGATTCCGAAATGGGATTGAGCCAAGATATCATCGACAAGATTACCCCGCGGAAAGTTCGAAGATATGAGAAACGCTATGCTGGAAAGTCAAGCCCCAGCCGCGAGGCTACATCTCCAAGGGAGGGCAGAAGACCGGAAGAGTATGAAAACTGGGAGAGCTACGACGTCGACCAGCATAGCCTTTTTGATTATCCCGACTCATATCCTGTTACTCCTTCTCATGGTTCTGAAGACCATTTCTATACTGGAGACATGATTTCCAAGTGAGTGGCAGGCACAGCATTTGTACATACACCGTAACGATGGGAACAGCGAATTCTAATAGGACTTTCTCTGTGCTAGTTATCCAAGCTATCCTGACCACAGGTTATCATATTCCGCTGCCACCCTCGGAGAGCCTATCTACGCCTCGACAGCTGAATACAGCACAATGGGATCCTTAACGGCAACCGACTACGGATACCGGTCCTCCCATGATGCCCACGCTCGGTATAGGTCAGAAAGCCAGTGGCACATTGATGGATCATCCCCCACTGATGGTATTTATTATTCAGCCCATCAGGTACTCCCCACACATCTACAGGCGTAAAGCAAACAACAGACTCGATAGATCTGATGAAAGCCGCGCTAGCGGGGCGGTACGACGGCCTTCGCAGATTGTTGATGGGTGGAGAAACTCCAAACGTGCTGGATCGTGATGGAAACACATCTCTTCACTATCTAGTCCGTGGGTTTCATAAGCTCCTTGACCGCGCAGCCCATTCGCCTGGACTTCTGTCCGGTGATCGTGCTATGGGAAGTTCTGAAGAATTCGAGGAAAGGATTGCGGGGTTCAATGCTTGTTTGAATTTACTTTTGAGTTACGGCGCTATGGCTACACCAAACGAGAGGGGGGACACGGCGGCTCAGATGGCTTCTGCTCGACTTGCTGAATACACGAAGGATCCGTACAATGCGGCTGCGGGGACACATAAACAATGGACACAGTTCGTCAATTCGATGTCAGCCGCAACGAGCGAATATACCCGATGAAGAAACGACCCGAGAACCAATAATTGAGACATCAAAACGGGAAAACGCAACTTCACGGAGGCATGCAAAAAAGGAGACATTCCATGAGTCCGAAGGATCGCTTCTATTTTTCGAACCGATATACCGACCAAGTTCACTCTCATTAATTTGGAAAATGTAATGGGATTTCTTATTTTTATTAGAGTTTTTGCTTTTGGGGGGGGGGAGGCATTCGATATGAGTTCAGGGCGTCTAGTACTGTTTCATTTTGTTGTTGTTTTTTGTCACTAGTTCCGATTTACTAGTACCTCGATTCGGCCATGTTTTTTTGGGCTTATTTCACGGCGTTACGATAGGCATATTTGCGGGCATTTTAGTTTTTTAATTATTTCATCTGTATGTACTATCTTCTATCTTCTGGGGTTTAGCTGGATTTGCCGGAATCCTTAGTTCTGGATTGCATTTGTTTGCATAGCTAGCGAGCGATACTGGGCTGGAAGTCACACTACCAAAATACACTACCTATCTTCTCTCTCATAACTTACTCATTGAAACATCTCAAACTGGTGAACTAAAACCCCAGCTTTTCTTTTGTCTGTTTGTCTGTCTGTCTGTTCTTTTTTTTTTTTTTTTTGGTAAACAAGGCGTGGTTTTGCTGACCGCATAAGCCGTGCCGCCTCTCTTCCTGAAAACTGAAAACAAAAAAAAGGAAGAGGTTAGGTGTATGTAGGTAAGTACTTGCTAGATAAGTACATGGTAGTAACCGCTTATCGATCTCTGGATCCTGAGAGACGCCTGATCCTTCAGTTGAACAGTAAGTCGGAAAAACCACGTAACCGATGCACAAAAAAAAGGAATCTCAACGTTAAGTTCCGGACGTCTTTACGAACTAACATGCTATAAATCGTCATCTGATTCGACGACACGAGCATCCACGTTTTTTTTTCGTCGTCCCCGTCTGACGTATGACTCTCGCAAGCTATCTTCCAAGCTTTTTCCAAGCATGAGGCATTCGCGAAATCCGATTTTAGAGTGTAACGTCTCCGCTTCTCCACTTTTTGTTTTTGTACAGGCATTGCATTGTCATGCTATCTTGGCGCTGTCAGAAATATAGTCACTGCGATGTATGAAATCGGGACTTAAATCGCGACCGTGATATAGTTCATATCATATTAGCCCTTCTCCTAATTGGTTTTTTTTTTTTTTTTCTTTCCCGGATCCCCCTCTCTTTTCTGCAGGGCAGAGTTTAGGTAATCGTCCGATTCCTTGTTTCTAGTTTTTTTTTTCCTATGCAATGCAATCGATCATAGGATTTAAATTCAAACATTCGACCAATAAATCCACCGGATTGACTAATATTGAAAAGCTTGAAGTTCATTGGGCTGCCATCGCATTGTTTGATTCCTTGCGTTGAGTTAAAGCCTTGTGTAACATGGATCCATGGACTCTCCGGATTCGAACTCGTCTGCTCGAGAGGCTCAAGAGGCTCCCTGCACCGCAGGCGAGGTACATACATACATCCGTACATCCATCTGTACATACCTAGGTATATACCTAGGATAGTACGTAAGTACGAGCAGGGCATGTATCTGCGCCAGTGTAGTTCCTACAGGTCCCAGGCCTTTAACGCAGCGGATGTCCTGGCGTCGGGCTCGTGCTTGCCGAATACCGACATATGTTCTGCATATATATTATGATTATGATTCGGGGCGAGAAAATAAACATGATACCTACCTAGCTATGGATCATGTGGGCACCTGCAAGCTTAGCCTTAGCTTAGCTTAGGGATCTGGAGTTTTCATGTGCACATACGTGAGTCCTGCGGCATTAAGCGGGGAGGCGTGGTTTCTTCCTTATACTGTAACCAAATATTTGAGCCTTGATAGATGAGGCTCTCTACTGTGTTATAATGCAGTCTCGTATTACCGTACTTACGGGTATGCATGCATGTGGCTTGTACGGGATATCCTATCGTGATAAGGGAAAAATTGAAGAAAAAAAAAACTGTTTTTTGGAATCATTTAAATTGGCGAGGAAAGTTTAGCCCAGAACGGGCCTCGTTCCCAGTGTTCAGGAATCTGTGAATTCAAGCTCTGGGGGCCCACCCGTGGGCATATGGTTTAAGTAAATATGTACCCTGGGAGTGCTATTGTCATATACCTATTCTGTCCTAAATTGTGACACCAAGCCTTGTTACGGATTCGAAGTCATCCAGAATCGACAACTATCGATCTAATAGCTAATTAACCATGTCCAAGATTTCCCGCCAGTCCATTTGTTCCAACCTGTCTCAACACATCCGCCGGCAAAATTCCCACCTAAATTCCACAAACCCTTCCGCATAGAGGCCTGGTTTCTTTCCGCATGTCCACCACCCTTTTAGCTTCCGGCAGTCGACAAGCCCTTCAAAAAAAAAAGTTAATCTAGCATGTATAGCTTGTAAAAAAGAGTCCACCCGTCAATTTGGGAACCTAAGGTATGACATAAGCACGGACTAGCGGCGGTCGAAGAAAAATAAAAAAGATAGATAGAGAAAGAGATGTGGGGCTAGCTGCCTTCCTGAACATGTCTCCCTTCTGTCACCCGTAGCTATATAAGTTGAAAAAGACCTGGAAAATTTCCTATCGCCACCTGCTTCTTCCTTTGCTGTTAACCAATTGCTTCAGTTTGTTTGGAAAACTTTTTGCCCTGTTTCCAAAATTTCCGTTTTTCTGTCCCTCTCTCTTACCTTATCGCCAATCCGCTACACGAGTTCTCTAAGATAAGCTAGATAAACGAGCTTCCAACCAATTGCGCAAAAATGGTTTACCCAGAAACTTTCACTGCCTTCAGATCTCCTTCTGCGGAGAATTGGTCGGACTTTCAGAAGCAGGACTTCGCTCCAAAGAAGCTTGAAGATAATGATGTTGATATCAAGATCGAATGTTGTGGCATTTGCGCCTCAGATGTTCACGTATGTTTTGCCTTGCTTTCCTCCCCCAGACCCCAAACCTCTCGTTCACCGTGTTTTTTTCGCACTTCCCGAAAGATAGTGTTTTTTTCTCGGAATATATGCTAAGTGTTCTTGTTTAGAAAATCTCCGGCCAATGGGGTGATACACCTTATCCTCTCGCCGTAGGGCATGGTTAGTACGACCGAGAAATCCTCCATGGAGAAAACAATAGCTAACGAAACCCATGTAGAAATTGTCGGCAGGGTCGTCGGTGTGGGTCCGAAGGTCAACAGCGTCAAACTCGGTCAGCGCGTGGGTATGGGAGCTCAATGTTGGAGCTGCGGTGACTGCAAGCAATGCAAAAACGATAATGAAACATACTGCAAATTCCAGAAAGGTATACTCGAGCTCTCCTTCGGCCAAAAAAAAAAAAAAGAAAAATGAGTCGTCAACTAAAAATGTGTGTTAGATACATACGGTGCCCTTCAATCTGATGGAACTATATCCCAAGGCGGGTATTCGTCCCACATCCGAGTACACGACTTCTGGGTCTTCCCTATTCCCGAAAAACTAGCATCAGTCGATGTTGCGCCAATGTTATGCGCTGGTATTACAGTCTACTCCCCACTTGTCCGGAACGGAGCCGGACCTGGAAAGAAGGTTGGCATTGTCGGCATGTAAGTTCAGAGCACCCGAACCCCAGTTAATAAGTCTTATAATTGACAATCCGTGATAACTAGCGGCGGCCTCGGTCACTTCGGAATCATGTTCGCAAAAGCCCTCGGCGCAGAAGTGTGGGCTATCTCACGCTCCGAAGCCAAAAAGGAAGACGCTCTGAAACTCGGGGCAGACGGCTACATTGCTACTGGCGCAAGCGAAAACTGGGCTGAAGAGCACGAATTCAGCTTCGATATGATCATAACTACAGCGAACTCGAATGAAAACTTTGACCTCGGCAAATACCTAAGTTTGTTGACAGTCCATGGGAAATTCATTATGGTTGGACTTGCTCCTGGCGACGGGCAAAAAGTTTCAGCTTTTGATCTCCTTGGAAACGGATGCTTTATCGGCGCCAGCCATCTCGGAAGCCGAACTGAGATGTTGGCTATGTTAGATCTTGCTGCAGAGAAGGGATTGAAGTCTTGGTCGGAGACAATTCCTATTTCAGAGGAAGGCTGCAAGACCGGGGTGACCAGATTATTGAAGAATGATATTAGGTACCGTTTTGTCCTGACTGATTATGAGAAGGCCTTTGGTCAGTAAATTTGGTGTTTGGGAGTTTCAAGTGTACGGAAAAGTAAACGGCGTTCGTATGAAGATGATGTATATAGGATGCCATGCCCATCATGAAGCGTATAATAGTCTATATAGCTATAGCGAGGAGATACCAAATTGATTACGTCATTGTACAGTCGAGATCATACATAATTCAGATCATCTATATAGAAAGTATCTTAAAAGATCTAAGTTCATGCAGGTCGAATTGTCAAGTAAAAGGTTTTATAAGTTTATATTATAAGTATGCATATCAATTTTGATACATCTTCAAGAGAAGTGTTACACATCCCACAGCTACCACCAAAAAAACTTGGAGATTTCACACCATCTTCACCACCAACTTCAATCAGCACTCCGGGCAGTCTGCCACCCCGCGCCCGGAGGCTCGGCTGAATACCGGTTACCCCACGCCAATGCAGTCCCTCGTGGGTCCCAGCATTTAAGCGAAAACCTTGGCTACGGGAGGATAATTTTCCGCCAACCGGAGCCAACCAACCCAACTTCCAGGTAATCTGGAAAAACAAACGACGGGTCTCGGCGGTTGTCAAAAGTAGGTCCAAGTCTCATTCTGCCTACGAGGAACGAGTTTAACCGGTGCGGGGAAACTCAAGTTCCTTTCGGTAAGTGCCTGAAATCTTGGGACAAATTCAATTGATTGTTGGGCAATATCGTAATATGTCGAAGCAAGCTGACATGATTAAGAGCGGCAATGGAATATTGCAGGATCGGTTTGATCTTACTATCTGAATTCTAGTCGGTGTTAATTTCGGTGGTACAACTTGAGAGATCTACAAAATAACCGTTTTCAAATCCCGATTTAGTTTTGTTCCAGAATCTGAGGCAAATGAGCATTCAATGGTCTAGTAGATGACCATTCTCATGTAATCGATTTCGTAAACTTCAAAGTACACTCTAGGATTTCCCTCCCCATAACAACCCTGTGGGGGTTTGGTCTATGTAAGACATCAAAGCTTCTTTTTTTTCACCGTTGCCACTAGATCACAATCCCATTCGAGGCATATACAAGTGGGGCGTGAATTAAAGAGCAGCATCAATTAAATCGAATTCCGGCGCACGGAGAATTTCCTAAAAGTTAGGCCTCAAGAGCAAGCGCATGCCTCCAAAATCCTCTAATCATCACTCGACGGCAAGATACCAGCGTCCCTCTCGCCAATTGCCCAGGTCTAAAAGGCCGGTTTACTATACCCGTTTGTCATCGATCCGATTTGTCCATCCCATCCCATATTTCTTCCATTCGTAGCTATCGACACGAGATGCTCTTGACTCGACTGTAGTCGTCTATGCATGTATGATATTGTGCACTGCAGCCTCCATTAAATACCTCGTCTGCGTCTGGTTACTTTCTGGCTTGTAACCTCCAATTTGGACCAATCTTGTCGTGACGTTCAATTTAGAATTTCAAGAATCAACCCGACGAAACTCCGAAGTTTAAGCTAAAAAGCAGAGTTGGCCCGCCATTTTCCCAGTTCTTGAGTGTGGAACTGTTACCATTATATTCTTCTTCCCATTCTCACTCAAAAGAGCTGAACCGTCAAACAATCCCTTCGAATCTCGCTGTTCCAAAATACCACATTCTCCAACACACCGCGATTTTTTTTAAAAAAAAACTACCTTTCTCGAGTCCTTCAAGATGACACAAGAAAATGGCGCCGTCGAACGTCCTCTCCAGCCGGGTATCTATTCCCCGACAATGACTTTCTTCGACCCAGAAACCGAAGACCTCGATATCCAATCTATCCGTCACCATGCCGTGAGACTCGCCGAAGCCGGCCTCGCCGGTCTGGTAACCATGGGTTCGAACGGTGAAGCCGTCCACCTCAGCCTTGACGAAAAACGCATCGTTACCCAAGAAACCCGAAAGGCCCTCGACGAGGCTGGTTTCACCCATATCCCCATTATGGTCGGTGCCTCCGAAAACTCAATTCGCGGTACTATCGAATTATGCAAACACTCCAAAGAATCTGGTGGTGATTACGTCCTTTTGATCCCGCCAAGCTATTATAGATATGCAATGGATGAGCGTGCTATTACAGAATACTTCTTAGGTGTGGCAGACGCCTCGCCCTTACCGTTGGTGTTATATAACTACCCTGGTGCCGTCGCGGGGATCGATATGGACTCCGACCTTTTGATCAAACTCGCCGAGCACCCGAATATCGTGGGGACAAAGTTTACATGCGCGAACACCGGGAAGTTAACAAGAGTTGCATTGGCGACCGATGCAGTTACACCGAGTTCCCAGGGGTCTGGGTATATGTGTTTCGCGGGTATGGCGGACTTCACACTTCAGGGTTTGATCACTGGGGCTTCGGGCGTTATTGCAGGTGGAGCCAATGTTATGCCGAAGTTGTGTGTGCATGTTTATAATCTGTTTAAGGAAGGGAAGATTGATGAGGCGATTAAGATGCAGCAGCAGCTTTCTAAGGGTGATTGGGTTCTAACCAAGGCGGCGATTCCGGGAACGAAGAGTGCTATTCAGAGTTACTTTGGTTATGGTGGTTACCCAAGAAGGCCATTGAAGAGGTTATCGGATGAGGAAGCGCAGGCTGTTAAGGATAAGATTGCGGATATAATGGAGATCGAGAAGAGCTTGTAAGTAGTTTACTTACATATCAATGAAAGTTTCTTTTCTCCATTGGAGGGGAAGGTTTTTTTGAACCGAAATCGCCCGGTCATTCATCGCTATCTGTTCTGTCTATTTACCGTGCGCGCATAGACGACTTTCATCCATAAACACTGTACTATAGAACCTTGTATCCATACTAGTCTAGTTGTTTATCCATACCAAATTTAAACAATTAAACAAAGTCAATGTGCTTCTAGCTTTCGGTCTAATTAATTCCTAGGCAGCCAGCCTTGTGATCAATCCCTAGTTAGCATAAACTCCTTCTAATGAAGATTTAACGGCTCGTCTAAATACAGTCTCCATGGTAAACCCATCTCGTCACCTCCTTTTCACGTTTCACCAGCCGTGTAGGAACAAGGGCCTACCACCCGTAGGGGCCACAGAAAGAATATATATATATAAGCTTAATTCAATCGAAGCGGAATGGATAATGTTATGCATGCAGAAACATTCGCCCCTTGTAAAGAAAGGAAAACCCATATTTCCCAGCCAATCTGATGTAGATTCTCGAGTAAGTTTTTTTTTATCGTACGAATTCTTGTAAGTAGGTAGTAGGGTAGGCCAAGAAAGTTGCTTCAATACCCCAGGTTTTTATAATGAGAAGGGGGTGAAAAAAGGCTCAGTCGGCTGACCTCGTGCGTTGTGGCTAATAACATGTTTCCAATATATTACGATCGACAACTAACACCGGGTATGTCCCCGGCCGCCAATAATTAGAGGAAGCTTGTTATGAATGCTAAGGATTATAGGAATCAAACAACTTTAATAAGTAATTTAGATTGAAACTCTGTTTTATACACGCGGTGGCTTGTAAAACGTAAAAGGAAGTGAAATAGGAAAAACTTTGAAATATACACACGGCGGAGAAAAAAATGAAAGAAGAAGTAACAGGTTTAGCTAAACGCCATTGAATGCCCCAAGAGAAAGATTCCGAAGAAAAGAAAAGAAAAACATCTACCTAATTATAAACCGATTCTGAAGTGAAGTAGCAGCGTCAAGACTAGGTAGGAAAGATTTGACAAGAATGTGGAATCGAAAAATAAATATTTCTCAAACGAGAATCAAGATCAGAAACACTAAGCTGGGGCTCTGGCCAAAGGAACTTGCTAAATATCGGGGAGAAAGAATCCAGGAATCAAAATATTAAAATGTTTGGACCTCAACAAACCAAACCACCGCACGGACGAGAACATTAAGCCTTAGCCTCAACGACTGAGATGGTCGACTTTCTGTTCTTGCGCTTCTTCCACCAGTTGATGACACTCTTTTGTCGTTTGGCAAGGCTTGGGAGGGATGAGCTCGAGGGTTGTCGTTCGATAACCTTGGAGGTTCCCTTCGACGGTTGAGTGGATGAAGTCGGCGTTGTCGGTACGACGGTGAACGGTTCGGTTGTGGTGACGGATTTGGCTTCTAGCTCTTCTCTGACAGTGGTGCCGTTTAAGGATGGCGCGGGGGCCGGGGCCGCAGGGGTGTGGGTAGCAGTGCTCGCGTGTGCACTGCATGAACCAGCTATATTGTCGTAATATCAAGACGATTGGGAAAGAAGAATTTTCGAATCAGAACATCGCTGTACAAAACTTTCCTTTGCAGCAGAACATAATGAATGTTTATGGTCGCCTACAAGCACATCCTAGTCGCCAGACACCCTCGTTCTCCTCGAGGTAGACTGTTCTCTTTTCGTCAAGACTGACTCGACCGGCGTGCAAGATTGCACCCGTAGCAGCGGTGTTGGCGAGCGTGGGGAGACCACGCTTGTCGAGCTCATCCAAGGTAACTTGGCCGGCGTTGAGCTTGTTGCAAGCGTCGATAAACTTTTCGAAGGATACATAACCTGAATTAAAGTGAGTAAAGGTTGTCAAATTCATGAGGGATGGAAATTCAACATACCATAGCCACTTTGGCCGCCGAAGTTTCCTTCTTCGTCAGGAGCATATCGCATGTAGAAGGGGTTATACCACATCAAGCCGGTGGTTTCGTCATCAGCGACATCATAACCACGCTTGGCCTGATTGATTCGGATTTCGCCCTTGCTTCCGAGGTCTGTTCGAGACAAAATCAATAATTTATCCAAAACACAGCGAGCATTCGGAATGACTTACAATGGAAGTATTGGTTGGAATGGACACCTGCCTTTTGTGGGGCAGTCCAGCTAGAGGTGTAGACACCAGTAGCGACCTTGGTAAGGTCGTCCTTCTTAACCCAGTCAACCATAAGTGTAATGGTATCCTCGGTCCCGGGAACGCATCCGAGATCAGTAGCGCATCCACGAGAGCCAGAGGCTGTGACCTTGTATGGCTTCCATCCAGGAACCATAGATTCGTTGATATCAACGTGGTGGGAGTTCAAGTAATAACTAAAAAAATTCGCATATTAGTATTGTCCGATTTTACGGTTGCTTGGGAAGATATGAACGTACGAAATATCAGAGTCCTTTCCGGCCCATGCCTTGAAAGTTTCCAACTGGCTCTTTGGCTGGGACATATAACTGTAAAAGTAGTTGAAGTCACCGAGTTTCTGAGCCTTAGCCCGGGCATCAGAGTAAGCAGGGTCGAATCGCTTGTGATGCTCAACAAAAACGAAGACACCATATTTCCTCGACTCGCGGATCAAATGCTGGTGCTCTTCAATTGTCTTTGTGGCTGGCTTAGTCAAAAGAACGTGGATTTTTCGCTGGATAGCATATAGAGCGATGGGGTAGTGGGTGGTATCCGGGGTAAAGATTGTAATTGCATCGCCAGGCTTAAGCTGATCGATAGCAGCCTTGTAGGAATCGGCATCAACAGCATCGTCGGCGGGGAAGGACTTGAATGAGACGTCCAAATCATTGTAAACTTTGGAAATGTTCTTGTCCAAGTGTTCGCCTGCGTGGAAATGATATCAGTTAGACTTTTGCGTTGTTTGTGTGGTATCCTCTCCGCACGGGCCAAGTGTGGAGAGATGGAGGCTCTGGGGCAGTTTCCTTGGGGTTGCCTTGGGTGTTAGGGGACTTACGAATGGCGGGATATTTCTTTCCGTTAACGCCAACCATGGACAATTCACCGACTTTGCCACGACGCCTCAAATCGAACAAGGTCAAGCCGACGACACCGACCTAATTGCCGTTCAGTTATCAAATTTGCCCTTCCGGATAATTCGTGTTTCGGTCTGATGGGACTTCAAGTTACCTTCTTATCAGAAGTCGAGGCTCCGGTCCCGACGAATCCGGTAGTGTACTCGCCGGTACCAACCTATTTATCGCAAGAAAAAACAATGTTAGACCAACCGCATTCTGAAATCTGATGTCAATCCCCACAGCACGGCATGGGCATACCATCAAGACGTTGACTGGAGAAGCCATTTTGCTGGTGCTTTGTTTAAGAGTGACTTCGCTTCCGAGTTTGTGTTTGGACTCGACGTCAATGGGAGATATCTCTTCTGAAGAGAGGGTGCCCGAGGAGAAGTCGCTCGGGGTGGTAATCGGGGCACGGGTTTGACCGCGGGGAGTTCCAATCAGAGAGAAAGGCGAACCGAGACCGGTGGATTCTGGGGAATACGATCTTGGCGAAGACGACGACGACGGGTTGTGTCCTTCGAGATACCCAAGTCAATAATTTTTGATAACTTATATATAAGAGTGAGTGTAATTAAAAGCCTTACTATTGCTGATTTCTGCTGGGTGAGAAGTTGTAGAATCGACCGGCGGCATTTTTGAAAAGAAGGAACAGCGAGAGAGGGTTGACTTAAATGATGGGGAAGCTTCTTGTTCTTTAAAGGGCCAGGCACCAAAAAAGTATACGAGGTATGGGATCTGACCTTGACAGAGAACAAAAAAAAACAAAAAGGTTCTAGCAGGTCGGTGCATCCGGCTTTAATCTGGAGTGGGAACCATCCTGGACATGGGGTAAAGTGTATCCACAGACCAGAAACACATTCGCTGGCGGGCAATCGGTGGATCGGATGGTGGCATTATTTCTGATGGTTATGCAATACCTTGAAAATAGTTCCGCCGTCTTGAAAGAACGGGTCTTCAGAAGGTCCGGAACGAACGATCCATCCGCAAGATTTCGCCAGGGCTATGTGTAGACCCTTGTTGGCATATATCGACTATTCTTCCAGGTTGCTTTGATATTGCGCGTGTGCAGATACGATGCACACACAGACTCACGTACATTCCAAGATTGTTATCTACATAATGGGAATATTTTCTACTATTGATTCATTCAGGCACAGGTACCGGTGCGCGCCTGGTGGTTCAGATTGTCCAGCGGGCCCCAAAGCTAGCTGGAACTATGTCGGTATCCAATGCAAGGAAACCAGCTACTCATAATTGGGGAGGCCGGTTAACCAGATAGGGTATGCATATGAACAGTATGGTTCTTCTAAGCAATGCTCGGATTGGGGGAGGAATAAAGCAGTGGGAACGCGCAAACACGCAATAAACCTTTCGGCGAAATCTAAACCATCTTTTCGTTAAATTGTTCCTATCTACTAAACGTCCGCCGTTGTATACTGTGGGTTGTTCAAATTTCTTGGTTTTCGTTTGCCCCCAGGGTTTAGGCGGGCTTAGCTTGGAGGGTTTCGCTGGTGGACACATATTTCCGGGTCACGTTAGCAGGCCAAACTTTGTTAATTATCGATTCGGATGGCTTTTTTTCTCGTTAGGGCCAGATTAACCCTGGACCGCATGGCTCGCATGAGACAGAACATGCGGCCAACTTTTTGGGGTTCATCGGTTTTGATGGGGCCCTGCGGACGGAAAATTGAGGGCCGTCGCTCGTAAACAGTTTAGACTTCAAACTCCTCCCTTGCAACGCAGGCGGGTCCACTCTGTGATCCTTGGTAACGTTCAGGTTCGCAATACATCTGATTTCAACATCCGCTCTCCGCAAACAATGGGGTTTGCATTCGACGAGTCTAGGCGGTACGTACTACCGAGGAAACTAGTGGAGATTAACTCTGCCTTGAGAGTACATACATACATGTACATAGGTGTTTTTTCTCCCGCGTATACCAATGACAGGCTTAAGGTTACAATATTGAACTCCGCGGATTGGTAAACTTCAATGCCCCGCTGCATGTAGCACATATGCACAAGTTAGTGCTGCGGTCATCGAACTATACCGTCACATGATCATATGAGCTCTCATATTAATCTAAATAGCCGGAAGTGATCCGAACATTCAATCATTGGATTGTGTGATTATATAAGATTGAGGTTGAGCTCTCTAGATTTATATCACATTATAAACCTAAAGGCGGCGACTATCACGGATTGAAACCCGCGACTAGTAATTGTTAGCTAATCTCTAACATTTAAACTCGAATTACACAATTCGCAGAAGATTTCTATTGGATAGCATTCTCGGATTCAAAAAATTAAAGTGTTCCGAATAAACTTAATATCGATGTCAACTAGGGCTCCACAATTTCTGGGCGATTGGCAGCGTCGTCGGCTGGGAAAATACAATATCCATGGGAGGCAATTGGTAAGCACCCATTCAAACGCCTCTTTCATTCTGAAATACGAATCACCCAGCCGAGCCTCTTCTTCGGATGAACTATTTTCCACCTTGCAAATGGCAGGGAAATCTCCAAGATTTTGTTCAGCAATTCAGCAGATAACAAATTAACAGATGATGAGACGAAATAATGCTTCTTTCCTATATTTTTGAATAAATTTTTTTTTGAAAGAAAAATCGCTCATGAAACCTGTCCGAACATACGGAGTATCAATGAGCGAACCCGCCCAATTCCTCAATGCCATTTTTTACTATCTATTTAGTGGCGAACTAGGCTTTGGTACTTGGGATTTTCACCGTTATAAGATTGCTCGATGTGTGTTTGTATTGTATATATCACCTGAACTTCGAAACTAGGTTAATATTATATCACTTTGCATTATTAACCACCGTGGACATGCACCTTCCATCCAATACCCCAGATTTCGTCCCTCTAAAAGAGTATTCCGGCTGAATGCAACTATACCTGCTACACAAACTATGCATAAACATAACCCTTGGTTGATTGGTATTGACTACTTCATCCATCCCTTCATCCCCAGCGTAATGCATGCGCATGCCATGTATCTCGTCCAGACCCCCCACGCTACGTTGAACTTAACCGTTCTTAATTGATCCTCGTAGATTATGTTTAAATCTTAGATAGGATCGTACCTAGATCATTTATATTTTCCCAAGCTTGGCCTAGACGCCTTCTTTTTTCCTTCTCCATTTTAATCATCCGTTTAAATTTTGTTCGTTCTTGTTTTGTATGAAACCGTCAAGCTCGGACCAAGAAACCCCCTTCCCCCCAAAAAAAAAGGAATGTATGATGAACCCCCAATTTCAGGTATACCGAGGCTCTTCGCAGGATAGATGGCATGGTGTCATTCGGAAACGCTTTTCCCACCACTATAGAACACACGGAGAATCAAGGTGGTGGCAGCCGGGCGGGCATGCACACACCCGCTTCTGATCTCCGAAACCAGTCTGATATGGGTAACCACCATATCCACGGCAGAATAAGCCGAAGAAATTTAATAATCAAAGGGATACAGAGGTTTAGTTTGTAAGCAGGCATGCGAAATCGCGATCGATAACATCTAGGGGAAAAAATCTTCCTATTGGCTTGAATTTAAAAGTCATGTTCCTCCCTTGGAATTGGCGTTTTCCATCTTGGCGTCTGGTCCATGCATTGCTTAGACAGTTTATGTAACTTTTATTCCATTTGATAAAAATCTTGTGAGAAGCTGTGAAGAAGACATGCGGGCATGCTGGCAACGTAAGGAATTTCTATAGGTCTAAAATAAAACCCAGCCGTCATGCAAATCTAAATAATAGAACGAGAAAAACAACAGAAAAAAGAACGCTTAGGAACGACGATGAATGGATATCTACTGCGGAAACGAAAAATAAAGATAGTCCTGCTATGGGTTATGCCCACTTACCAAGCAGTGCCATCAATCCTACACCGTCAAAAAAAAAAAAAAAAAAGTTGACCAGTTAGCCATTGACTCGTCTACTTATCAGGCACAGAAATACCAGGGGTTTAGGTTTGGCTTACCGGCACCAAGCATCATGAACCCATAAGCCGCGAACAACCGTCGTCTTTTCCCTCGTCGGACGGGTCGGAACGTCTCGCTAAATAGGAACTCATGCGCCATGAGTTCTATTAACCCGGTATACAGTAGAATACCTGCGCTTATAGCGTCGAAAATCCCTTGCACTAAAATAGCTCTAGTGCTGTTTGAAGTGTATGACTTCCTCGCCGCAAGGCCGATTGCTATGGCTAGAGGTGTCGAAAGACCGTAGGCGATAGCCATGGCGTATGGCGTTAAACGGCGTGCTTTGGACCATGGTACGACGGCGAGTCGTGTTCCGAGGGCGAGCCCCTCAAAAGTTTGGTGGAAGACGAGAACTATGTAGAGAGTAGTGAAATTCTCGCCAGTGACAGCTAGGGTTAAGCCTATGATCACCGAGTGGAAGATAACACCAAATTCAAAGATGCAGACGGAGATCAACTGAGATGCATAGTCTTCGGAGGCTTCAAGGGCTCTTTCTTCGTCATGTTGCTTAGTTTCAAGTTTGAGTGGTGTGCCTCTCGAGATCGCTTCGGATACAGCCTCCGTGCTATTACTGTCCGATCCCAAAGCGCCCCCTTCAACTGAGCGTCCCATTTCAATACTCTGGTGCATTCGCACATGGCCAAGATGATCTTCTCCGGGAAGCGAGACTCGGCGTTTCTTTGTCTGAGAATGGGAATGACCATGTGAATCGTCATGGTTGTGGCTGTGACCGCCGCCTGCTATGGCAAGAGTTGCAAATGAAGTTGCAAGAAGCTCGACAAAGAACAAAAGCGATACCGCCATAAGGGCTATACCTTCCGCCCATGGATACCCTGTTAGGGTGTCATTTAGACAGGGATTTGTTAAAGCTTCGTTTGCCGGTGCAAGTAACTAGTTTCATCCATCAGTTCAACCGATCCAAGCACTAGTGGAGAAATCTGATCCGTACATGTATGAAAGCCGTAGCCACAATAACACCTGATCCAAAATATTTGACCGCAAAAAGTATATATTTCTGACCAGGTAAGTAGGAGGCATGATGTGCGAATATGGGAAACATTGCACCTACAACCCAGGATATTAGCTTCTGGTATATCTAATTAAAGCCCTTTATTGATATCGAGCCCTACCAAATGTAGATCCAGCAAGAATAGCAAAGATTGCCGATATCCTCAACCCAAGCATATCCTCCGAGTTCATATTCTCGTCACAAACAATCGTCTGTGTAATCGTCCGAAGCCCTGGGGACGGTATCGGTTCCGCCATTTTTGGAATTGCTGTGGTATCCCTTTAGAAATCTGGTTTGTGGCTGTCCTAACTCAGATCTTGTGCGTCCTAGAAATCCAAAAGGGATTAAAAGTCCGGTTGCGAGACTGAAGGGATTGTTCTGATCTGGCAGCTCAGATATCTATTTCAACAGGTGTATATTTATGTATGGCGACTTTGGTGACAGGGTTGTCGATAGGTTGAAATATGATGCAGGTCGCAGATGTACATTCCTGATGGCAGACAGGCAAGCATATGTCGAAAGGAATGCTAGCTGAGAGATTTAGTTAACCCTTGCGCCGAAGAAAAAAATGGATCCAAAGAAAGACTTTAAAGAAAAAAAATCGAATCCGAATGTAGTTTGTTGTATAAATAGAATGAGCGCTACATCTTCAGAGTCGCCCGCTGGATGAACATGTTTTTGGTACATTTTTGGGGTCGGATTAAATGTGAACACGGCACGTGGAGGCTTGCCGCTGTCCCGCAGACACCAACGTGACGGGCCGAATGATCAAACAATTGATTCGGATCCACTTACCCTCGATATCCAATTGATAAACACAAACGCGGAGGCAGTTGCGAAGGTGAAAAGGGTGACGGCAACCCGGTAATATCCAGGTACTTTCTAGCTGACACTCTCCATCCAGAGACTTGGGGTGAATTTTCTGAAATATAACTAATAGCGGGAACTGCAGGCAGATGAATAAGCCTTTTCTGGTTCGCCGCTGGGCAAAACAGCGCGCCATGGGCCTGTCGTAGGCTGCAGCTATGCCAGATTGGAAGGAGGTTCTCGGTACCGATCAAGGAAACCCGGAAGCTGTGGTCAAAAAAGCTGCCGGCGCCCGGCCCTTGCTTATCGATACGCAGCGCCGACGCATCTAGTCGGCGATGCAATGCAATGAGATGTTCCACTTGGAGCCATCCCTTTACCTGTCTCCAATGCTGTAGATATAGTTACTGCGTCTTAAACAATTACTCGCAGTTTGGGATATCCTGTAGGGATCAGCAGGCGACGATTTAAGGGCGCTGTGTAATATTGCATTGTTTAAGTTCGCGTTCAACATCGCTTCCTCTGCGATTTCGGCGGCTCAGCATAGCCACCCTAATTTCCTGATCTTGCGTGATGGGTTGGGATTTCGTTTGGGGCATATCTTGCCGAAGGCTGATAATATTGATAAGATATAGTAGGATTACATTATCAAGCCTTGCAATGGCTTAGAAGGGATTCGAAGATGGAAAGACCTTAGCTATTGAAGTCCTATCGATTTCTCGGGATTGATTCCATGTTTGAGTTTGTCTATCAAATTGGTTCAAATGTTGCACACAAATGTTCAGCTGCTTCGGGCGCATGGCAGACTGTGGCCTCAAACCCAGGCTAGGCAGACTGGGCAACAACACAAGAAATCCAAAATGCAACATGGATGGCCTGATGTTCTTGTTGTCACGGGCGTATTTGTTACATTTTTCGTTCCTAGAGGCCGTAAGGGAGGTATCATTTGCACCTATAGTTTGATATTCGATATTCGCTATCTACCTTTCTGACGATGTAGAAAATATTGCAAGCTCTGAGAGTAGGGACAAATAATTAAGCCCCGTTTATGGAAAGATGCCACGTTGTCTGTGGAAACTTCTTGCGAATCCAAGCTTGGCTAAGCAATGGTTACCATCAGTCCAAATATTGATATCTAACAGCCAGCCTAATAACTAATACAAAATTGACAGACAAATTGCCTTCTGTACTTGCTGAAACATATGCTGTTTCGCAAGGCTTTATAAAATCGCAAATTTTAAAAATTTTTAAAAAGGAAGCCCATTTCAGAGAAAGAAAAAAAAAGCCACCTTTGATGCAATGCAAATATCTGGCCGTCAAAAGACTTTTGATGAGGTAGGTGTTCGACTTAGAAGTCTGCCATCTTGATATATCTCTCATAGAGGCGCTTAGAAGGGTCTCGAAGAACTCTCCATTTGTATGGCCCTCTGACGAGGTCCTTCATGGCACGTTCATTGTTTCCTCGAATAAATCCAGTGACAGCACTTGTCATAAAGTCGTGATTACCAAATATAATTTGGACGTATCGTGCATGGATGAAACCGGCGCATAACCGATTTCTGTTGTTCAGGAACCCGACCTAAGTGGATTACTAGTGGTTAGCCCTTCCGGGATAGGATAAAGAAAAGGGGTAAGTATACATACGTTATCTCCTCCATTTGCCCTCACGAGGCTAACAAGAACAACATCTCTATGTAATTGGTATTCTTCGAAAGACGACACTGATAAGCCATTCTCGATCTGATCTTGAAGGTCGTCGGTCAAAAGTTCTCGCTGGCTAGCATACGGCGTGAGAATAGCTATGTCTTGTAGAGGTATTCCTACTTTAGCCAAAACACAGCACATCCTTCGTATTGCGTCCACTTCTTTCATGTTGCTTTTTGACCCACAGTCAGCCTCGTCATCCTTGCCCTTAATATCGATCCAAAATCCCAGGTCATTGATATCAAATAATCTCTTGATTATTTGCCGATAGAATCCATCCTTTGGTAGGCTATGCACTCTGGGGTGGTCGTAAATAATGTAACTGTTCTCCTTAGGTGTATCTTGAATGTGGAATGTATTATCGCCCGGGAATAAAGGCTTCGGATCCTTAGAATTATCGCGGTACCATATTTTACGAATAGCTTCACTGATGGCTGGGTGTATCTCTCTCTGTTGCTGGAGTGAGGCAAACTGGTTCCATTCAAGGCGCATCAGTCTTTCAAGGAAGCTTAGCTGAGTGACTGAATAATCGGTCAAACTAAACGGGAGAAGGTGTCGAGTATCTCCAACTAACAGAATCCGCTCGAGAGTTCGGCTGAATCTGGTGATGGGAATTAGTGCTTGTGGCTCTGTGGCTCGCCCGGCCTCTTCAATTACGAGCATTGTCGCACCGAAGCTGAGTGGGACTTTCAATGCACTTTCCAGAGTTGTGAAGGCAAGGAGTGTGTTACTCCATATCTTTTTCTCTATCAACTCTTCAACCTCTCTAAGGGGGCCTTCTAGCTTCTTGTTAGTACACTCAGCATAACGGAGAGTCAACCTATCATTAATATGATCTTCCATCCAAGCCTCTCTTTGCTTCGCTAGTTTGGTTTTTGCAACAATGGCGGCTACAATTTCGTTCTTGTGGTCATGTTCCATCCTTGTAGATGGAATTCGGCTTTGAAGATAAACCACGTCCCCTCGTCGTGACTTTATCTCCACGAAATCTGCCATGGCCTCAATCAGTGCCTCGAGTGAAATATTCGTCGGCGCACATACCAAGATTCTCGAGTTAAGCTTCGAGGCTAAGGCCACTTTACAAACAACAGATGACAGATAGGTCTTTCCGGTTGACGGTCCACCACGAACTGTTGTAAGCAGTGTAGGCTCGTTATCATCGACAGGTGAGAGAGCCATGAGAGCCGCACTGCGTTGCTCGTCCTCCAGAGGAAACTTTTCGAGCTGTTCTATGACCTCCCTTGAGCAAGGCTTTGTATTCGCTAGTGGGTTAAACCCTAAGATAATACCGCAAAGATCAACCCTGGATTGCTTATCTTTGGCGGCCTCTATAGTCTTTTGAAGATTTTTCAGAATTAAATCCCGAGACCGCGTATTTTCAACCGGTTCGACCCTATGAGTGATAGTGTCAGTTTTTGGGTCCCTGTCCACTCTAGAAGCTACAACCTACCACATCACCTCTCTTAACTCGCATGGGAGATCTGGATCTGATATGCTCCGAAGAAATTGTTTAACATCTTCTCCCATTTCCTCGACAGATTGGACGACGAGGTTGTTTCGGAAATTGAAATCTTCCACATGCTGCGGAAGTGCAATCACCCGGAGGCCATGCTCAATTGGAGTATCTGGGGAGGAAAGATCGAACTCTTGCTCGTCGCGCAAGCGCATTTTCTCTTTAGGGTCTCCCGTCCACCTCATATGGATCTCTATTTCTCGGTCGTCGTCCAAAAGGCGAACCCAAGCCTTCCCCTTAAAGTATTCTCGAATCCGATTTATCTGGGAATCGTGTTCCCATTTGGCTGCAGTACTTTGTACATTGTAATAGTCACGGAGGCTGAAGAATCTTGACATTGATTTGTCAAAAATAGGGGTTTTTTTATCCGGACGACGGCGTTCAACTTTCTCGATTTTCATGCGCTTGAAGAATTCGCTCACTACGATTTTATCCTGGAATTTAACAGATATTAACACCCAAAGCGTACTTACCAAAACAGAAACTAGTTAAACTTACACCTGTACTAAGAACTTCACCAAAACAAAGGTCCAGAATTGTCGCCTTATTCAAGGCGTAGAAGGTCTTTACTACACTACTCTCCTTATCCAAGCCTTTCGGCGCCGTCAGCTCGGTCAGCTCGGGATCAATGATCAATGAGAGGACAGTCCCGTTGGGAGACTCGGTGAGGTCAGATTGTAGGATCGAGTCCTTGGTAAGTTCAAAAGAGATAAAGAATTTGATTCCCCTCTCGAAAGGTTGAACTGAAACGTATTTTTCAAGCCCAGGATAGGACCTGAGGGCTAATTTGAGAGTATTTAATCGAAAACGTTGGCCGTCTGCTGTTAGGGAAGGAACTGAGAACCAAAATTTCGTCGACTTTTTCTCCTGGTCTGGATCATCGAGGTTGGAAGCCCTGGCTGGCCGTTGGTCTCCATGCGCTCGGAATAATCCTTGGAACATATTTGGGGATTAGAAGGGTCGAAGCTAGAAAGGAGGCTTCTAGTGGAGGCTATGGATGGCGATATGACGTGATAATAATTAGGATGTCGCTGATGAAATGTAGAAAGATGTGAGGTTGTTGATGGCGAGAGGGCTGCGAAGTTATGTAAGTATGTTATATTGCATTGCTGCTGGGGAAAAGGCTTAGCTGGCCGCAGGAAGACTGTGCATGCCCGCACCAAACAACTCATCTACAATTCTATAGGGAAGTTTCAGGCCGTTGAACAGTGTCAAGACTCCTAGATCTTTAACCCAAGGCTAATAATCCATAACTTCGGTGCCCTAAAGCCAAGGCCAATACTACGTAGTCTTAGGAGATTCTTCAGCTAAGTATGGTATATATCACCGAGGGTTATGTGCACGTAGGTCTGCAGTCTGTCATATATTAATACGTAGCTAATGTCTAACTAGCTTACGGGACATATAATCAATAGTGACAGTCCTACAATATCGGCTTCAAAGTCGCATTTGCCGTATATTACGGTTATGTTTATGACGATAGTCAGATAGCAGGAGAACTAGAAGAGAACCCAACCTCACGTCAACACATAACCCTTCCAAGACCGTGTGGTATTTTTGCCTCCTCGATTGTCACGAAATTGGCGGGTGTGCCCCGCAGAACAAACGAAGAAGATGGTTAGCCGTTTGCCTATAATTGACCGGCTGTTCACAACCGAACGGTCGTATCCAGATGCACAAAAGAATCCTAACCAGGTTTATAGCCAAAAACCCTCATATTCAAAGTGTGGATACATGCGTCTTTATGCATGGCATTTCCTTCATTGCAGAAATTTGCAAAATGTGACTGGCAAAGGTAATATGAGAATACCGTTGAATTCTTGGTTTTCTCGATGCTAATATAACAGGATTCTCTAGTCTCTAACTCGACTGTCCTTTCTTTTTAAAACAAACACACCTTTGGCACAAGTCATGCCACTGACTAGGCCTATATAGGCTTTGCTGACACTAGTCCGGGGCATCCCCACAAAAGGGCTCCGTGACTTCCAGCTGCAGGATCTTCTGCCCAAAAAGTTGATTAGTCTGACCGAATTTCTGGCCGAGTCGACCGACAAGACGGATGTCACTTCGGGGAAGCTGTGGCTTAGTTCCGCGTGACAGCACCCTGTCATATCCGTGCCTTCGAATGTTCTTTGACGAATAGTGTGAGAAAGGGCGCCATGCAACTGCCCAGAAATACCCAGGGTAGCTGTAGGCTATTCTGGAGTGCAGGACCCATCACGAATGATATCGGGGTCGACCCATACGTAATATGTAACCGGCCCAACAGCGTGTTTTCTACTACCCAAAAGTAGGCGGCCCGAGCGAAACGAGACCACACACCACCCCCCAATTTTAAAAAACCTCGAAAATTTATTGACCACCTGAGGAGCTTAATTACCCGTTCGTGAACTATGCCTCCTTCCCACTTCTTTCATGTCCGCTTAAAGTGAATCATGACAAGTCTCTTCATTGCGACAACAACTGGATTCGAAAGGGGAGGGAGGCTGTCTTTTGGAACTCTAACCTCGTTAACTTCGTCCGTCCGGCGGACAAGAATGAATCAGCTAGAATGGCGGATGCAGAAGCATCAGCGATGCTCCCGGACGGCGGAGAGGACCAAGGCTTGACCAATTCACAACCCGTAGACCACGACAGCCCTCACTCGGACACTGGAGATCGCGAAGCCGGTATCACTTCGCCACAAGATAAGATTAGGAAGAAGCGAACGAGGCTGCGCCAGGCTTGCGATGCTTGCCGGTTGAGAAAGGTTCGATGCGACGAAGGGAATCCTCCATGCAAGCCTTGCCAGGCTCAGGGCCTGCTCTGCGCGTATACTCGGCTTCGGAAGAAACCAGGACCTCCGGTCAGGTAACTACAAAAATCTTGATCACGATATTTTGCCTTGCGTTGTATAATTATAAGCTGATGTCCCAAAAGGCGAACGAAGGATCTCCCGAGAGCGCACCCGGAACAAAATGGATTGGAAGCATCGCCAATGCAGATTTCAGATGTCACAAGTGCGCCTATACAAGTTTCAACTCCTACAACCACTACTAGGCTGGTATCGTTACCGCCGGGATCCGATCAGTCTGAAGGCGTTCACCGAGCTCACAGGACCCCATCCAATGCTACCGTCTTTTCGCCCTCGGTGGGGCAGTTTCCTGATGCTGGAACTTCAAGTTCGAGTGGCTTTTTCAGTGCCCTGTCCCCAGTGGTTACAAGCTCTGGCTCCTTCCCAGCGTTACCGGCCTACCGCATGGATATCACAACAGACTTTCTTCTTCCCAGAGACGTTCTGAGGCTATTGCTCAAAGATTTTTTCTATTACATTTACCCGCTCAATCCGATCGTTCATGAGCCTTCTTTTACCTCGGATTTCAATGCAAGACGAGACAAATCCGATCCTATGTTTTTATCATTGATATTTGCAATGTGCACTGTCACAATCATATCATTTCCGAGGAAGCTCCAGTCATACTGCCAAGGGCGGTATTATAATACTGCTATCCAAATGGCGGAACGTGCACACCGACTCGCTTTACTTGCCCGACCTGTGGATTACCTGGAAAGACTGGACGTGACCCTGCTTTCGTCTTTGTATCTCTTATCCTTGAGTGCCTGGTATTCGAATAACACAAACCGAGGCTCCTTCTACTTTGCGGAACTTTCGCTCGCGTTGACTATCTTGGAACGGTCCTCCCCATCTAGCCAGTTTAACAACCCGGATTTCTCCCATGGTTTCATGTCATCCAACAACTTGATTACCATGGAGCTAAGGAAACGTGTTTTCTGGATCACAGTCGTTGGAGAGATATCCCGATACTCCATGGAAGGAAAAATCAACTTGCCTTTGTTCCTCAAGTATAGCTCCGCGGATCTAGACCAGTTGTATCTGGATACCGTCCCGGCGGAGATCGATGATGCATTTATAACACCAACTACCTTCAACTTCGGCGCTGCCCGGATGGAGACTAAGATAAGCCACTTGGTGGGCTTCAACGCTTGCTCCAAAATACATCTTATCTACGCCAAATACGTAGCAACATGCCACAATGATGAAACCGGTGTCTGGAGATCAGCAGACCCGGAGATGAAGCGGAGAGTTCTAAAAACTTTCCTCAAAGATATGAAAACTGCTCTAGATTGGCTCCCACCTGATCTAAAGCTGGATATGAGAATGGCGGAGGCAAATGCTGGTACTGATGCAGATGGACTTCCGCTAGAAATGGTCCCTTGGCCAGCGAATGCAACTACGGATGGTGACATCTACGTCAGCATGCAGGCATTCTTAGGAAGGAAAACCCTATACCAGGCGGCGGCTGAGCTTCCAGATGGCATCAACATCCCTGACCCAGATCGCCATGAGATTTCCTACGAAGTGCAAAAGGCAAATCTCTACGTTACTCAATTGTATCTCTTCTCAATATTCCTATCCGACTATTCGCGTGTTTTAGCGGACCTATCACCTGGATCAGGTAAAATTAAACTCGTTAATCCTAACGAGGAAATTGACGTCACTCACGATACAGACTATATCTGTCGTGCAATGCTCGTTGTCATGAGATGCATTAAGTTCGAGCATTTAGAGCCGAACGGCCAGAGTATTGTATGTAGTTTTCTCTCCCAAATTACCAGCAGGCTTTGTGCTAACGCCTTCTTTACAGATTGCCAAAATCAGAATAATTGCGGCATCACTTCTTAACGATATTCGAAATGACATTAGCTACGGCCAACAACCTTCAACCCCATCCTCGACGTCGTCATTCGCAAACAAGGCCAGAACGGAAGCCTATCTTGTGGCATTCCTTGAATTGTTATCAAAACTTGCCGGCGAAAATAATGCTGAGGACCGGGGCTGGCTGCAAGGGCTTAGGAATGAGGCTAATGCCACCGCTTAAAATATACCAACAAAAACACATGGACGGGAAAAGTTAAAATCTTAAAATATATTCTTTATCATTATTTGCGTAATACCTATCCTTTCACATTTTTACTGTTTTGCTTGGAAGCCTTTTTTTTTCTTTTTCTATCTGTTTTGTTATTTTGATGCACTTATACCTGTGGAGGGCGTTCCGTGTACAGTAAATGTGGCCACGAGTTTTAATGATACTAATCCGGTGCATTGGTTTTAATACAAAAAAAATGTTTTGCATTATTGACATATGATCATATGACCGATTCTAGACTTTTTACAAATCAAGTGAATAGATGTTTAATTGCGTGATCTCGGCAGCTTAGATCCAGGACCATGCAGCCTTAACAGTGATCTTCCCGGCCGGTTTCAACTCATCCTGGACAGAGCTTGTACCAATTAAAACCTCATAATCCCCAGCTTCAACTACCCATTTCCCAGCCTCTGTGCTCCAAATACCAAGGCTCTTGTCATCGACAGTAATATTTGCAGTGGCCGTTTCTCCAGTGCCCAGGTGAACTTTCTTGAACCCCTTGAGTTCCTTCACTGGACGCTTGATCGACGATGTTGATGCTGGGCGCTTGACATATAGCTGAACAACTTCAGCGCCTGCGACATTGCTAGTATTAGAGACATCAACATTGGCTGTAAAGGTCTGTCCTTCAGTCAACTCAGCAGTTGATAACGAAGGCTCCCCAATAGAGAATGTCGAGTATGAAAGCCCATAACCAAATGGGAACCGAGTTTGAACATTTTCAGTATCGTAGTACCGATACCCAACCATCAACTTTTCGGTATACTCAACCTTTTGATCTCTACCCGGGAAGTAAAGGTAGGACGGGTTATCTTGTACTTTGATCGGGAATGTAAGTGGTAGCTTGCCCGAAGGGTTCTGTTTTCCGAGCAGAACATCCGCAATCACATGACCGGCCTCTTGCCCAGCGTACCATGCCTGAACAATAGCCTTAACATTCGAGTTCTCGGCCCATGGCATGTCGACTGGAGCACCACTTTGGTTGACGACAATAACATTCTGGTTGACCTTTGCGATTTCCTCAATCAGGTCATCCTGGTTATTTGGGAGCTTAGTGTCGGATCTATCATAACTCTCCGATTCCCACTCGTTGTTCAAGCCAACAACGATGACGACTGCGTCTGCATCCTTAACGGCATCCGCGGCCTCTGCGATCAATACCGCATTGTCGTAGACAGGTGCAACTCCAAGTCGGATTCCCAAAGCACCGATTTCCTCCATTGGTGGATCCCGTGGTGAATCCTTCGGCCATATAGAAGAATTATGGACAAGGATTGGGTACCACTCTCCCTTCTTCAGCTCGATGGTTTTGACGACTTCTTCGGATCCAACATTCATCATAAGGTTTCCTCGTTCCTTGAAATCCCAGTTGTCGATGAGAAGCTCTCCGTTCAGATAAAGTTTGGAGGCCGTGATAGTACTCAAGCTAATGTTGTATTTTCCATCTTCTGGAACGGATATCTGGCCGCTAAACCTGACAGAGAATTCCTCGGAGGGCGAGATGGAAGTCGGTCGAGAATCCCAGAGGAAAGCATTAGAAGTTTTGAAGACAGTAGTAGCGACGGGTTCACCGGTGGCTTCATAGCCACGGAACCATTCCAAGAAGAGACCAGCCTCTGAATCAGGGCCACCGACTCTACAGAATCCACCCTCGACATCAATATTTGGAACCCAACGGTCTAATTCGATTCAGTCAGCATGATCTATTGAGTTTATCGAAGAATTCATAGACTTAAGAGAATGTTTACCGATAATGCAGCCCTGCACCCATGGAACTTCAATATCTCCATTTATTTCTTTGATAGCAGTAACAAAGGTTTCGTACGGCTGGGTCAAATAATTCGGCTCTAGGTTAGCGGAACCACCACCTCCTGCAACAGTTGCCTTCGCATTCGGTCCGATGAAAGCAACCTTCTTCAGCGATCCAGGTTGCAGAGGCAAGGTTTTCCCTTCGTTCTTCAACAATACGGTACCTTCACCACCAGCCCTTCGAATCAGCTTTCCAGTCTCTGGGTCGTTTCTTGAGTATTCAGGCGCCTCGGGTGTCATATCCTTCCATTTTCCAACCTTAGCGATCAATGTCAGAATCCTTCTTGCGGAATCATCAATCGCCTTTCTAACACTCTCGTCCTTTTCTGCCGCTTCGACAAATTCCTTGATTGGTCTCTTCCTTGCCGGTCCAGGCATTTCAAGATCTAGTCCGGCTAGCAGCGACTCAACCATCGAGTTGCATCCAAACCAATCCGACATAACCAATCCTTCATAATTCCACTCCCCTCTTAGCACCTGCTTCAGAGTCAATGGGTGTGAATCGCAATGAACACCATTGATAATATTATAGGCTGTCATAATCGCCCATGGTTGGCCTTCTCTCATAGCAATTTCAAACGGCTTCAGGTAAATCTCCCTCAACGTCGTCTCATCTATTGTCTCATCGACATAAAGGCGCCAAGTTTCTTGCTCGTTAGCAACAAAATGCTTCATCGTTGCCGCGATACCCCTTGATTGAACACCGCGGATATATCCCGATGCCATCTTGCCGGATAACAATGGGTCTTCGCTATAGGACTCGAAGTTCCTGCCACCGAGGGGTGATCTATGGCAGCATGCGGTGGGTGCAAGCAGGACGGAAGCGGATTTCGCCCTGACTTCCTCGCTGAGAAGCTCTCCGGTTTCGTAAGCCAATTCCGGGTTGAAGGTAGCTCCCATCAGGATCCCAGATGGGAAGAAAGCTGCCTTTTGACCCCCGCTGAAGGTGTCTCCTCTCGCGCCGCTTGGGCCATCTAAATATACATGTGGTTAACGAGCTGCTGTTAGTTTAGAAGGCAAGGGTATGGCAGTAAGCGTACCTGAGACTTTGATAGAAGGAATCTGCTTCTCGGGCAGAGGAACTGTTCTCCAAAAGTCCTTGCCAGCAAGAAGGGAGATCTTCTCTTCCAGCGTAAGCTGGGCCAATGTTTCCTCGATCTCCTTCAATGTGGTGGCATCCATCTTATATGCTTAGTCCAAATATAACCTCAATATGTGGAATGATATATATAAAGAATGTTTACTGAGTATCGAAACTTTTGCCGACTCTTTTTTGTTGGAAGTTATGTCTGCAATCTAAATCTCAACGAGGCCGAAAGCATCTCTTTATATACTTTACATCCCTCCCCTTCTCCGCATCATGGCATCCCCACTATAACCCATCACCCGCCTTCTCGGAAGAATTCAAACCCTGATCTGAAGGAAACCTTCCATGAAATAAGACATCCGTCGTAGCTACCTAGTTTTGCCGCCCGTATGCTTATGCATGTGTAGTACCATTCGGCTCTTGAGTGGGCTCTCCAAGCCCTAGCAATTGCGAAGCAAAAGGCTCTTTTTTCCCACGGTATCAATCCGAACTGTGGAGAGACGGATGTCTTAGCTACCAGGGTAGCCTTTTCTGGGGTAAAAAACAGGTACCATCTATTATCATATGTACAGATTTTAGGTGTGTCCTAATGCAAGATGCATGCATATATATTACCCAATCCATAGCTTAGCTTAGCTAGTCGCGGAACGTCGCTTTTCTTCCCACGGTTCCTTCAGCTTTTACGGGTGGTCTGCTCCCGGATCCGAGAAGGCATGTCGGATACACCATCGCCTTGCTTCAGTGCATGTGCATATGTCCACATTAACTTGATGGTGCATCGAAGGAGCTCAAAATATAGTTCACATGGAGTTCATGGTAGCTAGCCATGCACTAAGAGAGGTATTTAGCCGAAGTCTCTCCGCAGCAGACCTGCCGCTGGAAAAAAAAAGACACAAAAACAACACTACACTCGGGAATCCTTGACGCTATTTTGACGGTGTTAACGGACTGAAGCTTCCTGGAATTATTAATACATTCGATAGTTAAATCCAATTCGAAACTTTGATCATTATTAATTCGGACTTAAAGGATATACAATAATCTCCAAAGGATATGCTTAATAATTCAACAACTGCTCTTCGGGGTCGTGACTTTTGTACATATATACAGAGAACTGTTATTGTCGACTCGGAATAGGTAAAATCCCACACCTCTACTACCACCATAGTTATCTACACCCTATATCCATCCTTATGGTTGGCATTGAGAGTAGTAAACGTTTGTCGATACGCACTTTCCTGATGCGCAGTTTGTAGGTCCGGTCCAGCCAAGTCCGCCACACTGGAAATCTAAAGTTAGCTATGCTACTACATCTCGGGGACGTCAATAAAATCACAAGAAAGCCTAACGTACCTGGCCCCAAAGAGGTGCACTAACACCCGGTCCGTTAGTTGTAGCGGCGGATGAGGTAGTGGTAGCACGAGTAGTGGAAGCTGTGGTAGTAGCGGCTCTGGTAGTCGATGGGGTAGTGGTCCTCACGGTAGTCGCTGCGGCGGTTGTGGTTGTCCTAGCAGTGGTGGTACTCGATACTGGGCCGCTGCCACCGCTGTAGACGGTTGGTCCTGGGAGTGGGTAGCTGCTGAAGGACCTGTAGAGATCCCAGTAGATACCAGGGTCAGTTGGGCTGTATGCTCCTGGTAGGAGGACACCGGAGGGTGTGGCCGAGCCACCGCCAGTGACGTTAACTTGAGCAGTGTTAGCAACTTGAGCATTCGAATGTAACCCTTTCCTATAGATCGAAACATACTTTGATAACATGTAATATAAAATTGCGCTCCGTTTGTCTGGAAGGCGGCATGGAGGGCGATAACTTCGGCGCGGACCAGGTAGTTACCAGGCGCCAAACCGGCTGGAATAGCGACATTAACTTTACCGCAACTGTTAAGAAACCGTATGTTAATATACTCCCTTTGGTTTTATTCCCATCAGTCCTTCAGCCAACATACTTATCGTTCATCCTGTCAGTTGCCCAGTATCCTGCATTGTATCCAGAGATCAAGCCCTCGGCATAAATCTTAAACCAAGGCCCAGAGCCGTCGGCGGTGGTGGCATCACCAACTTTTTGCTATTCCTTAAGTTAGTATGCGACCTAGACATTCCACACTCTACGGGGCCGGTATAGCTAACATACCATGTATACTTGAACCGGTCCGTGATGCGCGCCTCCGATGGCCTCGACACTGCAGCTCTGATCTGCAGCACTGTATGTAGGGTGCATCTCAACAGTGATAGTGCCACCAGCTGGAACAGAACAGACCCCGGAAACACCATTGGAACCTCCAACATTACATCTGATGTCGTTTGAGCTGACTAGGGTGACTGGGAAGTTTGCAGATGGGCCTTGAGGCAATCGAATACACGAAGTTCCTTGGTCGACGCCATTAACAGCCAACTATTCGAATATCATTTAGCTATTTCTGTAGGTGATACTGCCAGAAAATCCCGAGCCATTCTAAGAAGATCAGATTTATATCAGTGGGGTTTATGTTACCTTTTGGAAGATAGCATGTGCAGACGCTCCTGCGACTGAGGCAGCGGCAATGGCAAGACCTGTTGCCTTCATCTTGTAGATACGTAATAAAAAGTGCGTATATTAAATTTTAACAGTACAAGGCTTTAGGGAAGAAGATGAGGAAACGACACTGTCCTTCCTTGCAGATGATGACCTCTGATGTCTTCCCGCTGGATATCCTCCACATATATTTCGCAGTTATGTCGGGGATCCATTTACTTTATATATTCATATCCCCATTCCTCTCAAAATTCTATGGCATGATGTAACCCGTGATCTTTGGGCTTCAGCAGGGTCTAAATCTCGTTTCACCGGAACAAAACACCAACGATCCGATAGAGATCACAAACGTCAGTGCACCTTGAAAAGAAATGTCCGAATTGCACGTCCCTTTATTCCGCGATTTAAGCTTACAGGACCCAAAGATGGGGGGGGATGCATTCAGCCGACATGGATTCCTCCAACAAGAACCTGCATAAATCTTGTTTGGATGGTCTGATCTTTGGTAAGTGTCTATATGGGTGTTGAACCGGTGACAGCTTCCGCTATTTAGCCGGTACGTTCGTTCCATGGTCCGGGGCTTGGATTTGTTGTATCTTTGGGATGGGGATTTTCCACGTAATAGACAAACTTGGGTGTATCGTTTCAAGTTGATGATTTTACCCTAGGATTTGGGACTGGAGTAGTATTTGGGCACATATTTTTTGCATCTAGTGGATTGGTGATATATTGCTAATCTCTCAAACACGGGTGAAAATTTCCTTCATGTATATAATATCCTTCATGATAAAAATTCAGCCACGGCCCTTGGGCCTTGTAGGTGTTTGAAGATGAAATCGCACTATACATGGTAGAACAAATGAAACCACCCTCTGTAATGCTAACCCTTGACTTAAAAGCATTTGTCCTCCACCTAATAGTAACAGATGTCTATACATCTAAGATTTTAAGCTTGGAGCTGATGATGTACGTCTAGCGCCATGGCACTCTCTTCGGTCACGCGCTTGACTATTTTCAGGGTTTGAGCAAGGCAGACACTGACACAGGTTGAGACAAGCAATTCGGTGAAAATCTTGTGAGTTTTTAGCGACGGTAAAAGCTGCGATATCCTTAAGCCACACCAGTTGACCCCGGGCACATAACAGGCTCCAGCTTCAAGGGATACAGGATCGGGAAAAATAGGATAATAGCCGAGATGGTCGACCTAAAACAAAAGTGTCATATTAAAACATTAAACGCCATGCATACCACTTCATAGAGTTATTTTACAATATCCATGCACCAGACAAACGCAATAAAAAGAGAGATGCTGCACGCTGAAGTGAGTGTGTTTACCCTCCATTTAAGACGAGCTAGGTCCTGTCCAGGTGTTCGCTTTTACGATCAAAGGAACATTTCGACAACCAAAACCGTTCCCGTTGTAGTTTCATATATGCCCATATAATTCATACTCCTCATGCTAACTTCCTCGATACGGATATCAATGGGACCTTTGGGAACAGGTGGGGGTAGAATGGGTGCCACCGGAACAGTCTCAACAACCGGCTGCGACGACGACCTTCCCCAACCCCATCTTGACTTCTTCTGTGGAGGTGGCGATACTGGCTGAGGGATGACCGGTGGTGGGGGTGGTGGTGGGTCAGGAAGCTGTAGGCGGGCTTTTAGCTGCTTCGTGAGTTCTTCGATGACCTGTCTCTGCGTCAAGAACTGAACAGTATTTCCAAGGCCCTGCAGCCGAACAAGTTTCATATAGCTGAATTGTGAGATATTCGATGTTGAAAGGCTGATGATTTGGTCATCAGGTGGCGCTATTTGTGGACTAGTATCGTATTCACTAGAATACGGTGCCTGTCGGTTTTGGTTCTGGAGGGTGACACTATTGGATGGTACGAGAATGAAAGCCCCATTATAGATACCAGACGTAGCTTGGCCTTCTACAAGAGGTAGAATATGCTCCATAAGCAAGTTCGTAAGTCTGTCTTCTACGGCCAAAGCAATTTTCTGCTGGATCGTCAATGGATCAGCCTGGATCTTCCCAAAACCAATAGAGCCACTGTATGTCGTAGAACTCCCGAAAGGTGCTACGGATTCATAAGTGGGAGGTCTTGAATCTGGAGAAGCAGAAGAGTGTGAAGGGCCAGCAGCCGTGCTTGGAGAGCTAACTGATGGATTTCTTGACATAAGTTTGAATTTCAAGTGTTCCGGGATTGGAACTTCCATCGCCCGAAAGGTCTTGAGAAGCTGGTCAAGTTTGCCTTCATCGCTATCGTCTATTTCCCCAGTTTTTAGATATTCGATCAGTGCATTGAAATCCTATGAATAGCCAGTATTTAGTCGAGGTCCAAGTATAAATATATAAGTACATAGGCTCGGTATATATATATCTACGGTCCAGAAACAAAGTCTAGGGAAACATACATCGAGGGGACAGTCGATCGTCGCAGTCTCGCCCGGGAGACTGTAACTAGCAATATCAGCAAGTTTGCTGTACGGGCATTTATCTAGTATTATGTCTTCGGAAAGGGTAACTGGTGTCCCTTGGACCAGAAAGGTAACCATCCTGGCAGGATATGGCGATGAGATAGTATCCTCCATCGGTGTTGTTGTTGTTGTCGCTGTCGGACACCAGACGTCAGAATATAATTATACTTTCGGGAGAGCTTTTGAGGCAATATCCGGCGATGACTCCGAGAGATGTTTTAAACCTTCGAGATGGAGATCGCCTAACTCAGAAGTCGAAAGGAGACTCGAGTCTGGGATTTCGTGCGAGAGACTCGGTAGGGGCTTTGACAGGTTGCTTGTGCGTCTCAAGGTTAGTTAGAGACAAATGAATCCATGAAGATTTGACAAGAGCAAAGAAACCGTCGGTGTTTGAGATTCTAAAGCTCCGATGCGAAGGAATTCTTGCATCATAAACCATGTGACTCTACCAGCATAGCATCGTTTTCGACTCAAAGGCTTATGATATGATCTAGGGGTTTTGATATTGTCTTCACAGACCTAGGTCACTTACTTTGGTATCAGGTGGGGTTGGGATGAACATGAACGGTGTTTGTCCCGCCCCGATCAGGATTGGGGCTGAGCTTAGCGAAGGTTGACCGTTTGCCGGCGAAATCAGATCATGTAATCCCGTGGGATTCTTCTCTCAGGACTTCATTCCTCAGAAATTGTAGTTTAAACACTGGATAACGTTACCCTATTCAGGGTGCGATGCCTCGCATATGCCAGCGAGAATTTACTTGCAAGAGAGTGCACTTTATCGCAAGGCAAGACCATGTATATCAGGGCCCGAATAACATTCTTCAGGCCTTCTAATTCGATACAAAATGTGTATTTTTACTCACATAATAGGCAGTCAAATATCGCAGTTGCTTGCAGGCGCCTGTTAAGAACCGGTTTTGGTTGCGAGCTATACGATACAGCTGTACACACCGAGAGACCCATCCAGCTGTGGGGCAGTGCCGAACTACCCAGCGCGAGCTCTTTGGCGAACAAACTCAGCCTTGTGAACAAACTCCACGGAAACCTTCTAGGCGTGAATGGGAACGTGAATGGAAGTTTAAGGGTGAGCCTCATTTTATTAGGCCGCTAACGAGCGAGGGTTTCACTCCGTACAGCCCAGCTAAACCACACTGACTTAGCAGGCAAACCCGATTTGGGATCGACTTCCATGACATGGGCAAATACCGGAACAAACTGTGCATGACTCCACAGCGACCCAATTGTTCGCTTAAGCAAGCCTTAGGCTTCATACTGATCTACGAGGCTGCCATTATCAAACTCTCTCAAGATCAAGACGAGACATCAGTTCGAATGGCTGGTATATGGAGGATACGAACCAAGGTTAAGGTTCAAGAGCGAACCCCCAGCCAAGTCGGCAGTGTTCCAGCGCTGTCTGGGATGTTTTCTTACTTAAGTCGGTATGAGTAATTTTAAGTCGATCACCGTTGTGAAGGTTCCGAGTTCCGATGATGCAAGTGCGCAGTACTATGTATGCTAGTATGCCTAGAGAATTAGGTCAACTGGGCGTGGAGTTTCAAGGGCAAGCAATAGCGCAGCTGATAACTCGCGCGAACCAGGCAAGCGGCAACCTAATTAACAAGTATCAATCAATGGGGCGTTGCAATTGGTGTCTTGAGAATCCAAATTGCAAATTGCCCAGAAACAGGCATCGATTGTGACAGGGAAACAAAGCGAAGCAAAAGGGTCCTTTCGTTTTTAAGCCTCGTGGACTTAGCGGGCGGGTGGTTCCATTGAGGTGCCATTTCCCAAATATAAATATCGGACCCCGCACCAAATCCTGAACTTGGTCCTACAATCAATCCGATCCATCAAACGTTAGCTTGACTAAGTATTAATCCACAACGAGGAAACTCAAATCCGACAATCAAAGCATTCACGAACCTTTATCCCTACTTAAGCACTTAAGTAGTTCTTCGCCCTTCACCGTAGATAGTCGTCGCAGGCAGGAAGCCATCCACATCTCATCCCGCCACCGTCAAGATGCTGTGGTATCATATTTCTGAGGTTTGTCTTTGTTCCATTGCAATACCCGTCTACCCTCAGTTGGCCGGTTATGCGGCCGACGCCCTGCTGGGATTCCCCATCAGTTGTCAGGGGACCGGCTGCCGATCGCCCAAAATGGGTGTTTTCCTACTTCCCGTTTTTAGTGTCACCATATCCAACACGGCAACGCAACTATTTGCAGAGCCGGCCAGCTGTTTGGTTTAGACCTAAAATTAGTTTCAAGTTCATTGCTGACAAATATCATTTGTATAGCCAAACCAATACCTCGCCCTAACCGGTGCAGGCATCGATGGCGTCAAGATCGCAAAGAAGGCGTTTGTCCTTCCATTCCAAAAAGTCACCCGGATATCAATCACACCGTTCGACTTCAGCTTGCAGCTGCAGGCTATGACAATTGAGAAATTGTCTTTTGCTCTGCCAGCGGTCTTCACAATTGGTCCCTCGGATGACCTTCATGCCCTCGTGAAATATGCCACTTTACTCACCGGTGGCCGTGACGGCACCAAGGCCTCCGGCCAGTCGCACGTCCAAGATATCGTCAAGGGTATCATTGAGGGTGAAACCCGTGTGATCGTCTCCGGTTTGACTATGGAAGAAATTTTCAGAGAACGTCAGATCTTCAAGCAAAAAGTCATCCAGAACGTCCAGGAGGAACTTTCGCAATTCGGTCTTAAAATCTACAATGCCAACGTTAAAGAATTGCAAGACTCTCCCGGAAACCAATATTTCTCTTCTCTTGCACAGAAAGCCCATGAGTCGGCTATCAATACCGCCAGGGTTGATGTCGCCGAGGCAAGAATGAAGGGTGAGATTGGTGAGAAGGAAAAGCAAGGTCTTACCAAGCAACAAATCTCCAAGATCGAAGCCGAGACTTCCATCAGGGAGACTGAACGTAAAAAGGAGAAGGCTGCCGCCGAAGCCGACTTCACGAACAAGCAAACCGAGTTGGATAGAGATATCAAGCTCGCCAGGATCAGCGCCGCCCGTGCCGCAGAAGCTCGCGATGCTGAACTTCAGAAGGATGTTGAGGCGAAGCGCGCAGCTACAGAACTTGAGAGGCTTCGTGCCACCGATGTCTCTAAGGCTATGGCAAAGAGGGAGACCGAAAAGGAAGCCGCCGATGCAAAGTTCTACACCCAGAACCGAGATGCAGATGCTAAGTACTACACCAAAAACAAGGAGATCGAGGCAGCCTGTAAGTTCTTAGAGTCAATAAATTTCTTCATATTGGGCATTATACTTACCAACCTTTTGATAAATAGACCTCCAGGCTACCAGAGCAGCCGAAGCCAACTACTTTGCTCGTGAGAAGGAAGCTCAATCAAACCTTATCACTCGTAAGCTCGAGGCCGAAGGTATCAGCGCTTTGGCAAAGAGTTATGCAGAACTCGGCCAAGCTTTGGGCGGCAGCGATGCTTTGCTCAAGTACTTGATGCTCGAGAAGGGAACTTACGGCGAACTTGCCAGGGCGAACGCAGAGGCAATCAAGGGACTTCAACCCAAGATCAATGTTTGGACCACTGGTCCAGCTGGCGAAGGTGGTGCTGGAGACCCAAGTGCTGCTATCCGCAACATTTTCCAGACTTTGCCACCATTGTTCTCCACCATCGAAGATCAGACTGGTATCCGACCACCAAACTGGATTGCTCAGGTCCCCCAGACCAATGGTGGACCCGCCGAGAAGCAAGTTGCTGCTGCAGCAAGAGGAAACTAAACTTTGAAAAAATCATGACATTCTCTCGTTTTGAAATCTTTTCCTTTTGTTGTCGAATCTTGCTTTCTCGGAATTCTTCAGGTTTCATTCATGCAAGGTGGCGTTAAATCATTGGATGGTTGTTATTCAATTACTCACAGGTCCTAATCACCGTTTTTCCTTTGTTCTCAGTTTTAGTTCCTTTTTGTTATTCCGACAAGGTTTCGTATTCAGGCTCGCATGTTTTTGTTCTCTGCGGGGTGGAGTTATGTTCAAGGAATGAAGTGTGAATTATCACATGTTTCAACGATTCCTTTTTTTTTTTTGGTTCTCGAAATTTTATTCCAGAGTAGTAACTTGTAAACAGGTACCTAAAAATGGGAACATAATTATTCTTTTTCTTCAATTCATCATCAGATCCTCAAGAGCAAATTGATGTCATTCGATCACGAGACAAGTAGAAGCCAGCCGGTCCCGGAACAAACGGTTCTAAGATATACCCTTGAAGTATCTAGCTGGCGGTACCCGGTCGTAGATATGGGTGTTCAGTCAATTGACCTATTCCGGACAGTAACATGAGAGTGTGTGGATTCGAGGCTACATGAGAGTGAGGATGTATCTACGTCGAATGTTCATAAACTTGATTCTGCTTCCGGCCGGCCGCCCCGATCCATGTCGGTACATCACATTGCAAAAAGTACTTACATCTTATACGGATCAGTATTTTGCCTAACTCTCAAGCTTCAATTGGCGGCCGATTCCGGATCAACGACAGAAACTTAACACGAAAATAGGCGGACAAACTATCATCAGTTTTTATTCAAAGATTTTACAAATTCCGAATTTCCAGAAAGGAAACAAGAAAAAAAAACAAAAGAGAGAGAGGGAAGGGCGGAAAAAGCACTACTGTATTTTAATATAGCCGGTGTTCGGGAAAGAATACGATTTGTCCGGATTATTCGAGGGGTGAAGACTGGTAGTGGGACCCTACCCTAGAAGCGAGGGCGAGATGGTGCTCAAGGTACTCTATTGGACAACATCAGATCTCATCCATTTTTGGCAATTTCCAACTACTTCTCAGCGGGGCTTGCAGGAGGGTCAAAGGTGGGGTGGGATCTTTGAGGATCGATAAAGGCAATCAATCCGAAGTTTAACGTTTCTGGAAGCATCGGGTCGTCACCCGAAAAGGCAGAAGACATGCAGATATCAGAGTGAGGAAGACCTGGTCCTGTACATACATACATAGTACATACATACATACATACTTACTTGCTTAAGTACATACATACATGCGTACATACATGCGTACATACATACATACATACAGAACATTATATGCACTGTACTATGCATTGCGGAGGAATGGAAGTCAATTGAAATTTCAACTTGGAGTTCTCATCCATGTTACACAAGGGATCATATTCTTCGCAGTTCAATAGGGTAAGTGAGGTTAGAGATGTTGGGAAGGCAGACGAGACACACTGCTCTCTTGTGATTGGATGGGGATACAGGCCCGATGAGATGGATCCATGGAGGGGAGCCCTTCTTTTTTTTCTCTATCACAACTTCTCAATGTCACCATTAGTGGTGAGTACTAATATTGCGAGGTTTCCGGGATGGTTTTTAGGGGGGGTTGCTGGTCGCAATTAGAGGGTAGCTATGGAGCTGTACGTACAGCTGTCAGACCAGAACACTGACCAGCATGTGAGATGTGAGGAGGCTGTCAACCCCTCGCGGTTGAAGAGCGTTGCATCCGAAGAATGTTCAAAACGGTAGACCGTGACCTGAGATTCTCGAAGTGGGTGCGTCGTCATGAGACATGTGGACCCGGTGCAGTTCAGTTCAGTTCAGTCCAGCGCTGTGTTGTGTGGTAGCTCATTCATCCATTCATTCCAGTGTAACTTACTCAGAATGTTATGGTTGCACAAGGCAAGGAAGCGGATGAGCTTCCTAGCTTCCACGATTTGACGACCCCCTCCGAGATCTCAGATATTCGCTGTCAGCCATTGGCCACCTTGGTACACGAAGATCACAAAAAACACATTCTAGTATACGAAGATCACGAACATATTGGGGAATAGGACGAAACGGAGTCACTTCGGAGGGATTGTGGGTTCAAGGGATTCTCTCCCGGCGAACCTTGATTTCTTGGGCTCGGAGAGGGGAGTGTCCTTCTGAATTTAATCCGATTATTCATGTTCTTGGTTTTGCAATTGATCGGATGTTTCCCGAGGCTCACGCGAAACACAGCTTCGATGCTTGGTAATATTGGCCGTTCTTAGATCACTCGAGCTCAAGTGCTCTCTTGCGAAAATACTTCAGCAATTAGAAGCGATGCCTTGCATTCCTTTGATAGTTCGGGACAGATACTCGGATTTAAGACATGCAGATAGCCTCGAGAGAGAAGAAAAGAAAAATCATTGCATTACCCATGCTTCACATAAGCATGTATTTCAGCTGTGGCGCCGTGACAGAATATAATTGTGAGCCGGTCAATCCAATGATATAGCTGGACAAGCTTGCTCTTATGCAGTTTCTTGGATTTCGATCCCGAACATGTGGAGAGTGCTGACAGACCACATTTTTTTCATGCCCATCCAATGGTTGGGAAGGTTTAATGCAGCCTGCCCAGGAAAATAATCCTTGGTTGCCGCTCGCGGTGCGGTCACGTCCGCGAACCGTGGAAGCTCGTACCGAGAGCAAACGGTCAACCAGGAAAGCAAGCATGGAGAACGCACATAAAGCAGTACATGTACTTCCATGAAGATATCGTGCCGTGGATAACGCCTCGAGATTGCAAGAAGGCGGAGCATGAAGATATGAGATTGCATTGGATGAGTAGCACATTTGAAATATGCAGGCTGCGGGTGATTATGGCCTATTCTGGCCGACGCTGGGTCCGAATACCGATCCTTCCTCTTGATATCATAATATAGAGGAAGCGTCGTTGCGAAGGGAAAAAATATTTCAGATGATCAATTTCACACTTGCATGCAGAGTGCAGCAGGATCGGGGCTGTTCGTCCAATAGGACTCCCTCAACAAGGCATCTTTTTCACCCCAATATCGTACCAAATGAGCAGGGTCACGACATTTCAACGTTGCTATTTTGCTACTCCGTTGAGCGTCGACGATGGCAATGGTTGGATTGTTGAAAGTGGAGAAGGCGGGAACACCAATGCATATTTTCTCGTATTAATTAATTTGGGACACAAGCCCTCTGCACGGTGTCGACTCGTTCATACCAAGCTCAGCATCCCCATGCATATATGCGGTAAGACTGCAGAGCCCGTCTGAATATTCGTTTTACTCAAAAGCTTTTCTTTCGCAGTTTCCGAGTGCGACCGGCCGATGTTGAGCCTCGTTTTGAATGCAACATCTGAGGTCTTTAAGATGCATGTACTGTACTGTACTAGGTATATGCGTAGGATTACTTTTTGGAGGTGAGGCGACAAGGAGGCCCCGTTTTCGCTTATGAATCTATTTCAGGCGCTTCGAATTTTCCGCAAGAATATCCACGATAACCGACAGAATAATCCGATCGGGAAAGATGCAGCTGTCCCCCAGGCCTTTTGCAGTGCTTCTGGAAGGCTGCATGTTTAAGCTGTGAAAAACAAAGCAACATGAGGCCCAAAAAAAAAAAAAAAAAAAAAATGGACGAAGGAAGGAGGTTGGCAGCCGCCCTTCAATTCGATATCATATCACGTTAGAAGTCTGTGCCACGTCCGGCCTAGGCCTCGGTAGTTCGTCAATTGCCTACTTATTCATACATAATACAGTATATCCTGCATTAGATAGAGCTAAGCTAAGACCATGTAAGTACGGGGCCTGAACCTTTTACTCCTGGAAGGAAAAGATCGAGAACTTAGAAAGATACATACATATGAAAAAAACCCCCCTTTTTTCGAGTGAGGAGAGGATAGTGCTTTGATTGCTATACAATGCTAGTATGCGTATAGTATAGTACGGTATACTATACTATACTAATATATGCACATATCTAGCTCCTGACCGGAAGTAAGGGGAAGCATTGATTATCGAATTCAAGCTCGTAATTAATCAGGAGCACGTACCTTACTATCCGGTCCTGTGATAGCTTAAAATTCCAGATGAAGCCGTATCTGTGAGGGGTTGCACAACGGACGGAGAGAAATCGATAGTTCAATGCAAATTCTATGATCCCTTTGTCGATGGCGGGGCGTGCATACAGGCGCCCAACTTCTACACGTTTGTGCATGACTTTCCCGCCTATTACATCATCTTACTGCTTCAACATTCTTTAAATAGAGAATGAGTTCGGACGAGAAGCAGGCTGCAGGTCTGACAGCTTTTATTTGCCCAATTGACTCATTTTTTTCCGTGCCAATTGCGCCAGTTGACGACCAAGGACAGGCGTACATGTAAACATATATCCAGTGCATAAAGGCTTCACGTATACAACCATAATCTGAGCAACTATATACTAAATACACACGCACATATGTACTACGTACATACCTTACGTACATGCCGCAGGTTGGTCAGATGATCATAATCTTTATGCTGGATGTTGGGGATGACAACCATGCTATGCATACACCGGCCTCATATTCACTGGCCAAACTTCAAACCACATATCGCTTAGACGCTAGGTTACAGGCCTGGCTGGCTGGCCATGCCATGGGCCTAGAGCCAACGCAAAAGGGCCTGCAAGTCTGTTCGACACTAAAAACGACATCGATGCAGAGAAGATTCGATTACGGGCGTTGGAGCCGGTTTGCATGAAGCTAAAAAACATGCCTGCTCGGGGGCGCTGGTCTCCATAATCTCCACGTGGAAACAGAAAAAAGGAAGGCTAACAAGTTAACCTGCTAGCACATAGTAGCAACTTGAGTTTCAAAGTGGGGAGATCAGTAAAATGCGGTGGTAAAGAAACCTAAACATATGGGTCCGACGACTAAGCCATCTTTCGATGCGAAACGATCTGGGTATAGTTAGCTAGTTCGTTTTGCAGTTTCGGTCTTTCCCTTTGTATAGCAGGTATGTCTGAACCCACGCCGATGGCACAGCATGGTGCATCCGAGCTCAGCTGATATCATCGAATCTTATTACACCCGGAGAAAAGAATGGCGGACGCCAAAAAAGTTTACCCCTCGGCTGGTTTCCTAAGCTAAACGATTTGGGCTTATCGCGAGATTCTATTCCGAAAATTTGCTGCGCTCTGGACCAGCCCACCAGAATCGAACCAGCTGAAAGGCGATCCATTTGCGGTGTGCGGCGCCATTCCCTAATCAATCCAACTAATGGAAAGATTCGGTTGCATTTGATTGTAGTTGAGAGGTTGAGTGAACGGGCCGAACGGAAAAAGCAAGACGTCGACATCACTGGAAAGCTTGGCTTCATTCAGAAGAAAGCCGAACAAGGATCGAAACCTTGGACTCGGTTGCAAGGCCAATTTTCCTTTCTTCTTCCATGATTCCAGCCAACGGGATACGCTACCGTTCTTATGGATTTGGTAAGGTTCCTCTTTGAAACCTCTGAACCTTTTTGCGCTGCTTTACTATTAGTGAGGAACCGCTAATCAGAGAAAAGAAAATATTATGAGACTTCACTAAAAAAAAATATACCATTGATTGACATTAATAACAAGGTCTCCGCCAGGCACAGATGTGTGTGCTCCCTCGGCTGGTATTACTACATTGTTCGACGGTCTGTTTTGTTTCCCAAGCGTCTACCGGTAGCGGAACTGGGCTGTCCGGGAGGCTCGAGGATGCATAGGAGTGCTCACCCGGCCCGGAGACATTTTTTTCCATTTCGTCGATGCCGGACCTGGCAAGCGCCGGCATGTGAGCTCGCGACAATGCAACGTACGGTGTCTACGAATCATGACAATAGACGGAGACGAGAGCCAGGCTGAATTGAATTTAAGGAGATCTAACCTCAATTTAGCCAATCTGATTTGAAAGTGTTTGAGGCAGATCTTAGTTAGATCGCCAGCTAACTAATACAATACTCTGCTGAACCTGAACCCGAATCTGAGGAAGTTTTATTTTATTTTACTTTTTAATCTTTTTCTTCTCCCTGAACTAGGGAAAGAAGAAATTAGGCCCGTATCTTTGGGAAGGGGAATGACTGGACTGGAAAACGCCATGGAGCCATAGATTGGCTTTAATTGCTTGCCCCAGGCTTTAGTAGGCTGGTGTTAAGGTTCCAGTCCAATGGTGGGCAACGGTCTAGCTTTCACACCGCGGAATCGGTAGAACAGAGCACGCGTCAACGGCTACTCTTCCGGGTGTCTTGACCCTGATCGGTGGCGGACTGAAAAAACCGTTGACCAGGTTGTATCAAAAAACAGCCCACCACAGTCCAACCGTATCCCGCTTGAGCAGTTTCCGGTTGTAGGCCCAGCTAACTAACAGAGACCTTTGATGAGGATAGCTCGATATCATTGGCTTTCAATCAATTTGAAATTAACCACATCTTTGGGTCCAATTCGATTCGCATGGGGTTACTTTCCCTTCCTTTCTCTCGTTGATAGTGCCGCTCATGTAAGTCCTAGCTGGGTCAATGCTTTCTTTTTCAAGCCTTGCGACGTCTTCGACCAGGAACACTGGTCGAGGTTGCTCCGGGGGGATGTGCATCCCAGCCTTTGCGATGGGCCCGACTAGGTCAGGCCGTAGCACAACCTCTTCGTCATTGTAAGCTCTCCTTGCTTCAACAGTAAAGTAAGCTTGCAGTGCACTCTCTCACACGGTTTTAGCACTATCTTTTTTCTGTTATTATGAAACTTTGAGTTCTTATTTTCTTTTTTGCTAGAATGCCTTTCATATCGTGGCATTTTTCTGTCGCCCCATCTCTCCTGACAAGCCCATCCATCGTGTGGGGGATAACTGAGGTCTGGGTGCATAGCACTGAATGTTCCGCAAACGGTCTCTACATATATTACCTTGAGCTGACCCTTCCCTTTTGTCCAAAATTTTTCCCAATTGCTCTTATGACAGAATAACATTCTTCTTCCTCTTCCACTTCTTTTTTTTTTTTTTCCTTCTTTCTAGTTCTATATTGTTCATTCCTTTAATTCCTTTGTCAAAATGCAGCTGATTTTGGATTCGAAGACATGGGCAGAGCAGGTGGTCAAGAGCCTAACTCTTGAAGAGAAGATATCACTGCTTTCTGGTGCCGATGTTTGGCGGACAACACCAATACCTCGTGTTGGTATCCCTGCCCTCAAGGTATGTTCGTTCAACAGCTTCTCTATATATGTGTATATACTATTATACCTATGTCTGTATTGTTATTCTTCTTTGCGGTATTGGTATATTAACTTGTCAATCAATTTGTGTAGACGACCGATGGACCTGTTGGGGTGCGTGGTAGCACTGTCACAGATGGAACCACTGCCGCATTAACTCCCAGTGCCGTATCATTGGCCGCAACCTTTGATACTGATATCGTCGAGGGTATTGGCCATCTTCTAGCTACAGAAGTCGAAGATAAGAAAGCAGATGTACTTCTCGCGCCTACAGGTACTTTTTTACCCATTGGAAATATTGCCCTCTACGGGGCGTACTATAGCATTGCACAAATATAACTAACACTTCATCCATCGAGCTTATAGTATGTCTCCATCGATCTCCCTTGGGAGGCCGTAATTTCGAATCCTTCTCTGGAGACGACCCTTTCCTCGGAGGCAAACTCGCAGCTGCCTATATTAGAGCAATTCAATCCCATGGCATAGCCACTAGCATCAAACATTTCGTAGCCAACGATCAAGAAACTCGTCGATTTATATTGAACCAACATATCCCAGAACGTGCCCTGCGTGAAATGCACTTAGTACCTTTCCAAATCGCCATTCGAGAGGCCAATCCGTGGACTCTTATGACAAGCTATTCAAAGATAAACGGAACATATGCTAGTAATAATAAAAGATTACTGCAGGGTATTTTGCGTGATGAGTGGGGCTACGACGGTCTCGTTATCAGCGATTGGTTTGGTACAAATAGTATTGTTCCAAGCTTGGAAGCTGGTATGGATCTTGAGATGCCGGGTCCGGCAAGGAAGCGAGGCCAAAAACTGCTTGATGCTGTTCGCCTCGGTCACTTGAAAGAGCGAACTATTGAGAAGAGCGCCAAGAGAGTCCTTGAACTGGTAAGATTTAACTATTTCGATTACATAAAGTGAGCCCATTGCTGATTTTTTTTATTCCCATAGGTTTATAAAACTGGAAAACATAACTATCCACATTGGATTGAAGAACCCGAAGAGGCTATCAACAGATTGGAGCATCAAGAATTCCTGCGGATGGCTGCCGCTGATGGTATTGTTCTACTAAAGAACACCAACAACCTCCTTCCTCTAAGACTGGAATCGGGTTTACAGGTAGCCTTCATCGGGCCAAATTCCAGAGCCTCCGTCGCAGCTGGTGGCGGATCCGCAAATTTGAATCCTCATTATCGAACCACCCCTTACGACTCTTTTGTTGAGAACGCAAACATCTTTGCTCCAGGTGCAGTAACAGTGAAGCATGCGGTGGGTTGCTTGTCAAATAAGTGGATACCATTGGTTCCCGAGAATTGTGTCTCGCCTGTTAACGGAGAGCACGGTCTCTTGATGGAATTGTTCGGCAACACAACATTGAGCGGAGTCGCTGCTGCTTCTTCTCACAGAAAGACATCGATGCTTACATGCTACGATAATATTCCCAAGTCGTTCGGCCCTGGCAAGAGATACTCATATCGTGCCACTGGTGTAATCACCCCGAAGACTAGTGGGAACCACACCTTCAGTTTAGGGAGCTGTGGACCATCCCGCATGCTAGTCGATGGTGTCGAAATTATCTCGCTCTGGGGAAGAACAAAGGACTCGGAGAGATCCGAACTCTTTATGGCCTATGCATCACCGGAACAAAGATTCGATATGCGTATGGAGGCCGGAAAGCCCTACACCCTTGTCGTGGAGGGGATTTCAAGAGAGATGGATCCAATCCCGGTTGAATACTTTGCAGAACTCTATAGGGAAGAAGTCATGGACGGTGCTAGAGTTGGCTTCATGGAGGAGGTCCAAACGGATCTCCTTGGTGATGCTGTCCAGCTTGCTAGAGAGTCTGACGTGGTAGTCATGGTTGTTGGCAAAAACGTGGAATGGGAAAGCGAAGCCTACGACATGAAATCAATGGACCTACCTGGGGAACAAAACAAACTTATCTCAGAAGTTCTAAAAGCTAACCCAAACACCATAATTGTAAACCAATCTGGCTCTCCAATCGCCATGCCGTGGATTGACCAAGCATCCACAGTCCTGCAGGTAAGTCACCCAACAAGTGTTCTGATACGTGTGCAACAAGCTAATGTTTATTAGGCTTGGTACCAAGGACAAGAACTCGGAAACGCCATGTTTGACGTCCTCACTGGCCTTGTTAATCCCAACGGAAAACTTCCAGTAACATTCCCAAAAAGACTGGAGGACACGCCTACCTACCACAACTTCCCTGGCGAGAACGACCAGGTATTTTACGGTGAAGGTATCTGGCTTGGCTATAGACATTACGACAAGGCTCACATCGAGCCTCTATTCCCCTTCGGTTTTGGACTTTCCTATACTACTTTCGAATACAGCAACGTCAGGGTATCCAGCCCAATATTCAGCCCGCATAGAGACGTCACGGTATCAGTCGATGTGACGAACACGGGCTATCTGTACGGCAAGGAATCTGTCCAGTTCTATGTTTCACAAATTTCGAAGCCTGGTCTTCCTCGGCCGGTACGAGAGTTGAAAGGTTTCGCAAAGGTAGCGCTGCAGCCTGGAGAGACAAAGACTGCGCAATACAAGTTGGACAAGCATGCACTTGGCTACTTCAATGAGAAGCTCAAGAAGTGGGTGGTGGACGAAAACGCGGAATTCGAAGTCTTCGCTGCAGCCAACTCACGAGATCTTCGAGGGTCCGCCATCTTTAGCATAATGAACGGCATGCAGTGGATAAAATAAACAGTCTAGCAACCCTGAACTTGCTGATACGGACGGTTCCACAAGTCACAGTCACATCCAATGACATTCCCGGCGCCAACATCGTTTTCGAAATCTACTTCGTTCAGCCCCAGTGTCACCTCGGCTTGACACGAATCGCCACTTATTCATTTTCGTTTTCTTCTAACGACTCTTCTTGTTCATGGATCTCATCGCGTTGGGTGTTCGAAATTTGTTTTGGCATGGCATTCTTTCTTTTCATCGTTGGATCTTTTTATCATTTGGGAGCGCTGCATCATTTCTTTTCTTATACACCACGAAATCCTTTTGCTTTTGAATCTTTTAATAGGCTAAGTTAACATCATGCATAGACGGAGGGATTTTGAATTATCTAAGGTTTTTTCTGTTTTTTTCTTTTCTATTACACTTTTCTTTGGCTAGAATATACCACGAATCAGGGAGCGATATACATTTCCTTCGGTTTTTCTTTGTAATCGGCGGTCTTCATCGAACTTCATGCTCTTGCCCCCCTTTTCTATGGTTTTCTGTTATTCGTTTTTGTTTCCTTGCAGAGATTTATATCCCGGGTGCGTATCCTTTATCAATGCATATTTCCTTCAGAGTATTTATTTTAATCCGTCATCCTTTTTTTTCTGCCGGCATCCTATCTCACATTATTCTTTGTGTACGAATTTTCTTGGGCAGCTGTTAGAAGGGTCAAACCGGTCGCGGAATCCTTAAGGTAGACAAAAAACAAACCTTTCTTTTTTGGAATATAATACTATACTCCGTATAATTGCAAGCGAATACGAATTCCGAAGCTTCCATTATGCATCAAGTCTTACACGACATAATACCGTTCCACCGTTTACCAAACCAAATAAAAGTTGACCAATTTTTATGACCGTCACAATAGATAATATCTATGACAACATCAGATGTGGGAGAGCTCCATCATCCCATGGGTGGACCCAGCCTCGTTTCATCTCTATTTCCACTCTTATCTCTCTGTGTAAGCCGTTCTGGGGTAACACAAAGGCAATAGGCAATAATAATAATATAAGTTATACCCATATTTGGAACTCACCACAGCGAGCAACCTATGAAGACCCTTGGAGAGCGAATAGCTACCATATAGATGACGGTTGTTGAAGTAGTAAGACGTTGGTAAAAGGTTCGTAATGTGACTCCGGATGCCGCCTGCCCTTTTTTATTCTTATTTTACTTTATTTTCTTTATTTCTTGTTACACGGCGTCACCTGGATTTCTGGTATCAACCGGCCGGCTTTCGCGGAACGAACGCTCGCTCGCTCACTCACTCACTCGCACAAAGAGCTAATAAAACTCCAACAGAACACAAAGCCTCGCAACGGTGGCCGTTGTCCATGAAATTGAAGGGCCGTCTGATATCGATCCACGCCCCACCATGCGTTAATAGAACGGAAAAAACGAGCGCCTTGGGGGCAATCAACAGAGGGGTATGAGGGAGGTCACATGGACTTTTCCACCACTCACCGTACTTCGAAGAACACTAGGATGGTCAACGGAGCCTGACCTGGTCCATGCATGATCTGTGCAACGTGCACATATTCTTTCCTTTCTCTGTGTCTCAATCTGTATGTATGTCTCTCACCCTCATTCTACACTACATACCTCTCTCTCTCATTTACAAAATCGGACCCAGTGACTAGACTAAATTACTTGGTCTGTATGGTCTGTAGGTCTGTCCGTACTATAGTACTACTCATCACGGCTATGGCGGGATTTTACTTGGTTCATTCAATCTTGGTTTATAATGCCACGCAATGGTAAAAAAACCACCGATGGCTTCGGCTTCGGCTGAATCCGGTGCAATTATCCCTAGTGTCTACCGTCGAGCTTTGATATCAAGAAGCTGGTAGGAGAAAACCTTCTGGGGAAGGAGACTTTGCGGTTTGCTTCGCTCGTTCTCCACTATACACACCTTTTTTTTATTTTTTTTTAGTGTGTATCTGAGAGAGAAGATCATAGTGGGTAATATTGCAATTGCCATTAATATGCACGAAACGAGGCTATTCGGATCATGCCATATTCATCCTATAGTCGATGTAGATGCATACGTAGGAGTAACAGGGGAGTGTTATTAAAAAAGGAAAAACGAATATTCCGGTTATCCATTTGGTTTAAAAAAGAAACGTGACTTTTTTCCCTTGCAGCTTGAAAAACCAGGTCTTTCATAACGAGTATTTCCAGGCAAAATACCGGCTGTGCAGCAAGGGAGCATCTAGCATCTAGCATTAAGAATTGTCCTTCGTCCAACAGATCTGGTCAATCATGTGCACATGATATTTTTTTTACCCCTCCCTCTCTTCAGGCTTGCCTTTCTTACAACTAAGTACTTAGCTAAACGGTTTAAGAAAAAAGAATAAGAAGAAGAAAAGTTATCCCTGCATTCGCAGGGTATTTGTTGCTTTCCCGACAAAACAGCGTCATCAAGAATGTGCAATATCTCGTGGAAGTTCATAGCAAAGCTCCTCCCACGCAAGTTTCAAGAAATCCATTGCAACAATCGCCCTAGACGTTTTTGAAGCGCCCAGCTTTGACCCCACTAACTTGTCGGTGACAGTTATTTAATTTCACAGCGAGCTAACGAAATTAATTGAGATCTTTTTTCGACTTGTTGTAACCTCTCTGCACAGACTTTTGTTTTGAAGAAGACCCAAATGACTTTATCCGAGCAAACCATGTTTCGTCATTAAGTCCATAGACTTCTTTGTGGGATTCCATTTAACATGGGGGTTAGATTGAATTTAGAAAAAAACGCCTCCCATTTCTCTCCTACATATTAAAATGCACGGACATATTTTTGTCAAATGTGCGGAGGGAACGTGGCCTCCATGCTAGCATGCATTGCCTGCCTCGCATACCAGAGTTTATCGTGATTAGAGAAAGACAAGCAAGAAAGAAAAATGGAATTTTCCCAACCGAACGAACCAAATACGGGGAGAACGCCGACACATGTTGTCGCTAGTTGCTAGTTGGAGGTAAAAGCCGAAAAGAAAGTTCAGCGGAATCGAGCCGGGATAAACGGAGCGTTTTCTTTCCCATTATTTCCTGTCCCCTAGCGCTGAACTTTAGTTTGTAGGTTGGTGGTCTTTTTTAATTGTTCGATGTCTCATCACCCATGGTTGGACCTCTAGTTTTGCATCGAACCCCGGAGGCAACAGTCTTTAGTGTCGAAGTTATGGCCGGGGGATGCTGCCTCTGAGTGCCTTGTATAGTATGAGCCAGGAGGTTGAAACGACGAGCTCGCACGGGCGAAGGGCTCTGGAGTCGTCCGGGGTGGAGTCTTTAAACCGGGCTAATCAATCAATCGTCGATGAGCGCCCCTCTAGCTTCAAGCACTAGCCTGGTAAATACCGGGACCGGCCTCTCGATTTGACTGTTTAGCTTCAATTGTTTTTTTCGTATTGATGTTACAGGTGGGATACTTATCGGCCCTACTCCACCGACGATCATAACGTTTCCTCCTTCCCCCCGTGGTCCTAAAACTTAGTATAGCATATACGGAGTAGCGTCGAGGCATATACGTAGACATGCATGCAAATATGGAGTAAACGCATGCATAGGCAAGCGCAAGCCCGTTGTTCGTTTTGTCTGCCCGAAGATAAGTGGAAAAAATGTCTAAGTTTCGGAGAAAAGTTTCAACCAACATCATCATAAAAACCTTTCTTTTATTTTTCGTTTAGTTGGCTATGGAAGCGAACCGCGAAGTGGTCGTCGTTTCGAACGCCATTTGATTCGCTCGCCAAATATGAATGGAGCTAGTCCGGTGGATCTGCCCACCCAAAATGTTGGCTTCATCTCATATAAAACTCTTAGATCGAACCAGGACTATGGAACCAGAAGCAAGCCAACATGCTGCGCATGCATCTGCACCGGGCTGAGAAGGAAAAAGTTTCCTCCTTCCTTGCACGCCTTGTCAACCTTGTCGCAACGCAAAGTATTTCACATCTAGATGCATCCTAAACTCAAACTGGGAGAAAATACAGCTGGTTTTGTAATGGTAAAATCTTTCCAAGCCAACAAGCATCTAGGTACTCGCTTGCTTGCTGGATTGATTGGCATTTTGTTTATATTGAAGATCGCGGCAGGGCTAGCATACCACTAGCAGGTGACATTTATATGTAAAAACAGACAGGGAAAAAGAAAGGAAAGAAAGAAAGTAGTATATTGTCCCCTGTCTGACAACGGGTCAGTCAAGGGAAGGTATGTAGCGATGACTGAAGCCTTTCGTCGAAGAAAAGCTATAGATGATTTTAGCAGTCACAGATTCCTTGCTCTTTCAAGGCTCTTGGGAAGAGTGTAGGTGTCTAGATATTGATTGGACGAAGAGGTTGGGACAAAAGGAAAGGGGTTTGTCGGGCAGTGAAGTTGTGGGCTTCGGTCAGGTAAAAGGCCAGTACAGAGTATGTAACAAAACAAAAGGATATCAGGCTCTTTGGGGGTGCTTGAGTAACGGAGAGGAAAGTTCTCATCATGACATCGCTTTTGAAGGAAAAAAAGAAGAAAGTGCTAAAACCAAGCAAGTGTATGGAAAGCACTCAGACAAAAAGAGGCTGACCGACTTAAAAGAACAAATAAAAAGGCAGTCCTTGCGCGCTATCTCTAGTATGAGATTTGCAAATGGCGGTTCAACAAAAAAATCGACAAAAAACCTCCCATCCAAATGTAAAATTAGCAAATCGAGGTATCGCTCCCAAAAAAAAAAAAAGGAAAAGAAGAAAAAAAGAAAATGCGGGGGAAAGGAGTGTAAACATGTTCAGATAAAGTAACAAAGATGCTATAATCAAAAGGCCAACAGACAGATCAGTGTTCTGGTAAATCAAGAGTGGGGGAAAGCATTCAAAACGAGCTAAAGAAAACAGTATTCATGCTCCGTATACTATGCAAGGTCTCATCTAATGGAAATAAACGGGTGAAAGCCGGGTTGTTCCGAGAGTCGGCGTGATATCGGTATTAATCAGGATTGGCTTTGGCTGGTGGTTTCTTGAGACGACCAACTTCAAGATGACATCTTATACATGGGGGATAAAGTCTAATTTTGAGGAGGCATCTTCCAATATTTGTGCGTCCAGAGCAAGGGAGGGTGAAATCGGTGCTAGCGTATGAAGGAATCGAATAGTCTTGTCGAGAAGATCACCAAGTGTAGCCCTGTTGACAAACTCTCTGAGTTTAGGGTGCTTGTAAGCAGCCTGTAGTACGAGTAGATTTCCAAATTGTCTAAAATTAAAAGATTGTTAGGGCTTAGACCAAAATTTGAAGGTAGGGCTGAGTCACGTACGCATGAGCAGTACCAAATATATTGGTAAGAATAGGGCGATTTTCGGTCGCATCGAACCCATGGAATGCGTAAGTACTCTTCACTGCAGCCTCGAGGCAGGTTCGACAGGGGTCAAGAAACTTTTCTCTAATTTCGTCAGTGACCGTGCTACCCCGCCGGTTGTCGAGCCCGATGGGCGTGTGAGCAGATGTCGGGGGAGAACTTTGAGATAGTGAACTCAAAGACATTGCTGGTGATGTCATGGCACCAGGAGCTATCAATGCCGGATTTGTATTGGATGTCCTGTTGTGAATGAAATGTTCGACAAAAGGCCGATTGATAACATATTTTGCCCCATAGTATTTAGCACGTAGACGGGCTGCGTTAATGTCCTCCGCAGGGGGGTCGCTGTCTTTCCATTGAAGTGGAGGAGGGAGTGTCCTTCGCCATGCTTCAAGGTCTTCCATGAGGATACCAGCAGTCTTCAGAGAGTTCGCGCTTGAAACTTTATAAAGCTCTGAATGAACCTGGTTCAAAATCTTTCTGATGTGGTACTGCGCCATAAAATAGAGCCACATCTGAAGATTGTTATCGACCTTGTTGCCATATGTCATTCGTAGGTTTTCGGAACCTTCCAACCTAGTGATACCACTTCTGGGGACATCAAGTTCGGCAAGAAGATCACTTGGTTTCGGTTAGCTGGGATCGTAAGGAAAGAACAGAACGGATGTCTATCTCCATACCTTTCGAGCTGAACGCAGCTCCAAAAAGTTCGGACCATCGTGTCACGGAGCATGTCATTTTGGCCTTCGCGAGGTAATCGTCTAAAAAACGTTAACAAAGTCCAACAAAAACAGTCTCGAGTACAAGAGCTTACTGATTGATCATAATTTGGCAGGCCATACACGCAGCTGAGATCCACTTCCAACTGTCCATGGGACGTCCCAGCTGACCCCAGTAGAGCCCTGCAAGCAGTGAAGCCTGAACATATTCAACTTCGCTTCGTCCTTGGTGCAATGCTAGGATATGAAGTGCCTTTTCGCAATATGCTAGGCCGGGAATAACATCAATATTCTGCAAACCTGCGTCAACAGATTGGTATCCCTGTGGTTGTTGATTTGGAGGAGGAGGTTGTTGGAATTGATCAGGCAACCCATAGTTGATATTGGCTTGTGGTGGTGGAGGGTTTGGAGGCAATGGCCCTGGGACCGGGGCCTTGTGATTCGCTATAGAACCCAGCGCAAGAACGAGTAGGACAATTGCTGACTGAAGGGTAGCCGGGATTCGTTGAGGCGTATAGGTCTGCGGGGCAGCCTGGCGATAAAAGGATCGAGCCTCCCCTTGAGCAAATGGAGGCGGGCCAGGTTGAACTTGCGAATCCCGTTTTCTTTTTGACCCAGCTTTGGTCTGTTGAGGCGGTGGCGGAGGTGGGGCGGCATAAGACGGATGCTGGAATTGGTTGATCCCAGGATATTGGCTCCTATCCATCATCGCTGAGGAAGCAATCGAAGCAAACGAATTCTCAGGACTGATTGACTGAATCGGAACCAACGATGGGTCTTCTGGGAGCGATTCCACAACACCGCCGTGAGTTCGTGAAAAGATTTCGACCATTTGAGATAATGGTTCGTCGTTCAAAAAGGGATGCATAATATATATGTTATCGAGAAAGCTACGGAGGAGGCTAGTGCAAGTCTCCAGGTCTAGCCGTAGAGTTTCTCTTTGACCTCTTCCTATTCTGCCACCAGCACCCTTAAGAAGAGGGACACCATTGAGGCCCGGATAGAATTCGCCATTCTGTACCTCGTCGGGACCATCATCTTGAATATCCATATCCAAAGCCGGGTCACCTTCCCCTCTTCCTCGTACTTTCAACGACCCTCGTCTAATCTCCTCGTCCATAACATAATTATCAGGGTACCTCTTATCAAGCAAATCCCTGATGGATTTCCATCGCAAAAGTTTATGGGCTGCTGTGTTGTGTTTATGAGGGATTGTTATAAAGTTATCATCTTCCTTAGGATCATCGGCTGGTGCTGATATCCCCGTGGTTGCAGCTGGGACGGCGAAATTGGCTGGGGCGTGGGTTGGCGTCTGTACCTGAGATGGCGGTGCGGGAATTGGCATAGGATACGTTGCAGTTTGAGGGACGACCCGGTCACCCTGGAGCTGCAATAAAGCGGGGTCTTGGGCTTCAGCACCTTCTGGAGAATGTGTTACTGAGGGATCCCTTCCTTGGGCATCTTCTTCAGTTTTCGAAGAGACAGCTCCCAATATCCGCCTCAATAAATTCACTACTGTTCCATCGGTCTGCTGCTTCATGATGAGTGATTCGATGTTTGAAACCCGTTCTTGTATCAGAATCATAGTTCTGTCTTGTCTAGATATTCAACATGTATGAGCAAAACTTTAACACCATCTTTATAGAGATTTAAATGAGGCTTACTTTGGCGGGGGGACTTCTCTATACACACAAGGAGTGTTGTTATCTCTGCAAAAAGCGCACGCAGGTCTCCCTTCATCACATTTTGCTTTTCGTGTCCGGCATGCATCACAGGCCTTCAAATTTACATTGTTAGTATTCAAAAAAAAAATTAAAAAAAAATTAAAAAAATCAAGTTTTCGAATGATGCATATTCAAGAATAATGGGATACCAACCTGAGCCGCTCGTACAGCTTTCCTTCGCGCTGGAAAGGTTGTACCGGTTGCCATGTGGTAGGGGAAAGTACCCGTCATTGGGCTCATTTCATCCGCTTCAGGTATACCAGTAGCCGCACTGAGTCTCCTATTATTCGGGGGTCCAGGATAAGGGGTCATGTGAGGAGGTGCGGAGTGGTGATGGTAAGTTTGCGGTTGAACCGCAGGTGGTCCTGGAGCTATCATTTGGGGTGGAGGGCCAGGAGGCGGGCCTGTTGGAGGGAAGGGCTGTAGAGGTGCAAAGGCGCCTTGCGGGTGCGATGTTGGCGGGGGGCCGTGAGAGTGTGGCTGTTGAGAAGGTTGCAGAGATTGAGGATGATGATGTGAATAATGTAAAGGCGCAGAAGGCGAGGCTGGTGCAGTCTGGGGTGGGAGATGTTGAAGATTATGTTCTCGCTTTGCCGTCACCATAGGCGGAACAGTCGTAGGCCGATGCTGCATTGGAGGTGGGCCCGTCGCCGCAGGTGCATGTGGTGAAGGTTGCTTCTCAGTCCCTAAATATGGTTGTGCTGATTGAGGCTGCTTGTCGATATCGGTCGAAGCAACTGTTTCTATAGCCAACGACGGCCGTCGACTTGTTGGATGGGATGGTGGTCTTGCATGGATTGGAGGAGGTAAGTTAGGTTCTGATGGAGCCGGGCCTATACCATATAAAAATAAAAACGAGTATTAGTCCGCCAGTGTCAACCCTAAATTAAGCTAATGTCTGAGGAAGGCAAGAGGCCTCGTAAAAGAGGTTGTGTTGAGGTGATATAAAATGTTCTGGGCAGTTGGGGCGCACCATTTGCGAGATTCCTGAGACCCGGCGCAGACTCATGCCAGGAATCCACACGAGCACGTGGAGGATATTCCCGGTGAGGTTCTGGGTGGAAGTTATTGTTAATTGGTTGGAAAGCAGGGTCGTGCTGAGGAGGTGGGTTTGGAGGGTAAGAAGTTGTAGTCGACGCCATCGTGGAGTATCAAGATCGTCGAGCCCAAGAATTCTGGTCTATCATGAGCTTCAGTCCCCTTGCTCTATTATTCGTCTCGTATAGTTAGTATTTAGCGTTTCGGTTCAGAAACACGAAGAGGAAGGGATCGCAGGAAAAAAAAAGTGGCCTTACGTCGCTATGTTCTCTGTGATAGGCGGTGTTCGAAATAACCGTATGTGCTATGTTTCTCATCCAGGTGCGTGGAATAATATCTCATCACCATCAGGCGTCGGGTGCTTTCCAAAATGCTACATGGACATTGCCCCTCCCACGGGTGATTAACGGTACAAAGAGGAGATATCCAGTTCCTTGGCTGGTATCGATGGGTCCAATGGGTATCCAGGGGTGCCTCGGGTCCTTCCTAGGTAGTTTTTCCTGTCTTTTTTTTATTTTTTTACTTTTTTTCTTATTCTCGCTCCTGTAGACGATGCGATTAGAAAACTGGTGTTCGTCGTAAGTTATCGGAAGCAGGAGGAATAAAATTCGAGGACCGACCTTGACTGGCGAGAGGTGAGCAGGTGAATGAATCAGCAGAATGATGTCTAAACACGCAGGGAAGAGGCTTTCTTCAATTTCTCCCACTCAAAGAAGCACTTCCGTTCTGTTTTTTCTTCTTCTCCTCACTCTGAACTGCCTCCTCCAACCGCGCTTTTTACGATTTCTTTGGGCTCCTCGTTTAGATTGAAGGCCACTCCATGTTCCCTGCTCGTTTGTTAGTGGGGAAGAATTCGCTGTAACGAAATAGTGAGGCCCACCTGCAAGAGAGCACGAGAAAGTCCTTTTTTCCATTTCCCCCAAGCCCCTCGAGCGCTGGCCCGTTCGATGGGGTGGAAAAAGCATCCCTGTTCGCTCACACCATGCATCCAGGCTGAATGCTGTTGTCTCTCACTCAGACCAGAAGGCTAAGTGTGCCAAGGGCCTAGCAGATCCACCACTATTTTGCGATGACCAACCGCTTTCTTGGGCACCGTACGAGGACAGCAACCTGCTCTGGCGGAGTCTTCCTGTATCACGGAGGATCTTGCTTAGCTTCCAATGCGTGTTCCACGAAACCAAACCAAGCTGCAAAATAGTTTTGCTCAGCCGTTGGCTCATGAATTCCGGGCGACAAACAGTGATTTCGATGACCCCGAATTCGCGAAAGGCGAGCTGTCTGATGGCTACAAAAGGCATCATCAGAAATCATGCAGTAGTGGACATTTCCCGTTACCCTCATGCAAGCAGTACTTGCGACGGGAGATTTGTTTCTTTTTGCGTATGGAAGGACGTACCCAATGGAAACTGTTCAGGTGACCATGCTCTCCCTCAGAATCCTGGTACATAAAATATTTGTACTGTACCCAGTGGGTACATACATGCACTCCTTCCTCACCCTCCTTACCAGACAGCCGGTGTCTTCTAACTACTTTCTCTCTGCAATTTGAAAGTCTAGAATGCCTGGTCCTACACACATGCGTTGCGACTTCGACGACGGATTTTTATTTTTATTTTTTTTTTGTAAATGTGTGTGTGGTCATCGTGCTTCTGGTAGGACCTCTTCTGTGCCGAGGGGAACTCCTCGGTAAATGGCCCCGAGCCTTCGTTATTATGCCAAGCGGCGCTAGCTCTAAATCCACTCGCAAATTGTTGGAATTGCATCGAGAGCTCATATCGATCGTGCCGTCGTCTATCTACGAAATCCCTCTGATCAAAAAAGGTTAGTAGCATCTTCGTCAGCATATTTAAAACCAACCACGAGCAGAAGGAAGAAACAGTGTGATGCACATCCTCTCATGACATTCGCCCAGTTGATATGCGTCAATAATGACATCCATTAACTTGAGGTTAGCCAAGTCTCTGGCTCGGACGATCCCTCCTGAGGGGATTAGTTGGGGAGAGAACGGGATACTCTTGGCTGAGGGGTTGTTCTTTCATCTCTCAAAAGCAGGTGGGGTGGCCTCAATGATTGCGTTTCGATCGCTAGTCTGTCTAACGTTTCCCGTGGTGTCTCTTTCTTGTAAAACCTCGTTAGACGAGGACGAGCCGTTACTGGCAGTTGGGCTTCAATGGTAGCAATGCCGTTTTTCTTTTTGACCTATGTTGGGTTTAAAAAAAAAACGGATAGCGTCCGTCGACTATCGAATATCCCGAAACCCCGCTTGCAAGACTAAACTCAGCAACCCCAAGAGGGCAGTCCCAAAATAGTGGGACAGAACGAAAGTAGGGCACTATTCCCTCCCAATCTCACGACTCGCATGCATGGCCATGTCCAAGGATTTCTGCCGGTGTTTGAAAGCAGTATCCGACACAATGGTACATAAGGAGCAAAGAAATATTTCCCTGGTAACCTCAGACTCCTGGAAATTGCACGATCTTTGGCGAATGACACTATATTGATACATGCATCTTCGACGCTGCAATGTTTGTCTCGTTATGATAAGCATGGCGTTCGAGGCGCTGTCCTGTCGAGGTCCCAAAGTATGGACGGCAATGGAAGACCGCGAAATGAATGCCTTGGATCCCAGCATCTGGTATGATCCCAGCAAGACGGCCGGTGGGTCCCGACAGTTTGGTCCACCACTGCTCGAAGTTTCCAAAAATGGCAGGTTTAATTGGACGGACTGCAGAAAGGCTTAACCCAAATGTTCCTGCCAAGTTTCAGCATCCCGGTTACTCAAGGGCTGTCGGTAGCTGAAATCTCCTCCTCTCCATTGTTCATCAAGTGAATCCTCAAAGGTAGGCTGCATAAATAATCATCATGGCACTATCTCCGTTAACAAGAAGATATTTTGCCTGAGGCTAAAAGAAGATGAATGCATCGAATGGCTGTCTAATTCTGATGTCAGCGGCTTAAATCTCCGCATGAACTTCAATGCACCCTGACATACCAGAAGAATAAGAATTGAATTTGAATGGTTCTCTCAGCGTCAAGAAACCTGTCCGTGCTTCAACAATTTCGGCATAAGATTCTCCAGACGATTCTTTTTGTGGAGACAGCCGTGGTGCGTAAGTTCGAAGGCGTTATTTCCCTGCCTCGATGGCTTGCTTGGTGGTTGTTGTTTGGATCAGGGGAGTCTAATCCAGTCAACCCAAAAAGAACAGGCCTCTCAATAACGCCAAGACCTTCACTTCATGAATTCAAATCACCAGTTGTCTCTAGTCTCTCCACTTTCCTGTCTCGAATGAAGACTCGACGACGATAATACGCATACGACAATGATATGTCGGTAACAATTCCACTCTGTTGTGAGATGTGAGACGGGTCCAATAGTAAGCCTCGTGAATCCACGAACCAGTCCACTGGACACCAACCCGCCACCACGGGAAACTACCAATTCAGAGAATGCGACATCAGTGGATCACATCACACTCGGAACACAAGAAAAACGACTTTTGTCACTGATCTCCACATGCCTCAAAATGCAAGCTGCAGATGGAATCTCAGATGAGAAGTTGAAGACGGTGGGCGTCGCCTCCTGAAACTTGTCAGGTCTTGGCCTACTCTAAGGGAAATCGGCTGTGATAAAGGCTTAACGGCACTCGATAATTATAATTAGCTGATAAGCCAGGTCGATGATGATAACAGTTGCAAACTCATCGAGCTAAAGGCTCCCACTAGCACTTATCAGCCTGATATACGGCTCTCGGGTGGTGATATATGTCTAAGACGTCCTCCCACAACTTTTGAAATCAAGAACATCCCGTCGATGGCTACCTTGGATTCCACGTGGGCGGCAAAAGGAAAGGAAGCTTTCCGTCGAAAAGGACCGAAGCCGCCGGCCGCTAATGAGTTTGCAAAACTCTATCCATCTTAGAGAGCCAAGATGTATCCGTTCCTCTAGCGCGAAAATCCGATACAAGGTCTCAGTTCTGATCTCATGTGCAGTAGCTCGTGCACAACTCGTGCACAACTTTGAAAATTATACCAAACAATTTTCATTACTGATAGTGGGGCTCGAAGTCCTCTACTCTCGCCTCGCTTTTCAGATCTTCGCTCTTGGCCTCGCCTTAGTCCGTCTATCACTATAGGTACTAATCATGCCATCGGCTGATGGGCCGATACCTTCGTCCAAGAACAAATTTCTGCACAATTATCCACACCTTCCCCACTCATTATATCGAGGGTATCAGGCTACCGTTTGAAGGAAGAAGCTTAGACGACTAGATTTCCCCAAGATCTCGCTCGAGTATCGTGAACCTTTTCGCTGGGCTCAATAGAGTTCCCTCCTTCAGAGGCCCCGAACGGTCGATTACCATGATGTGCTAGAAATACATCAACTGTACAAGGATTGGTCTCCACTAGCTTTAATTACTGCCAATCATATACGTTTTTAGTACTAACTCGGCAGCAAGTAGCGTCCCAATACCATGAGACGTTCTTCCCTAATAGTGCGTCATGCGTGGAGATTGGTCTGGGCGAAATTCGGATTTCTTTCAACCGCCGTCACATTTTTGTCGCTTCTCGACCTCTCTTTTTATTGTTTTCCTCGACATTTGATTCTTCCCGGTAAAGTCGAAATACCCACAAAAATGTGACCAGGACAAAATATCTTGCGGCTAGCCATGCTTCGATCTCGATGCGCTCGGAGTTGGCCCCAAAGATCGCCAAGCCAAGGCTTTTATATCGACGATGCTAGCCTGGTACGGCTTAGGCCGAACATCACAGAATTCTGTGTTTGTGGGCATAGTTTGGGGCATATGACCAAGGGTTAATCGTGGGCCCGGGGGCGCCTGAGCCAAGATGCACTTTCGTCCACTCGTCAGTCCCAGGACCTCACCTTCGGGATCGTATACCTGCGACGTATATGGCAGTGGCTCCACTGCCTCCACTGCTCCAGATTATCACGCTGTTTTCTATGTATGAGACAAAGTTATAGCAACAGAATACTATAGCGATGCGACTTTTTTTTTTTCCAATCAAGCCATGATATGCTCAAAGGAGTAGTGATGGAGACATCGAGACGTAGTTCAAATTTATTACTCGCCCCTTTATCAGCAGAATCGCTGATACACCACCCTCGGAAATCGTGTCTTGGGAGAACGCAAAACTCGGACGCACCGGGGTTTCCGTCTGCAAGAAGAACCAGGGCCGCCGGTACTCCCACCAACACAAACCTCCTGAAAATACAACAACCTCCCAGTTGTCTCGGTCAGACCGACGTCGCCTCGAAATTTCCTCGACGCTATGATCTATTCTTTCGGTCTTGTCGCCTCAAACATCAGACGGATATAATTACATCCGTAACTTCCAAGCCATTCATGCAGGTCTTCCCATATATCAAGACCCTTGAGTTGAAGCAGATATTTGATATTGCCCCGCTACTTAAAAGATAAACTTTCCACTAGCCCCTATGGATTCACTAGTTTCTATACTAGTGTCTGTGCGATTCTTCGACACAATTTACATGAACGGGAATTACGACGGAGATCCCGTCAAAAACTAGTATCTCCGTTGAAGTTCATTGACTTTTCGAAGAAAGTTAAAGATAAAATGTTAGGTGACCGATCCATTACTCATGACGCTGCCTGTCCGCTCAGGGATAATTCGGAACGGAACGCCTTTGAGATCTACAATGAAGTGTATTTCAGAAGTTTATGTATTCTTAGAGAACGGAGGCTTTTTAGTTAAGTCTTGCTTAGCGCCAGGAACGTTGTGTGTCAATGCAATGGACGTGTTAGGCTGAATGGGGCTTTAGGTACCCCAGATTTCTCCGGCAGGCTTGTATCAAGATTGCCAACCTCATGTGTTCGAATTCCAACAGCCTCAACGCAGACAGTTAGCGCCGTTAGTTCATGGCCGTTTTCGTAACGACAAACGCTAGAGTGTCTATGTCATTTATTATATCAGCATTCCGCCAGGAACCTGAATTCATAGTGCTACAGAGTATAGTACCTTTCTAGCCACCTGCATTTGAGTTTCACCTGTACACGGGACACCGAGTTCACCAGCTTCTCGACGGGAACTATATTTGCCTCCCCCAATCACAGCTTGATACACGGTTTCTAGAAACCAGAACCTCTAGTGGAATACTCTCACAAATCTACCTCCTTCCCGGGTGCTTATGCACTGTAATAAGGTCATACGTACGCACACAGCTAAGAAAGCGCGGTAACACAAACAATAGAGTTTTTGTCATCCCAAAATTTGCTTCTACAAATAGCTATACCCGTGGAATAAAACATCACACAGACACCTTTTTTTTGTTTCCCTTTGCTTGGTTGGAATGCAGAGTGAATTATATTTCATGCTTCACAAACCTTGTTTCTTAACTCACACCCTTGTCTTCTATCATGCAACTCACATCACTTTAGTATGACACTCGACTAAAGAAAATTGAAGTTTATCCTATAAAAGATGTTTAGTACCTTAACCACTGCCCCTAAAAAAATCCTAAAAGAGGGTGTTACAAAACCCGTAAGCTTTCCGATGCATTGCATGATGCAAGTGTTCACGTGGTGACATTGACATAGGCTTCCGAATATCATGTGAGGGGTTGCCGCATAAAAGTGACATTTCAGTTGAGGGAATATTAATAATTAAACCTACAAGAAAAAATCGTTGGCCAAGAACTTCGCGAAAAGAGTTGAAGGGTCAGACATGTTCGTGATGCATTAATTTCAAGCATGTCCATGTTTACGGGTGCTTGGCCTGGGAACATGATACCTAATCATGGGCACAGGTCCCGGTTTTCGAGGGATTCGAATTCGTGGTTCTGTCCCCCCATGGTATTGACACTTGTACCGGACGAACGGGGAGCGGCAGATCACTGGATTGTAATATACATAATGGCTCGGAAAATTAACAGAAGTTTACGGATTTATGCATACCCCGGATATATGTCGCGCCGTTTTCAAGACAACAGCTACGCTATACGGTTTCTCATGTTTGGGGAATACGAGGAGTGAGTACCATCGACACTCGGGTACAATGCGATTTCAATTTTCGCATCCGCTTTTAACGGTAATTTAATGCAGAGTCGAAAAGAGAGAGAAAAGACGTAAAACCCGGGGCACGGATGACTGCCAATGTCTTACTACGGAAGTTTCCTGTTGCTGTATGCGTCTATGACGTTCTTACAAATCCAATCAAGTACCGGGCCCCAACACCACGAGGGGGCTAGAGTAATGCCTGATCCTCGTATCGGTTCATGCAGTTTCAATATAAAAGTGCGATTTATAAATCGATATGCAATAGGAGGGAATATAACTGTCAGATCCCAATTTACTCCAACATACATCGTCGTGTCTATAGCACACACACACAAACACCGGATATAGCCGCTGGATGTCGATAGTCCGGCTATCCTTGCCCTTTCCATATCTAAATATATTAAATGCACCCAGTCATGCAAGTAATCCGCTTTGATGCACGGTACAGGCTGTGGACACGGGTCTTCATTCTAAAATTATATAGTTAGTCGAGGAGGGACCGAAGCCTTCCGTCATCAAAAGAGAACCCAGATACATCGAGAGCCCGAGAGTTGTTGATTGCTTTACAGATGGCGATATCTCGATTTCTAATATTTTCCTCAGATATGCAGTCTAAGCCAACCCTCAAATTGCTTAGAGTGATATGGCGTATGGTGGTGCATCATTCTCCGGTCGATCCGCCCGTAATCAAAATGCCTAAATGCACAATACTCCCCGAGAGCATCCACACATGCACACACACAGCTGCCCAGCCCGCGCTCAAACCTCGCGCCTTGTAAGACATACATTGTCGTGCATTAAGGATCCATGATATCGATTTCACCTACAGACGCCCAACGAACGTTCGAACCTCTTTTTGCATCAAAAACCAGTTTGGATCGGTGATATTTCTATCAGCTGACTCTTTTCAATTCGATGGCTTTATCGCGATTTCCGATTACTAAAAAGAAACCCCCCTCTTAGCTTGTACATATGCACATCCGGTACGAATTGCAAGTCTGGCACATGCAGAAAGTCAACATTGACCCGTCTAGGAAAAGATTCCATCCCAACCATGCAAAGCTGACACCACCAGACCTTCGCCACAAAAATCTAAACCGCGCGCGGGTGTCACCTTTTTTCTCCCTCGGGAACCGTATTTCCCGAGGCACCAAAAACCCCACACACTCATCCATCTCAAGATGTTGGTGGTTTTCCCTCTGGCACAGCATGTGGGATGGGTCGAAATATCAGCGTATAGCCCGGATAAACGCTTGAAATCCAGGTTCTCGAAACGCCCTGACTGTGCCACTGTATCACAGCTCGCTTTGCCATAACGTTCCTTAACGAGGATGTCCAATCGCCAACGCCCCGTTCGATTTCAGCTGTTCGAGCGCTCGCGTGGGACCGCAATACCTTACAGTTTCTTGCTGCGATCCAAGGAACATTGCCCATTTCTCTAAGGCGGCGCAGACGCCCAGTCAATCATAACATCTACATATCACGCCATGTCATGCTAAATACCACCTTGAAGGCCTCGAAATTTGAAACCAAGCCTCTTCAGAGTAAGTCTTAACAAAAGAAGAACCGTCCCAGGAATCCTTGTGACTGTTTCTTTCCCCTCCCCTTCAAAGTAATATTCAACGAATAATGTCGACAGAATATCGCTTAAAAGGTGATTAATACCGTCTAACTATACATTTGCCTTAAAGTGGATCCCTATACGATGTGGCTTGATATTAACACGCATACACCACGCACCACACACGCATTCTCAACCACCATCCCCACCACGTTTTTTCCCCCTTCCCTTTGTCCTCTCGACGATCTACTGTGCCGCAATTACTCAACCCTCGGATTATCAGTTTGCCCCCACTGTCCAGATGGTAAATTGAAGAAATTCGGATGATTGGGGTGTTTCTACGATATTGTGAAACGAGGGGGGCGAAGGATCTTGTGTTCGTATATGCTAGTGATCTTCACATAGCGGATTATTATAACGGTGAGAATGGATATATACATACATGACCATCCCGTGGTAAGAAGATACCGAAATAAGTATGTACAAATGAATATGATCTCCCAACTCCAATAAGATTTTGTCAATCTACATGAACTCCGACCCACCCTCTAAATGGACCATTCCGAAAGGCATCAACTTCAATGAGAAGGGAGAGATAGCAAAAAAAAAAAAAAAAAAAAAAAAACTCCATTAACCCCATCGTAAATGAAAATAAAAGGATTATTAAGAATGATATTTGTGAAGAGAAAAGACGGGAGCTCAGCCTTTTTGCCTAGATAACCTTGCCATGCATATTATTTCGTATCGTAATCGTATCGCCTGCAATCATCCTGTCGCTTATCACTCCACTCACACCCGCGACTTCCCCCACTCTACCCTCGCGATGGCAATCTCCTCGAGCACGTGTAGGGCGGCCAACGTGCTTTCGAGTGGGTACCTTGCAGAAACGTAGTGGTGGGTGGATGCGGAGTGGGTGAATGGCTTCTTGTTTGGGGGTCCCGCGTGATAGAGTGTCGGATTTTTGAGAGCGGAAACGACTTGCTCCTGCGTGCTCTTCGTATATGTTTTGAACATATTCTTGAAACCGGTCACGGCGGAGACTGTTGTACCCAGGTTCTCCATCCATGCAGGGGTGGTAGTGGTCTCGACATCGTGGATGACAGAGCGGAGGGTAGGTGGTGTAGGACAGCCCTTTGAACCTTCGTCCTTTTCTCTTCGCGACTTGAAGAGTGAGCCGGTTGTTGCCGATCGCTGTAGTGGTAGGGCTTTGGCCATTCTAGCGAGCGACGAGGAGCGTCGGTGTAACTTTATCCTCTGTGCCTCTTCGGCCTCTTGCTTCTTCTTCTCTTGGAAAGCGCCGACTCGAACTGCACATTCCTCTTCGGCGCTCTTCCTTTCTTCGGGTGTCAGGTTGTCTACAACCATAGACATCGACAGTGCTAGAACACCCTTTCCCATGGCACCCACGACCCTCCTGGGGCCCTCTAGGTGACCAAGTTCATCTTCGTGTTTCTCGATGATTGTCTTTGGCATGCAGCCGTCGTCTTGGATCACGGCTGACCTTCTCTTTAGCTTATCAGACAGTGTAGGCGCCCGCTGGACCATTCGTCGTCGCTTTGTCAACGGGAAGTAGGATGCCAAAAGTTTGTGAAGTGACTCGGACTCAACGAACTGTCGCATCCTTGCGTCGAATCCCGTTGTAATGTAGATGGCATCATATGGAAGTAGCGAAAAGCTGGCATTGGACCAAGCTCGAGGGTTTAGGTATTCATCTGATCCAGCCATCATATAGAATTTTTCAATGTCATCTAATGTTGCACCCTATAGAGGAGAGATTTTGGTTAGACACTAGTCTCAATAAGGGCCAGAGGATAAATTGGTATTCGGGATCATCCATACCATAATGTCGCGAAAAGCGGACCGTTCCAGCATGCGCTGGTCGGCTTTGGGGACATCGCCATTCTCGGTAGCGAATTCAATGACGCAACCTGTGGGTCGGGTATGTTAACATCGACGTCTACCTAAAAAGTGGGTACCGACGGTACGTCTATGTATCTGGGCTACTTACCAGCTTCTTTGAAGATGTACCAGGGTTCCGCAGCAGCCATTGGCGCTAGTGTCTTGTCCGGACACAAGATAAGTACCCGTGGTGGCGTGAAGTTGTCATCCATGGGAAGGATGGACTTTGGGTCCTTCTTTTCTGAGAAATCCATGTTTTTTTTAATTTTTTATCGATTGATGATAGATTGCTGACAATGATTATGAAGTTTTATGTATAAGGAACTTATTGAGACAAGCGCGACCGAGGGAATCGTCAAGAATAATATATTCTAATGAGGCCGTGATCGTGACGCCTTGGTATACGTAAAATTCGGGGATCGTGAAGACCGCGACGGGACCTTGAATAGCCGACCGACCGGAAAATTATCGCGGAACGAGTCACACGCTGAAAATTTTCGCGGAGTTCACTGCAAGAACGAATCAAAACAAAAACAAGCGACGTTAGCTCGACTATTCATAGGCCTTTTCCAGGTATTAAATCCATGATGACCCACGTTTTGAGAGTTTATTGTTTTCCACTTCCGGGGGTATACGAGATACGATATGCGATATGCGAATGTCTGCACTTGGAAGTCGAACCCTGGCTTCGTAAGCTTTGACGAAAGCCTTTGTTTAAGAACTCTGTAACCGATATGCAGAGTATCGATTCTGTCGAGCTTACGCTTATTCAGCTGTGTGAGGGATGATGATTAATTTGGACATGGGAATGGATTCATTGTGATCTTATATTCCATGACTGGAGCTAGACCACCATCACAGTCACAAGCTCGAACCTTCGGGGGCGGTTTTGGTTGATACCTCCGGAACATCATTCCTTCCTTAGCTTCGTGGAGTTTGTCGGACGAAAAAAAAGGGCTGGAACGGTGTGTTCTGGAACCCGCAGCGGTGAATTTAGTTTTCTGGTTTGGTGCGAGCTCCAGCAAAGCAAAGCGTAGTAAAACGGTGGCCGGGCTTAGAAGCTACCGACCCGGCACCATTTTCTGGCAGGGCTGTTCGCGGACTGCTCGGAGACAAGAACCCTCCGATAAAGCCTTTTCTGGACTTAGCTTCCTTCGCAGATGGACTTTAAAACAGGCTCGTGGATTTTCCGACCCGCATAAATATTGATTCGCTGTGTTCGAAGGTGTCAGCACCCTCCTTTGGGCCTTAATGAGCGATATTATGCATGCAGCTTAGGGAAACTATTTTGACAGAACGCATCAGGTTAACGTAATTGCACGCTTAGAATTCGAATAACTGTGGAGATGCTGAGTAATCTTTAGTTTTTTTGCGAGTTAAACTTTCTACAGCAATAAGAATTGTGTACTTATGTACAGATATCTGTCTTTTCTTATCCACCGACCGGTATTGTTATTGGTCAACCTTCTAAGTGGATCCAGCATCCCATATTTCTAACCAGTATAGTTGTTTCTATGTAGTGTATCGTGTGTATCGTGTGCACCATCGGGATCGCTAGCGCAATCGTGGTATCCGTGAGATAGGAGCTTGATCTAGAAGTCGTTCCCCTCAGGCGTCGGGTGCGTCTTGCCATCCATAGCTTTCGGCAAAGCCGAAAGGACCAATCATTTCCTCTTCATGCAAAAGTTAAGCTCCACAATCTCTGCATCCTTGAAATGCAGCGCAAAGGTCTTTGTTGGAGAAGTATCTGTGTCAAAGACAGCTTTGTTGGCCGTGTATTCCCACTCTTTATCCTTCTCTTCTTTGACAGCCTCAGACAGCAAATCCACAATAGTCTTTGTTGAATGGAAAACGAAATCCGGTCTCTCCATTTCCCCTTTTTCGTTTCGGACCGGTGGCGCAAAATCTGCTTTCATTCTGTAACCATTTTCCTTTGCGGTTCCAGCTGTGTTCCCGAACATCATCGACCCGGAATCTGGTTTGAGCATCTGTATTAGACTGTTGATGATATGTGCCTGTTTGTGAGGCGGGAAGAGGTGGATGAAGTATCCGATATAGATCATGTCATATCTATGTCGATGAATAGACCCTTCTCCGAAGAGTCCTTCGTCATTGATATCGCATCCTCCAAAGAATTCTCCCTTGAATTGATCCTCATCTTTGAACAAGTCATAGGATAACGGAAACCACCTATCCTCCAGGTCCATATTCGTGATCCCTTCGCTCGGAGCACCATCGACAATCAATTTCCTTCCATCGAATCCCATGAAACATCCCATATCGAGAATTCGCTGCCCTTGCTTCAGTCTTTCGATGATTTCTGGGTAGATCGACATCTCTGTCATCCCGAACTTGAAGAATTGCCATAGCCCGACGCATGGGTAGTACTTAATCTTCCAGGCTTTGAGTCGTATGTCCTTGAGGATGGGGATCATGGCTTCGGTATCTTGAAGGTCGGGACGGTAATGTTGGATGAGAGAGATGGCATCCGGGTGGGCATGGATGGGAGGCTCCTCGGCCCAGTATCTGGCTTTTGCGGTAGCTTCATCAATCATTTTGATAGAGTTGCTCGAAGGGTTTATGGTGAGTCTTTAAGCTGGGGGTGGTTCCTGGTTCCACAAGATCTATATGCGTATGTTATACAGCTCCACCGTGGTTTGCAGATAAGGTCCTGGACCAGGACAGCGTAAAGAGATGTTTATGAGTAGAATATCTGAATACCGGAGTCCCTCGGATGCAGCGTAGTAAAACTTGGATTGTTGAGATGGATGGATGAAATGATGAGGAGGGTTAAGGTCAAGGTATTAAGAATAGATTGTGGTTGCTTGTGTAGCGGTTCTCAATCGAGCCCTGGGAAACGCGCTGAAGTTGATATAGAGCGTCCTTCTCTTTCCCTACTTCTTCTCGCTGCAATTTTATATCGTCCTCCTAAACCGCATCTTCCATAGCTCCAAAGCTACCCCCCATTGCCAATTGGCGCTAGACCAGGAGCTCGACCATGTCAAAAACGGGGCAGTTGAACTTAAATTTAGCGGGTGCCGGCCTGCGTCTGGAAGGCCTACTCGTGAGTACCGTATACCGCGCTCAAGTCTTGGTTTACGAGTAAGGGCAAATAGAAGCACGCAACATGGATCTAGGATTCTAATCGGGTGCCGACGACATGGTTCTTCGAATTCTATGCATCTGATTTGCTTAAAACATTAACAATTTTTAGCAATTAGTCGTGGTTAGGCAAGCACCATGGTACCAAGGACGCCTTCGGTGGAAACTCCGTCTGGGATTATATGCAGAAGGAACGTACGATTTGGCGTTACTTCGGCATCAATGCCCTAAAAAATCCAAAGGGAATACGCAATATTCGAGATAGCCCTGATGAGATGTTACCGGCCCTTGTTCATCCCGCTGCAACAAGTGCACATATGTGTATACCTTTGACCTGCTAGTTGCATGGCTAATGCAATTGCAAACGGCGTATATCCAGCTTCCGCCGCTTCTTTACATAGTACAGCTGGGCCCCTGTACATTACATACACTAAAGTCTGGAAGGGCGACAAACAGGTACTTACTTATTACCGAAGTTTCCAAGCTTCGATGGTCCCAAGGCCAAACCACCGGGAACGGATATCTGGATTTTATCTTAACTCCTGTCATATTCCTTCTCCCAACTTGTCCCCGTTTCAGAACAAGACCGGACTTCCTGTGGAAGAGTTAATCCAAGTACCGAATAGCTGGTGCAAACAGGCTCGGTAAATGGCTGTTTCTTGTGGGTAAATGGAATAGCTCCATCCCATCCCATCCCATCCCATCCGTTCCAATCCCTCAACTTCGGAACTGGTAGCCAGTAACTTATATCAACCTGTTATAATGCTGCAGGTGCCTTGTTTTTTTTTCTCTTTCTTTCACCCTTTTCGTTCTCAAACCTGCATCTTCCAAGTCCCCGGAACTGGCGAACTTGCATCCGAGACTTTTATGCAAATCGATGAGCCGGGAATTATATCTCACTTGGAATATCTTTCAACCATAGCCAAACCTCCCCCACGCGAGCTGTATAGTAACTGTATAGTAGCTGTATAATAGCTGTATAGTAACTGTACAATAACTCTATAGTAACTGGATAGTAAATGTATAGTAGCTGTATAGCTGCGATAGCTGCGATAGCTCTTCTATAGCTCTTCAAGAAACCAACAGCTTCCCAACAGCTCATATGCATGCATTTTCAGTAAATCAAACCCATGGAACATGCATTGCAGGATAACCCATGCCAAAGCCCTTCGAGAACCGTTGGAGCCTGTGCTATAAAGCCTATTGTTAACCCTCCAAGGCAATTCGAATGCAGTAATATCTTATCGAGTCCCTCGGGTTTTTATCCATCCGATCAATTACTAAATACCTCAAAAAAAAAAACTCCCTACCATTGTTTGCTCTATCAAATGCTGCAACGGCGTTAAAAACCGGCCGGCAAGCAAGCCATCTGCATAAGGGAAGGGAAAAAAGCTGACAATTGACCGGCAACCTCGGTCTAGCTTGGATGATTCTTTGGATGCATGGTCTCGAATGGAACGGATATATCGATATCGCGGAAGTAGTCGACGCCCAGCTAGCTAGCTCAAAAAAAAGAGATATCCCTGGGTCACATTGAGTGAAATTTAACTTTCTCACGCGGCTATTGGGCAGCTCTTAAAAAAAATCCA